TTGTCATTCACTTTTGGCATTATTTGTTTGTTCAATATCATAGTGATGTCATTGTATTGGAACGCTGTTTCATATGGAGATTTTTTATATTGATTATTTCATGTATATTTTCTTATTAACCCATATGATAATGCCAATATGGTCATGTTTCTCTATTTATGATTTTTTATGACAAATATAAAATAATAGGATATGTTCTATTGTGGTTATCTTGTCTTCGTTCAAAATTATTTTAAATAATAAAAAAAACAGAGTCGAATAGAATATCTAAAATTGAAAAATAATAAAAAGTAGTTAATTAAGTGTTATAGAGCTATTCTTTACTGTTCGTTACTCACTGGAGAATAATCTTATATTGTTATTTATCAGTTCTGTAGAGTATGTTTGGTTATGGTAATGATAATGCTCTATAACATCTTTCGTAATTTTAATTAGAACATTTTTAAATTCGTTTGTATGGTTAATTTCTTTTTGAATTTATTAATTAATTTGATACTTTTTGTATTAACTCATATTTATTGAAATTAATTTTAAAATTATTTTATTTCTTTGTTCTTGTTTCTTTTATTCAAATATTCTCTATTTTATTAAAAAATCAGTTTAAGATTAATTACTTCATTTAGTAATCTATTTATTTGTTGTGTTTTCGTTTCTTATTGTTTGTTTATTCTTTCTTTATATTCATATTTTTTATTATTTTTTTATTTTCATTTTTATAGTTTATTTTATTCATATTCAATATGATGATACATCCATGTTGTGTATTTATTATCAGTTTTTGTTTCACTATTAAATCTCTTTGTTATGTTGAGGCATTATATTTAATGTTATTTTTCTTGTTGTGTATTATTTATCCTTTTTTCTTTGTTCTTATTTTATTTCATCTTATTGTTGTTTAATGTTTGACCTGACTTATCTCTTCTTTTTCTTTATCTTATTGTAACTGTCTCCTTTGTTTCAGATAATAACATCACTATCTGTTATTTTTCTATCATTTCTACTTTCTTTTGTTTTACTTTTATTAATTTCTCATCATTTATTTATCACTTTCGTTAAATAAACTAAATTTGATTTCTTTTTAATTGTGTTTTCATTCCTATTTCATTCTCGTCCCAGTCTATGTTTTGTGATTTTATCATTATTTCTGATAGATTTGTTCTTCTTCTTTCTTAGGCATTATTATTCTCTAATTTATTAATTTTATTATATAATAATGTTAATTAAGATTCTAAGTTAGCAACCCTAAAATAACTCTAACACTCGAATCCCCAGTTATAGTCTGACTATGATGTTGCCATTTGTTAGAAAAACATTTTATTCAATACTGCAAGAATACCAGTGTTTATTATTTATGTTGATTAAATACATTTGTATTAAAAGTCTACTTATTTATATGATGATGGTATTACTTGTTAGGACACAGGTATACTTAATATGAGATTACCAAAGAAAAAGGGTCTGGTGGTTGAGAATAAAATGAAAATCAGACTACCGTAATGTAGAAGTAATTATGTATTCTTCTTAAAATAAGAAAATAAAGAAGAGAAGAATTTTAATATTCATTAAAATCAGATAATAACTTAAATGATGAATATTTAAGTCAGAGATATCTGAAATACTTGTACATTAAATAAATGAGAAATAAAATTCTCACATAATAGATAATAAAAATACAACGTTAAAAAAAATTAAATAATCTGTACTGAACAATGGGCAATAGAAAACAAATCTATTAATTTCTCATTTTTATTTATAATAATGTTATTTAAAATAATAAAAAATAAATAACATTTAATTTAAAATAATAAAAATGAAATGATGTTTATTCAAATGATAAAATAATAAATAAAATGAGTATTATAAATGTGTATTTAATTATTTAATTATCTGATTTTAATCTGATATTAATTAAATTAAAATGGATGAGTTAATAAACAAGAACACTCATTTCTTTAAAGAAGAAATAGAAACACTTCCAAATATTCAACAATCAATTGATGATATTAATAAACATTATCATTATTATTTAGGAAGTATTAAAAATGAAATATTTGAAATAAAACCAGATGAAACATATTTAGAAGCTATTAAAAGAGGAGAAGGAATATTTGATAGAAATGATGAAACAGAAAGAAGAAGAAAACTAATAATAGAAAAAAGTCAAGAAACAATTAAAGTAGTTGAAATAATAAAGAATCAAATGAACAAAATAATAGAAGAATGTAAATGTGATGAAAAAAAATACTAATTAAAACAGGGAATGAAATAATCAATACAATCATTTCAATTGAAGAAATGATCATGAAAAATAAACCATTCAGAACACCAGAAGAAAAATATAAAATCACCGAAGAATTTAACAAAAAGAAACAAGAATGGAACACATATTATAATGATTGTTTTGAGAGGAAGAAGAAAAGAAGCAGAAAGAGAGAAGAAACAAGAAAAAGAAAGAAACAAGAAAAAGAAAGATTAAGAATAATGAAAGGAATGAGTACAATTGAATAAATGAAACAAATAGAAGAATGGACAAATAGAAAAGTATCGAATATAATATTTGATTCAGATATTGATAATTGGAATGTTAATACATCAGTATTTAATCAAAGAATAATAAATAAAGAACATATAATAATTATTATTGAAGATACAAATGGAAATAAATTTTGAGATATATTAATGGAAAAATTGATAAAGTTAGAGATTTTATATATGATCCAAAACCATTTTTATTTTCATTAAAATCAAAAAGAAGAATAAAAGAAATGATGAAATTTGATATTAAAATCAACAAAATGCAATTTGTTGTATAATCAATCATATGATTAATCATTTGCATTTGGAGAGGGTATCGTGATAATATTTGTGTTTATAAAGAAAATAATAAAACATTTCATATTGTAAACAACAATCATTTTCATATAAAAGAATAAGAAATACACATTGATGAAAACAATATCAAAAATATTTCATAACACAATGAATTATTATAATTGAAATAAAAATAAAAGATAAATAAAAATATAATAAAATATTTATTTTATTCTTTTTTATTTATTTTTTATTTTATTTATGTTATGTTTATAAATGAATGAATAAGTTAATATAACAATAATAAGAATAAATAACAATAATATATATCAGTTAAGTATTAATAGAATTAGTATCTATCACTCGTTATTCAGTGGAGACTAATCTTATCCATTCTTCATTCTCTATTAGTTATACGAAGTATGTTCTTTGTGGTAGAAGCAATGTTCAATGACATAAATCATGTTTTTATTACGTTGTTTTTAACTTCTTTTATGATGTTAATTTCAATTTTAATTTCTTTAATTAATTTAATACTTTCACATTTATTAATTCATTGATTGAAATTACTACTATATTTATTTTAATATCTTTTATTTTCTTTATTTTTATTATTATGTTCTTCTTTTCTTTATATTTATTTCTTTTATTCAATTATATTCAATTAATATTATGTCCTGCATCATTATTCATATTAATTAATAGATCAGTTTTATTCTTTTTATATATTACATATTTTTAGTATTTTATGATATTATCATTCATTTTTTGATTTATTTGTTCAATACCATAATAATGTCATTGTATTTGAATATTATTTCTTATATTGATTGTTTCATTTATATTTTGTTATTATTTAATATGATAATACCAATACTATTTCTCAATTTATGATTTTTTTATAACAAATACAAGATAATAGAATATGTTCTATTGTTAATATTTGTATTTACAATTTGTTGAACATTTTATTCATTTTTAATATTTTATTTTTTCTATACATATTGAATATTATTCCATCTTATATTTTATTTAATTGAATAAATTCATTCTTTTTAATATTGAATGACTTTAATGCATTTACTGTAGTAGTTTTTGGATAATAAAATATAAATGAAAAGAAAAAGAGAAATTTATAGTAACAAGATCATTTTAAATTTATTATGGAGATGAATTAAATTTATTCACTACATTCAAATTTACAAAAAACAGTTAAAACAAAATAAACTTATCAAATAATAAGAATTTGAGTTAACTTTTTATTTTTCAGTTCACTTTATTGTATTTTTATTTCATAACTTCATTGTATTATATGATTCAAAATACAACAATGAATGGATTAAATTCAGCATTAAATTATCAAATAAATATTATAAATAATATACAAGAATATGTAAATTATAATTTAATAATTCCATAGAAAGTGTCAATAAATTATTTCATTTTCATTAATGAAATAGTAGTGAATCAATAGAGTAGAATGAACAGTCATTAATTGTTATTGAGTTAATTTAACTTATTTATGTAAAGATAAAAATGAAATTATAATGTTAAAGTGTGTTTAAAAAGAATAATCCATATGATTGTATGTGTTGTATTTTGTATTAAAACTACTCATACAATAAAATAAATTAAAAATAAATATTAATAATGATTATAAACTTATAATAATCAGTTATTTAAACATCTCACTATGAATAAATTGAGTAAATTTATATAATTATACAGAAAAAATTCAATACTGAAGTTAGTGAAACAAATATCACTTTTATTAGTTTATAAGAAAAATAAATCAAATATATCAAAAAGAGCATGAAATATTAACTGCTCATAGTAAAATGAATAAATAATTACTTAATAGGAATAGTATGAATTAACAATGAAATTATAGATTTATATTTGGTATTATATTTATTTAAAACATCTTCATTTAGAATGAACAAAATAGAAATACTAATCTTGAGTAAATTGTTATAAGAAATTATAAACTTATATTTCAATCAAATAAGGTATGCCATTTTGACTATAAATTACACAATTATAATTATTTTTATGTTTAGTATTATAAAAATAAATATTAACATTCATTTGTAAATTTAATTGGAATTGTTATTTTCTAAAAAAGATTAATTGTTGTGGTTTGTTTCTTTCTGAGTTATACTTGACATAAGTTAGCTTCTTCTCTTTATTTTACTTTTAGATTCATTCATAGAACTAATAAATTTATTCACTTATATGATTATGTTGTATTATTTCATTTATTAAACTACCATGTAAATATAATAAATATATTACTGATTAATCTAATGTTAAAAGTATTTGTTTAAATCAACAAATAATTTACAAATTATACTAGATTTGATTGATATAAGTATATTCTTAACTGAGAAGATTGTATTGAATGAGAATATATTTCAATTGATGAAATTCTATGTGTTAAAAATACTTTAATAAGAAATGAAACATTAAACCTTAACAATTTAACAACAATCAGAATATGAAAAACCCATTAAAACATATTTTGTTGATTTAACTTTGATAGTTATTATGATAACATTTTCAGTGTATTGAAATAATTATTTGTTTCGATGTGTTATTAAATTTAACCACTAAACTTCTTTCTAGTTAAGTTTGTTGCATATCTTATTTACCTGAGGTTAGTTATCTTTCATTCATAAACACCTTCTGTTTGATATCAATAAATTAATTACAGAGAACTTATTGAAGAAGAGTTTTAATAGAAAATGTAGTTTAGATGAGAGTTTTACTCTTAAACAATCTGGTTAGAATAAATCTAATAACCAGAAACACTCTAACTTATTAATGAAAGAATCAAAATACAATATAAAAGATAATTAACCCAATAAACTATTGTTATTTGTAGTTTCATTTTACAACTTTGTACTTATTAAAATCTTACTTTATATTCAATAAAGTACAAAAGAACAAATATTAAACTGAAAATAAACAATTAACTTTATTTTTTTTTTCACACTTTCCTTTAGTATTTGGATTAAATGAACTGTTTATTATATAATAATACTATCCATATTAGATCATTTGATTTTAGTATTACTTTATTTATTTTCATTTATTTGTTGATTTGCTAAATCTACTTTCCATAAACTATTCTTTTCTTGGAAGTACAATTAAATATAACAACTTTGATAATTCTGAACACTAAATTGAAAAACATTATATTCATTACAACAATTAGAAACAAAATGATGCCAATACACCCCTATTGATTATACACAATACTATGTGTGCATTTGGACGATTTTATTATTCATAAACATCAATGCACTTTATTGTGTTAACAAAAATTTTATCATTAATCTTAAATACAACATTGTTGTGTCACTAACCACAATAAATAAGGTATTATTTCAACAAATAGAGGTTGAGCATCACCAATTGGTTATCAGATAATAAATTCTTATAAATTCTAATATATTTCACTCAAAATTGTTAGAATAGTTTGTGTTTCAATAGTAAAACATTGTTCATACTAACTAAATTCTTAAAAACTCTATTGGAAGGATATTATTTAGAAATAATTGCTTTGTCATTACTTACACATTACCTTACCAACACAAAAACAACACTAACTGTATGGAGAATGAACAACAGTTCTAAAGAAGAACTTAAATGAATGATAAGAAGACAAGAAGTCAGAAAACAAACGAGAAAATAAACAATGTTATATATCTTATTATTCATGAACAAAAAAAAGAAAGAGAATGAAAAAAAAAATTGTATTCTACATGATTCTACTCATATTAAAAGACGAATAAAGAACAAGTTGTTGAAAAAATTAGAATAAACACATTATTCGATAGTAATTAGAAAGTTCTATTGAATATAAAAACTATTATTGTCTAGACTAAAAACCCCCCTTTCTTAATGTCAATTACATTGAAGTCACACTTAAAAGTTCTTAAACAACAATATGAAAATTATAAAGCTGATTATGAAATTCTTGAACAACACTTTTCAGGAAAAGAATTTAATGGGTGTTTCCCTAAAATCCTTTTAGATCAATTAAAAAATCAACATAAAGGACAAGATGAAATTGAACTTTTAGTTGAAACATTAAAACCATTAGTTTGTATTGGATCATGTTATGCACTTTGTAAACCATCACAATTTCCAGTAGGTGGATGTTGTTATTGTAAAGAAAGTGGAAATGCATATATTGGATTTAATATGGAATCAGCAGGACATTGGATTGGATATTCAGTTCATGGAGAACAATGTACAACAAATAATGCATTGATTCATGGAGAAAAGAAAATTGATTTATTAGTAATTAGTTATACACCATGTGGACATTGTAGACAATATTTAAATCAATTTTCTAATAGAGATGAATTCCTTTGTCATATTGTTACATTAAATAGAACATTCCATTTAAGAGAATTACTTCCATTTGATTTTAGACCAAGTGATCTTCCAAGTATTATATTCCCTGATACATCTAAATTTATAATTAAATCAAAAAAAGGAGATGAAATTGATATAAAATTTATTAACCAAGTAATTGATTGTGCAAAACATAGTCATGTTGATAATTTAATGTGTTATTTAGGTGTTGGACTTATTATAGGAAAAGAAATTTATCTTGGAAATTATATTGAGAGTTGTGCTCATAATCCATCATTCCATCCAATGAATGGTGCAATTAGTCAATTAATATTAAATGGAAAAGATGTTAGTGAAGTTGATAGTATAATTTTAGTTCAATATGAAAAAGCACCATTTAAAATGGAGGAGAGTGCTATTGGAATTATTAAAGGATATGGATATACCAATAGTAAATTAACAATAATTACAATTGGTTAATCTCAAAATAAAAAAAAAAGAAAATAACACAATCATATATTATTAATTTTGTTTTTATTTTATTATAAATTAAAAAAAATACAAAATATAAATAATTAAATAAAAATAAAATAAAAAAAAAATAAAATAATAATTAATTGTTATAAAGATAATAAAGAAGATTGAATATTTTGTGAAAGATCTCGATATTTTTTGAGTAATTGAGCAAGATCAAGATTAGTGTATTGAAATTCATTACTAAGTAATTCAAGATAATAATATGATTGATCAAATATAAGTAATGCTTTTAATTTAGATGAAATACCAAATAATAAAGTTTGAATATAATGTTTATTTTCAAGTAATATTTTACCAAAAGATAAAACATGATAAGGAGAATGTAATTTAACAAAATATTGAGCTTTTTTTAAACCATCTAAAATATCAATTTCATTTGGAGAATCAATATTAAAACATTTAATTAAAAATGGATTATCTTTTTCACAGAATTTATAAAGAATTTCAAAAGAATTTTTTTCTAATAATTGATAAATACATCTTTTAATTAATTCAAATAAATAATTACTAATAATACTTTCTTCTATTGGTACAATAATATTTATATCTTTAAAAAAAATAGATACTATTTCTGGTATTAATTGAAGTTGTATATTTTTTTCAAATAATGTTTGAATTAATTCAATAGAATATTGTAATGCTACAGGTCTATTATAACATTCAATAATAATTAATAAACATTTAATAGCATCTTCATATTCTTCTTTTTCTAAACAATCAATAAATATAACAATTGGTGAATCAACAATTTCAAATAATTCATTCCAATATTCATTTTTTATTAATGTTGATGCATTTAAAATAATTTTTCTTGAATTTTCATTTTTTGAAATATAATTTACAACTGTTTCATATGTTGTATATCCAATTTTTTTATCATGATATCCTTCTGTTACTTTACACATACATTTTATTAATTCATTTTCCCATATTTTTTTATCATTTCCAAATTCTTCTTCTATTTCTTTAATTCCTTTTCCATTTGTTAATTCTACTAATATAATTTCTCCAAGATAATTATATTCTTTTAATCCTTCACATAATGGTATTGTAATATCTTTTGTTATTAATGGAATAATTCCAGATGAATTATTAAATGATTGATTAAATTCATTTTCATTAATAATTCCTTGAGTTATTGAAGGTGTTATTGAAGTTGAAAGAGAATTTGGAGAATGAAGATTTGGACTGAGAAGTGAAGTTGAATTTGAAACTTCATTTGAATCTGATAAAAAAGAAAGACCTCTTTTTAATGAAAAAGGATGATTAAATTGTATTTGAGATTGTAAAGATAGAAAATCTGGTGAAAGAATAGTTAAATAAGGAGGAGATATTAAGAATAAAGAAAGTTTAATAGGAATAGTAAATGTATAAAAGAGTGAATCTAAATGACGAATAATTATATTTTCAGTTTGTTGTACTAATAAAATATTTTTGAAAGGAATTGATATTGAATAAACATTATCATTTATAATTTCACATGGATCTTTAGAATCTGATTTAGTTAATGTAACAATAAAATTTGACCATAATATAATTATTGTTGATGGAAAAGAATAATCAGATGATGGAAATGATAATGTAAATTGAATTGGAATTGATGAATGAAGATCAATAGAATTATTTCTAATTAATGAATATGATTTAATTAATTGAAATGTAAATAAATTATTTTTATAAGTAATTTTCCAAGTTAATAATCCTATTTGATTAGAAAAACCAATTAATGTATATATAAAATTTTCTTTAATATTAGTTAAAAGAATATTAAAAGAATTAATTGAGTTAGATAAATCAATAAATTGATTTGATTTTAAATTTTGTGTAGATAATGATTTAATTTGTTTTTTAATTGGTTGAATATTTTCTAATGGTGGAATAATTTCAATAGAATCATAAATTGGTAATGTAAAATTAGGATATTTATAAACTAAAATATGAAGTAAAGATGTTGATAATTGAAATAATATAAAAATTCCTTTATCAAATTCCCATGAAATAGTATTATTTAAAACATAAAGATCAATTGGAATTATTGCTTGAATAGAAGAAATAGAATCAAATAAAATAAGTAAATGAGGTTGTTTTAAAATAAAAAGATAAGTATCATTAATAGAATAAACAGAAATAAATTGAATATAATAAAAATATTTAGATAATAATTCTTGTGGAATAATAAATGAATAAAATTTTTTTGTTGAATGAATTGTATTTGTTATAATATTAATTGTTGTAGAAGTATATTGAATAATAAAATCATTCATTTCTATAGTATTCATTAATTTTGTTTCATTAATAATTAATTGTGAATTAAATAATGGTATTTTAAATAATCTACAACAATTTGAATCAATAAAATAATTTCCTTCTTCTTTAATTGAATTAATAATAATTCCATTTAATGTAATTATTGTAGATAAACCATTATATTGAATAATAAAATTATTATTTGGAAGAAATTGAATTTTAGGTGTAAATATATTAATATCATTATTACAATATAAAGATTGTTGTATTATTTTAATTCTATGACATGTAAAATTTATTGGTGAATATTGATAAATAATAATTTTATTATCTTCATCTATTAATGCAAAATAATATGATTTACTAATAATATAATTTTTTATATTTGTTGGTAAAATAATTGTTGTTTTAATAATTGGAAGAGAACTTCCTTCTATAAGTCCTGCAAAAACTGTTGTCATATCATTTCTTCTATAAATCATAAATTTACCTTCTGTTGAAATATTTAATGTTGTAACATCAATATCTTCTACAGTCATATCCATTTGACTATTTTGTATTTTAAATCCTGAATTTGGTTGTGTTGATAATGTAAATGTATTATCAATAAATGTTATAAGAATACTTTGATCAAATGGAAAAATTCCAATTATTTCTTTTGCAAATTCAATTTTATTAATAAGTTTTGGATATAAATAAAATGTTGTTGATGGTCTATATACTGAAAGTGGAAGAGATGATGGTTCTCTTTTAATTATTTCAAAACAATATAATGTTTGTATTGAAATAAGATAAAAATAATTTGTATCTTTAATAAAACTTCCTTTAGTTATTTGAATATTATCTATTTGATGAATAAATGGTGGAAAAATAATAAAATCATTTCCTGAAATATCTACAATTGATATATTAATATCTGTAACTATAACTAAAACTTCTGTATAATGAAGAAATGGTTGTATAAATAATCCTTGCAAAATATTAAATTTTTCTCCTCTTAATTTACTAATATCATGTTCTTCATTATTGTTTAAAAATTGAGTGTATTTTGGATACTGCATAATCAATTCAATTTAAATCAATTTTCTTTTTCTTTTTCTTTTTTTTTTTTTTATAATGATATATATAACGGTTTTTTTTTTTCTTAAATAATTTTAAAAATTTTTTATTATTCTAAAAATATATATTATTATTATCTTTCTAAAGAAATAAATGATAAAATAAGAATGATAAAAAATAATTGAATGAAAAATAAAATAAATTAATATAATTTAATATATAATTAAGTTAATAATAACATGGAATAGGATAAATTTCAGTTTTTGGTGTATTAAGCCATTGATATATTCTTTTGTTTCGTTGTGTATTATCAATTTTAATAAGATTTGCTTTTCTTAAATTTTGTGGTGTTAAATAAAAATTATCAATTGTTAATGAAGATTGTATTCCTTCTATACATGGGATTTTTAGTGGATGAATAAAATCAGAAGAATAAATATTTTGATAAATACAATTATTATGTGATTGTTCAATTAATTTAAATTTAGTGTGATAAGGAATATAAACTGGTTTAAAGAATGTAGGTTGCATGTTTAAAAATGCAATTGAAGATTATTTATTTGTTTTTATTTTGAAATTGATAACAAAAGTCTTCCTGAGATTAATTCTTAAGTTATTTTTTAAATCTTCTGACTTTTATTAATCATAGATTTATCCTTTCTAATTCACTAAGAAGTGAATAACTATTATTTATTTTTCACTAACCAATCATAACAAATAGAAATGATATAGATTAACAAAATTTACTTCTCTATTTTTTATGAAATTTGGACATTCTACTATTAATTTCCAAAGAAAAATAAATTAACATTAATTTTTAGAGAAACTATAGTCTACAAAATTGACACAAAAGATAAAAGAATCTAATTATCACTACTCAAACTATTCATTTTGTCATTTCATAAAATGTGAAAATTACATCGTCGTTTAGAATTTATCTATTTGTAAATCACGAATCACTATATAAATTGATAAAAGAAAAAACAAAAGACATTAAATAAAAAATGGTAAAAAATTCTGATGAAATTCCTGTTGATTTAAAACAAGCTCTTGAAAAAGCTATTCTTGATGTTTTGAAGACTAAATTTACAGAAACATCAATTAATCAGAATAAAGCAAAGTTAAATAAAAAACAAAGTAAGAAACCTTCAATATCATTTTTAAATTCACAAACACATATTAATTATAAAAACAAAAAAAGAAAAAAAACTATAAAATAAAAGAAAAAAAGATTAAGTTAAAAATTATTTTTTAATAATTATTAGAATTTTTTATTATTTTAAAGAAATAAAAAAAAATGTAAATAATAAAAACTAAAGTTATAAAAATGATAATTCATCATAAACAAAACAATCAATACCAATTACAAATTCAATTAATTAAAGAAGTAATAAAAACAGAATTTATTTCTGATAATGATGTAGAAATATTTTATCAAAATCAAATTTCTAAAAGTTTAAATAAACAATATAAACAACAACCTCATTTTATTTCAGAAGCATTACAAATATTTTTTATATCAATTCAAGATTCTTTTCTTCATAATTGTAAATATAATGATTTTTTTCAATGGTTTATTAAAAATATGAAAGATGCACTTCAAAATTTAATTAATAATTCAAATTCAATACTTCAAAAAGATAATAATTTAATAACATTACCTTATTCTTATCAACAACAAGATACTGATTTTATTTTTACAAGATATGAAATATTTGGAATACTTGCATGTAGTTTTTTTGGTATTGAAAGATCAAAAATATATCATAGTCATTCGATATCATTTAATAATATTATGACATCAAAATTAGGACTACAAAAAATGTTATGTATTATTTCATATTTCTTTGTTATGATTTTATATCCAGAAAAAAATGAAAAAGTTCATTTTATTAGAAAAGGACTTCATAAAATAATTAATTGGGAAAAAGATAATCATCAATTAATTGATACAAGTTATGGAGAAAATGGAATAGAAACATCAAATTATCCAAATCAAATTGATTTTGCAAATAAAAATATTCATTTATTTAATATTTCTGGAAATGCAACTCAAGAAGAAATTATATTTGCAGTAAAACCTGAATGTTATTTATCTATTCTTCTTTTTGATACAATGGCATCTAATGAATGTATTATTATTGATAATTGTCTTACTATATCAAATACAACAGGATTTAAAAATTCATTTCGTTGGAAATCTATTAAAAATGAAACTCAAATTACTTTTCAAAATGCTGTTATTGCAATTGATTCATGTACATCTTCTTGTTTTACTAAACAAAATATTATTAGAGATTTAAATAAATGTTATATTGGTTTCTCTTCTATTAAAAGAAATGTAGCAACTGGTCAATGGGGTTGTGGTGTTTTTGCTAATGATCCTTCACTTAAATATTTTCAACAAGTTCTTGTTGCTTCTTCTCTTCAAATTAATATTAAATTTCATTGGATAGATCAAAATAAATATAATGAATTACATAAAATATTAACTATAATGAGAACAAAAAATTTATTAGTGAAAGATATTTATTTATTGATAATAAATTATACTCAACAAACTGATTTCTTATCTTATCTTAAATCATATATTTCTTTAATATAAATTAATGTTATTTATATTTTATGTTATTTGAAACCCTTTTTCCAAAAATAAGAAGAAATAAACTAAAAAAAAATAAATATTTAAAATGTCAGATATTATCAATTTATATCGTGAGAAATTTGTTGAAAGTCTTTCAGAATTAAAGAAAAAACAATTATATAGTAAAAATGAAATTAAAAGTATTATTGAAAGATGGACTAAACAAGAATATTCAATTAGAAGAGTTGGATCAAATTATGAAACATATAAACATGCTATTGAACAAGAAATTGAAGCAGATAAAGAATTAGAATTTCGAGTAGAAAAGAGTGATATGTTTATTGAACAAAAAAAATTTCAAAAAGTATTTAAGAAAAGAATTATGCAATTATATTCTAGACTTATTAGAAGATATCCACGTATGTTATCATATTATATGGAATATGCTAATTGGTGTAAATCTATTGAATATCATTTAACTGCAGTTAATATCTATCAACGAGCATTAAAATATTTTTCACGTGATCTTTCATTATGGGATGCATTAAGTCAAGAAATTATAGAACATAATAGTGATATACAAACAGCAAGAAAAATTATGCAACTTGCTATTGAAATAAATAAGAAATCAGAAGAAGGATATCTTTGTTACTTTAAAATTGAATTAAATTATATTCATAAGTTAAAACAAAGTATTAAAATACGATTTAAAGATTTAAATAAATCAGAAGAAATGAAAATGGAAGAAGAGAATCAGGAAAATAATATTAATGAACAAAAAGAAATTAATGAAAGTCTTCAACAATTACAAAACAATGTTAATAAATTATGGAAAATTTTAACTATTATTTATACAAATGGAATTGAGAATATTAATGGTGTTGAATTTAAAAGTAAATTCATTCCAATTATTTATCATGAAGAAAATGGTCAAGAATTAAAGAAACAAATTATTCATGATATTATTAATGAAGAAAATCAACCAAAAGATGTTATTCTAGAAGTATTATGTAATACATTATCTCCATTAAATAAACAAGAAGCTTTAGATATGATTAATAATGATATGTTTAAAGAAGTATCTGAAGAAAAAAAGAATAAAATAAAAAATAAAATCAATGGTGTGATGGAAATTATTAAAACATCTCTTGATTATGCCATTGAAAGAATTGAAAAAACTCATGTTGAAGACCAAATCGAAACAATGAAAAAAGAAATATTAAACATTAATAGAGAGTATTTAGGAAAACTTAAAATTTATTGTATTGATATTATTATGAAAACAAACATAAATGAACTAAACAAGTTCATTGAATGGGTATTGAAGACTAGCTGTGATGAAGAATGTTATTTGAAGATAATCCATTACTTTATTTCTCAAGAAGAAATTGAAAAAGCTAAAAAAGTATTTGATGAAGCATTAATTCATGAGGATCTTGCTTATCACTCATTGAATTTGTGGCTTGAATATTTATTATTATGTAGAAATTCAAATGACTTCAAACTATCTCAAAAAATAAAATCACGTATGAACGCAAGTTATTCTAATCCATCCGAAGTAGAGTTTGCATTTGAAGAAAGAATAAATAATAATTAATTGATTGATTTTATAAAAACCAATAAATTACATAATAACTAAATTAATGTTTGTTGTTCTAATGAAGATTTCTTTGAAAAACACTTAGCAAACTTGGTTTTTAAATATTGTGTCTTTGATAAATTATGTCTTTCTGCTCCGTTTTTGATCTTTCTGTAATAATATAAACAACTTAAATAAATGCCTGAGAATAGAGTACATGAACAGATTGCATTTGATAAAAACGCAATAAAGAATGGAATATCATTAATATCTTCAATACAAACAGGACATTCAGATTTATTTTGTTTTGGACATCCACAAGAGTTGAGCGAACTATCTTCAAAACAACAAGAATTCTAGGATATGAATAAAGCAAAAAAGAATAAACAATATTAACAAACTTTGTTTTCATTAAATACTTTTTCATCTGAACTTAATGCCTTTATTTTTTGTGGCTCTTGAAAAGCAGCAAAAGATGACAAGAAGATTGCTACAAAAAATATACATCCTATTAAGAAAATTAATGCATAACTATAACGAATTTTCTTAATAGGATATAAACACAGAAGAATACTCACTATCACTAACATTACTACACTTCCAGTCATTGCTGATATAAAAAAGAATTCTCTGATTTTTAATAAGGATGAACCGTCCATAAGATAATATTTAGGTTGAGTAACAAATGCGAAAATTGAGCTACCAATAACAAGCAATGAAGAGATCTATCTGTTAATAGCTTTTTTTTTAAAAAAATGATAAAATAAAATTGACAAACAACAAAAACACCAACAGCAATAAACAGATATAACATTAAATGAGGATATAAGTCTCTCATAAAAGAAATTTTGTAAATGAAAAAATTAAGATTTAGAAAAGATTTTTTTTCGAATATTTCTGTAAAACTCTATTTTAAAATTATAAAAAGAAATTAAAGTAAAAAATATAAAATGTATCATTGAAATATCAATTCAAAAAAATTTAGAAGGCTGTTGGAACTTTCTTAAGTTCTTCTGGTGTCATTTCATTCAAACCTTTAACCTTCACATATTCTATAGCATTAACTGGACATACTGATGAACAAAGAGCACATCCAATACACTTTTCATCATCAACACGATATCTGTTTCCATCCTTGACAATAGCAGTAGTGGAATTATCACGACAAGACAAAGCACATGAACCACATCCAATACAATTATTTTTGATATGAGCATTTACTCTCCATTTTTCTGGTCCTTCAAGGATCTTTCTTTCTCCAATATGTTTCAAAGCAATACCAGTAACTTCAGCCAATTTTGGAACTGGTTTATCTTGTTTATTATCAAGAGTCCAGAATGGAGTCTTTTCTCCATAAGGCATAAAGCTTTCAACTCCTTGACTATTAAGATAACCTCTAAGATCTGGTCTTGACCAACAATATAAAATGAATTTAGTTCCTGAAATAATTTCATCAACAATATCATAACTCCATTTTTGGACTGAAGAACACATTTGAACTACTGAAGCACCTGTATAAATTAATTGCATAGCAGTTTCAGCAGATCTAACTCCTCCAATTCCAAGAAGATGTCCTCTAACATTTTCATTATGGCGTAATACTTGAGCAATTTGTCTAATAGCAATTGGTCTAACAAGATCACCAGAAAGTCCACCAGAAATAGTATTTCTTTCAACACCAACTTGTGGCCATGGATGACCAGAAAGTGTAATTTCAGAGATACCAAAGACAGTGTTAATTGTTGAAACACCAGAAGCTCCTCCTCTCATAGCAGCAGCAGCAAGTTCTTCAATATTACCAACATTTGGAGTAAGTTTTGGATATACTGGAATATGAACTGATTCAACTACATATCTAGTACATCTTTCAATAGCAGCTGGTGAAACACCAATTGCCATTGCCATAGCATTATGAGATTTAAATCCACCTTCACATCCACCTTCATTTCCATCATTACCATGACATTCATTTGGACAAGAGAAATTCAATTCAAGAGCATCAGCACCAGCTTCTTCAGAAAGTTTAGCAAGAAGATGCCAATCATCAGCATTATCCATACACATAATTGAAGCAATAACAACTTTATTAGGGAATTCAGCCTTTAATTTTTTAATTGATTCAAGCCAGTAATGATGAGAATGTTCAGAAATCATAACAATATTATTATATGAAGTGGATTCTTGTGAATCATAAACTTTAACAATTCTAATATGATTATTCTTTTGAATATCTTTTTCTAATGGATATGTTTTAGTAAGAGCAAATCCAAAACCAGCTTGGAAACATCTTTTCAAATGATCATAAGTTCCTGAAACTGGAGCAGATGAAATACCAAATGGATTTTCGTATTTAATTCCATCAACAGTAACTGAAATATCAACGTCATCAACTGGAGTATGGAATTTTGGAATCTTATCAACTCCAAGTTCTTTAGCAATAGAAGCAACAACAACTTCAGCGTCATGAACAGCTTCAACAATTGAAAATGATCTTCTATAATCACCTCCAATATAAACTGCTCCAAGTCCATTTTCAGCTTTCATAATAAGTCCATTGGCATCAGGAGTTCCTTCAACAAATGAAGCATCTGGTCCAAAACCAAAAGCACAAATGACCATATCAGCTGGAATAAGTCTTTCAATTCCATTTGGATCATAAAGATCTTTACAAATAACTCCTTTAGCATCAAGTCTTTGTGGAAGAACTTTTGGAATAATTTCAATATTTCTTTCAATAACTCCAATCATTGATTTTTTATGGCAAGTTGCAGTTTTAATATCTTCTCTCATTACTAATAAAACTTGAGAAGCTCCATGTTCTTGTGCAGCTTCACAACAATCAACAGCTACATCACCAGAACCAAGAATAGCTACAGTCTTTCCTTTAACATCAATAGTATTATCAGACATACCATAAAGGAAATCACGAGCAAGTGGTGCATCACCAAAAGTGTATGGTTTTTGTCTTCCACATCCAACAAATACATAATCATATTGTTTTCTAAGACCTGCAATATCACTAGCACTAACTGAAGAATTTAATTTAAATTCAATATTTGGATATGCTTTAATCATTTCAATTTCAAAATCTAATTCTTCTTTAGCAAGTCTTTGTTCTTGAATTTCTTTTCTTAAAATTCCTCCTAAATGAGCACTTCTTTCAAAAACTACAATCTTCTTAAAGTTACATCTTGCAAAGAATGAAGCAGCAGCAAGTCCTGCAGGTCCTGCTCCAATAATAGCAACACTCTTTTCAATAACTGGAATATTACCAATAGTTGGCATAATTCTGTATTCTTTAAATCTCTGAAGAGAGAATGCTTGAATTGCATTAATATCAATAGCACCAGCATGTGTTTTGGACAAGTTGCATCCAGCTTTACAACATTCTTCTGCACTACAAAGATGTCCACATGAAAGAGCAAGTGGGTTAGCAGTAAGTGCAACACGAGCAGCTTCATAGAAATTATGTTCTCCAGCAGCATGAACCATTCTTTTAGCATCTAATTGTGTTGGACAACATCTCATACAGTTTGGTTCAGCACAATATAAACATCTTCTAGCTTCATGAACAATTTCAGATTCACTATATTGTGGTTTGAAAGTTTTGTTATAATCAGTAATTTCTTTTCTTTGAGCACGAAGGCAATCTCTGTTTTGAATGTCAACAAGTTCAATATCACACATAGCAAGAATTAATATCTTTCTTATTCCAAGATTGTCTATTTATAATGTTTGTCATTTTTCTTCCAGAAGATTTCAGATTGATTATCGAATTCTTTCTTCTTGATGGAATCTCTGCATTGCTTCTTCTCTTCTTTATTTTGAGCAGTCCACTTCTTCACTTCCAATTCTTCCTTCTTCTACCTAAAAGAGAATCCTTCGACAAAGGAAACTCATTTTTCTTTTTAATTTTAATTTTATTTTGGATAAATGAAACAAAATTTAAAAAAAGGAAATAATTGTGTTTTTAATTATCATCTTATAAATTTTTCACTAAACAGTTCTTCAATAAAATAGATCTAAACTATTCTTATGAAATAAAAAAATAAAAAAAGAATTAAAGTTCTATTTCTTTTCTATAATAATATTTAATTAATGGAAAACGAAGATTATTTTGAAGACATAGAATATGGTCAAGACCGAACGTTCCAGATTGAGAATAAAGGTGTACTTGCTGAGAAGAAACCTTTCGTAAAACCTAAAGAAGGTGTTATCTTTATTGTTGATTGCCATTCATATGATGATCAGCCATTTGATAAAGAAATAACTGAAGCTATGATCCGAATGATGAAACAAACACCAATTTTTTATCCAAAAGACAGATTTGGATTGATATTTTATGGAAGTCAAAACACAACGAAATCACTTCCAGAAGGTATTCAAAATGTTCATATCTTACAAAATGCAACAATTAAACTCTTAGAAGAATATCCTAAGTTCTTTGATAATATTAAACCATCCAAAAAATTAATTCCATTAATTAATGCATTTCAAGCTACTCATAAAATATTTCAAGCTGCCAATGTTATTAACCAACCAAGAATAGTGTTTGTTGTTCCACCTCAATTCTTTACCTATCACCAAATCACACCAGAAGTAAATGCATATATAATAAATAATCCACCAGAACCTATATTTTTTTCAAGTAAATATCAACCCTCACAATTTCCTTTTAAGTGCTTCCCATTAAATCGCCTTGAACGGGTTTGTATTTCTTTTCATAAAAGTGTTGGATATTATTATGACTTTATCCCATACGAAGGATGTAGAATAAAGGTTATAATTAATAATATTTCTACATCTGTATCTGCTGCAACTCTTGGTAATGTACTTGTTGAAAAAGAAGGATGGAGAGTAGTAGTTGGTAAAATAAGAAAAGAAGAAATGCCAGGTGGTGAAAAAAGAGAGTTAACTGCCCATAATGAAGGAGATGTTTGGGACTATTCATTTGGGTCTGAAAAAATTACTTTTACTGAAGAAGAGTATCAAAAGTTACATACTATAGAAGAAAAATATAGAAATAGTATCATCGTCAAAGGTAAAATATCACAAGACTTCCTTCAGTCTACAACAAGTTCTGCTTCATTTATTCGTCCTACTGAAGATAATGGATGGTATGACGCTCTTTATCAAACTTTATTAAAAGAGAAACAAGCATTACGTTGTGATTTCTTTAGTAGATCTCAAATGAAAGATGTTGTTATTGTTCCAATTAAATCAACTTCAGAATTTATACCAAGTGGGTTATATATGATTTGTTTACCATACATTGATGATGTTCTAACTCCACTTCTTTCTGAACCAGAATTTAATATCCATTCAACTATTTGTAATGTTTCTCAAAATCAATCCATGAAAAGTTTAATTAGTAAATGTACAAAAAATAATATTGATTTTATGGCATTAAAAAACCCTGTTGTAAAAGAGAGAATAAATTCAATCATTGAGGCAATGAAAATTGATCTTCATCAAGAAGATACTTTAGAAGACAATGAAATTCCCTATGATGATATTCAAAATGTAAAAGATCATTTCATACTTCCAACAAAAAGGATTCGTGCTATAAAACCAAAGGAACAAGTTAAAATAGATGATGATATGATGCTAGAAATATATCGTAGTATTTGTTCAGGAAAAGGAAATATCTACAATGCTAGTTTATTAAAAAAATTTCTGATTCAATCAAATGTATCAGTAACCTCTCGTGATAAAAAAAGTGATTTAATAGAAAAGGCAAATAAATTAGTCAAAGGTATTCAACAACAATTAGATGAGAAAGAAGAAAATGATAACGATTCAATTAACCAAGAAAAAAAAGACATTTAATTTAATCTTATTTATATAAATCTAGTACACACAGTTAATCGCTTCATTCAAATATACCTAATAATGTCTTAACCTCTTCCAATCAAATAGAATTTCTTCTCCAAAGTTATTTTCAATTGTTGCTCTTGAAATTTCTGAATTAGTGTGTATCATCTGCATCATTAATTTTTATAGCAACGTTAGTACTACTTATGTTTTCGTGTTTGTTGTCTTTTACTTCTCTTAAAATCCATAATTGAACAATCCATTGGTTTAAAAAAACATATCTAATACAATTACATAAATTCGATTTACCTACTTTTGACAGCAAACACCATCAAAATCTATAATACGTTCTTCTTTCTAAGTAATTTATGACCTTTTTCTATAGCACAATAAATGAGAGTATAATCTTTAATTCTTTGAAGTTATTGGCTGATAAATGAAATAAAAATAACATACGACGTAACACAAAGAGGATCAGAAATCTTGTCATACAAATATTTATTCCTAGAAGAATGGAATTCAGATATTACCAATGTTCATAAGGCAACCGTTATTACCTTGTTATTTCTTTGGTTCAACCTAATCTTCATTAAGAGCCTTAACAGAACTCTATCCATCCTTCACTTCGAGTTAATTTCCCAAAACTTAAACTATTTCTCAGTTCTTAGTTTAATTATTACTAAATTTTTTCCTTTTTTAATTTGATTTTTTTTTCTCATAGATGCTATAAAAATATCAAAAGATTCAATTTATTTTTAAAAACCAATTTTATGTGTTAGTAATTTATTGATTCCTCTAAGGAAGATGTAATTTAATTCGTAGATTATTCATAGTCTGAAAAAAAATTAAAGAACTAACATATTTAATAATATTATTATCCAATAAACGAGGATACTCACTTTAGTATGGCAAGAAATAGAACCAACAGAGGACAACTTAAACTTACAAATTAAAGCAGAAATTTTAAGAATAATTGACACAGACATTTTTATAAAAGAATAGTAAAAAAGATTAATTGGAGAAAAGTAAACAATAATAAGTATTTTAAAAGAAGTTTATAACAACTAAGAAGAGTAGAAAGTTTGAAAGAAATTACATATTGTCTCAAACCAATTATAACCAAACAAAAAGATATCTGAAAAAAACTAAAAAAATAGATAAAATTAGTTAAGGGCATCTACAAACAAAAACTTCTAGGATAAACCATTTATAAGTGTTGTTTAAAAAAAAAGGTGTAAAGAAATGATAAAAAATACCTAAACAAGTGATTGAATAGAAAATAAAAATAATTTTAATCATAAATAACTAATGAGCAAATACACTAGAAGAAAGCTAATAATAAAGGCATCATAGAATAATAGAAGATATACACATCTGATATAAAACTAATCATAAATAAGAGAAGGTTATAAATAATAGTACCCCCAGATAAAGATATGGACAAGATACAAAAAACATAAACAGCTTTGAGCAAAATATAGCTGTGAGGCACAAATAAAGAGAAACGAAAATCCTAACAATAAAAGGTCCTAAGTAATTTAGTTAGAGAAATGTCCCAATATAATCAACGTTAATAAATAATGACAAAATGAGATCTTTTTAAAATAGAGAGGTGATACATTTTGCTATATAAGATAGAAAATAATCATTTAATCAAAGATACGAAAACGAAAAAAGAAAGTATTTAAAAAGGAAAGAAGAAAGAAGAGAAACAAACAAAACAAGAAGAAGATGAAAGTAATATTTGCAATTTTAATCGCAAATTGTTTAGGTGGAGAAATTGTTTACTCCAATAAAGAACGTGGATGGGAATTAAATGACTCAGCAATAATTGATTATTATGATTATGAAATTGACGGAAGATATTGGCTTGGAGGGGAAGTGCAACGTTATGATACTCTTAAATTTAATGGATATGCTAATACAGTAGAGTTAGATCAATTATGTTGGACTGCACAATGGACATCAGAAGACATAAGTTTGAAATTAAAAGTGAGAATGCTTCCATATGAATTTAGGGATGATGAAATACCTAATACAGGACTTGTTGTTAGTGGAGTAAGTAATAATACCGAGACATGTGTTAATATTAGAAATAGAGTTTTTGATGAAGAATGTGGTTCAATTGTTAAATATGTTTCTATTCAAATATATCAAATATCAACAAATAAGAAAACATATATTTATTTCAATGATATTAAATTTATTAGAAAAAGAATAGAAATAGATTCTAATTCAAGTAGTTCAAATGAAGATTTTAGTAGTGAAGAGATTGATGGAAGTATTTGCATCTATATTTGTGCATTTAGTTTAATAATGTTTATTTTAATATAAACAAAAAGGTTAATTGAATTTTAATTAAGAAAATAAAATTAATTAAGTTGTACTAAATTGTTAGCAAGAAGAACAATATCTCTAAAAGTTTTTGTAACAAGATTAATAAAATCATCTAATTGAGTATGTTGGGACGTATAACTCAAAACAGCATACATAAGATCAATAAAACAATTTTTTAATCTAAAAGTACAAAACCAACGATCCCAAGATGTATTAGAAGAATGATATAAATTTTTAGAAAAAGGAGGAGTTAGAGTAGATAAGATTAAACATAAACAATCATCAATACTTTTAATTGTTTCTTGAGTATCTCCACGTTCAAAAGTAGTTGCAACATTATAAATATTATTAATAAGTTTTTTATCAAGATTAGATAATAATTTAATTTCAATTACATCAATACCTTCAAAAGATAAAGAGAAACCATTTTTTTCACCATCAAGAAGTGGTGTTAATCTTTCAATACTTCTATTCATTAATTTAGCAATTCCAGAATAAATTTTATAAGGATTTTCAATATTAATTTCAAAATTAGATGAATGAGAAACATCAACTAATTTCCATAAAATAAAGAAATCATTAGAAATTAAATTACCATAATTAATAAGTAAAGGATTTTTACAATTTTTAATAATAGTTTGAAGTAAACAATTTTCAGTTGAATAAGCAATTTTAAGTTGTTGTCTTTTAATTGAATTTTTAGGAATAATACAATTAAATTCAGGAGTTGTTTTTTCACAATATTTTGATAAACTTTTTACTAATAATAAAATAGAATCACTATTTTCAGATATTGATACAACTACATTATACATTTGTTCAATTATATTACATAAATCAATTTGAGTTATTTTTAAATTTAAAAATTTTAATGAAATATTTTCAATGATAGGATCATCTTTAATTTGAGAATGTAAATGAAGAAGTTGTTTAATAATTAATTGTAAAATTTTATTTTCTTCAGGAGTTACATCTATATCTTGTAAAGAATTAAATAAAATACCAATACAATTAAGTATTTCAGTACTAAAAAAATCACTACTATGATTTTTATAATAAGTAATAACAACATTATCAAATTCTTTTAATAATAAAGGAATTTTTTGATTAATTTTATTTAAATCTTGAAGATTAATAGAATCAATAACAATATTATTATTATTAATATAAAATGTTTCAAAAAGATTTTTCCATAATAAATCAGAATAAATAGTTTCAACAAATTCTTCAAGAAGAGTATATAAAGTAACAATTTTACTATAAATTTCTTGAATAGACATAATTTCATAATAATCAATAAAAGCTCTAATAACAATATAACTTCTAATAAACATTTGATCTTTTGGTTTTCCTAATTGAAGAATAATATTTTTTAAATGTTTTAACATTCTTTGATCATAATTTACACTACAAGTTACAATAACTTCATTTTCAAGAATAATATCATCATCTGTTTTAAAAGTTTGAATAAAAGTATGAATTTTTTGTAATTCTTCAGTAGAAAGTAAAGTTATAATATTATTATCATTATCAGATTCTATTTTTTTAATTGCATGACATTTAAATGATTTATGAGTAAGTTCAGCAGCTAATTGTATTTGTTGAAATCCAAGACAAATTGAATTTTTAATAATATTTTTATATTGTTGAAAAATAGTATTTCTATTAAATTGATGAAAATTAATAATATTAATATTTTTTATTTCTTGAGATAATAATGATTGAAAAGATTTATAACTTCCATTTGTTAAAAAATTATGAATCCAAACCATTATTTCAGAAATAAATCCTTCTCTAAAGAAAGATTTTGTTTTTTCATTATCAACATTTAAATAAATATAACCAAATAATTTAAGTAATTCTGATAAATTTTGTGTTTCTTTCCATGATTTTATAATAGATAATTCTTTTCTACATTTATCTGGAAAAGAATAATTAAAAATTATTGTTCCATAAATTTTTTGATAAATATCATAAATAAGATTATTTAATATTTCTGTTGAAATATTTAATAATGATTGATTTTGAATTTCTTTTATTTTATTTTCGATTTTTAAAGAACATAAATTTAATCCATATAATGGATTAATAAAATCAGTATATTTAATAATTATATTTTTTATTGATTTTGTCATTTCAAATGCTTGTTCAAGATATTTTAATGATTCATTAATATATTTTTTATTTTTTATAAATTCAATACAATTAATCATCATTAATTCACTTAATTGAAGATATTCAAGACAATAATGAATTGATAATAAAATTTGTTCAAATAATTCATTAATTTTTTGTTCATTTTGAATAAATAAATTTTCTGTACTAATTAATGTAAATAAATCTTCATAAATTTTTAATGGATAAATTGTTCCTTTAAATTCATCATCATTAAAAATCATATCAACTCCTAAAATTAATGGAAAAACTTCTTTTAATACTTTAATTAATTGAATTCTATTACCTGATGAAAATGTTTGAGTTAATAATTTAATTAAATTATATGAAATAATAAATGAATAAATAATAAAACATTTTTTAAGACTTTTTTGTATTAATATAATTATTTCATTTGTAATTAAAGTTTTCATATTTTTAAATTCTTTTTCAATTTTAATAACTATTTGATTTAATTCAATAACTGAATTTTCTAATAAAACATTTGATATTGTCATTTTAAATAATTCAACACAATTTAATAAAATTGTAATAATATCATGAATTTCAATTGAAATACTATAATATCTTGTTCCAAATTCAGGAGAAAATGAATGAATATCTTGAGATTGTTGTAATAAATATAATTCATTTAATAATATTATTAATTTTGGTTCATAATAACGATATCTTTGAAATGGTTTTAATAAAACTGTAAGTAAAATAGAATTAAAATTTCCATCATTATTTTCTTCAATAATAGATTTTAATATTTTAGAAAATGGATATTCATTAATTATTGATATTGATAATTGTTGAAATAAAGAATGATTTATTTTAAATGCAAAAAATGCATTAATTAATGAATCAATTGAAAATATTTTTATAATACATTTATTTAATGATGGAAGATGATTTTTAAAAGTTTGAATAAATATTTCATTAGTTTGATTAAAATCAAATGAATGAATTGTTTTATGTAATATTTCAATAATATCAAACATTTGTCTAAAATTTTTATTATTATCTGTATTAAAAGAATAACTAATACAAGCTTTTAATAAATGAATAAGAGATTTAAGAAAATCAATTTTAGAAATAGAATTTGGATCTTTTTTTAAAAAGAATTGTAATTCTTCAATTTTTGTAGATAAAATACTCCAATCAAAAGATATAGGAACAATTTCATTAATTCTTTGTTTTAAAAGTTTAATACAATTATCAAGAGTAAGATCATCAATTTTTATTAATATAATACTTTGAAAATGTTTTAATATTTGAATTATACATGAAAAAACTACCCAAGGAACTTCTCTTTTAAATAAAAAATCTCTTCTAATAAAACAATGAATATACATTAAACTAGTTCTTAAACCAAAATAATTAAATAAATCTAATATTTGAGAATATAATATTCTTTTTCCAAAATCTGTTGAAAATATCCATTGATCTTCTTTTTTAATAATTATTGATTCAATAATTGAATTTACACATTTTATAACATTTTTAATAATTTCAGGTGAAAGAGTATGTTTAAATTGATCAAAAAATATATGTTTTGTTTGTATTGAAAAGAATTCAATTACTCTATTCATTCTTTTCATTTCTTTTTCAAATACTTCATTTGAATCTTTTGCTATAATATAATATAAATGTGAAAATCCAATAAATAATTCTCCACATAATTTAAATGTTGATGGAACATCTGTAGTATAAAATTCATTTAATTTAAAAAGATTAATTGTTATAGATTTTAATTGATAAATTTTATTTTTATAAAATAATTTATTTATATTAATAAAATCTATTTTATAAGATAATTTATCACACATCATTTGTAATGCATCTTTAAATATTTCAATTTTTATTTCATCTACTTTTTCATTTTTTAATAATGATAAAATAATACTTTCTTCAAATTGAAGAAATGAAAAAAATGGTAAATAAGTAATATCATCATTAATTCTTATTCCTGAACTATTAATTCTTTTATCAAATTTAGTTGTTGGTTGAAGTATTTCAAAAATTCTTTTTGGAAGATTAGAAACATTAATAGGATTTTTAATTATATTATTTAATGAACATTCTTTTTGAATATTAATTAATTTTAAATATTGTTCATTTAATATTATTTCATTTCCAGGATAAATAATTTTAATAATATCATATAAAATTTTTGTTTGAGAAATAATAACTGAAATATAAAATTCAAGATATAATATTCTTTTAGAATCAAAAGTTTCTCCAACTTGTCTTATTAACATACAATGTTCTAAATTAAGATGAAATACTAAACGAATAAATTCTTGTAATATTTCATTTCTTATAATAATATAATCTTTTGAAATATCTTCATTATTTTGTATTCTTAATTTTAAATTAAGTAATTTTTCTTTTTCTTCTGATTCAATTACATAACATCCAAATTTAGGTCTAAATGTAATAGAACCAAAATCCATAGTTTGAAGTGATTGTAATAATATTTGTAAATCATTACATTGTTTAATTTGTTGTTCTTGAGTTGGATTTTTTATTTTATATAATTCTAAATTTATTGATTGTGTTCTTTTTTCTACTTTTGTTCTATAAACAAGACATTGTTTTAATTCTTCAATTGTTGCTAACATATCAGGAACTTGTGTTTTATTATAAGGTGTTGTAGTAATAAATATTTTAATTTTATCAAATAAATTTGCAACCATTCTATTATGATAAATATAATTTCCTGTATAACAACTTAATACAAATATTACATCTTTAACATATTTTGTATTTAATTTAAATCCCATAGATATATTATGAATAATATCTCCTAATTCATCTATAATTAATGAATATAAAAAATATGTATAACAAATTGTTCTTACTAATAATTTAACTTCACTTTCAAAATTTTCCATAATTTTAAAATATATTTCATTAAAATTTGTTTTAATTCCATTTTTATACCATTTTTTAATATTATTTTTTCTTTCATTAAATTTATTTTGTAATTCTACCATCCAATGATGTAATGATTTTTCTTTAGGAATAATAGCAACAAATACATTAATCATTGCAACTAAACATTTTAAATTTTTTTTAAGACATAATGCTTCTCTTTTACATGATACAAAAATATTTGGATTTGATTTTAATTGAATTGAAAGTGATTTTGATGATTCAACTGCTTTAAGACTAACATGTGCTAAGAAAAAAAATGATGGTTTTGTATTATTTAATAAAATTGATACACGTTCTTGAATATATTGTGTTAATTCTTTTTCTTCTTCTATTTCCATATTAGGAAGTATAGTTTCAACAATATTTTCTTTTATTCCAATAAATGATACAAATTCATCCATATCATCTCCCATTTCTTTTAAATTATCTATTAATTTTTTATTTTTTTTACTAATTTCTTTAAATTCTGCACATAATAAAGCAACATGTGAATTTTCAATAATATGATCTTTTCTACCTTGATTATAAATAAATGAATTTACATATGTTGAATCATGAATTTGAATATCAATAAATGGTGTTACAAAAAAATAAATTAATCCACTTACCATTCTATTTAAAATTTGTTTTGTTTCATTTCCTCTTTTAATATTAAATGTTTTAAATAATTTTAAAAATAAAAACATATCATATATAATTTTTGTTATCATATCATTATAATTATCATATAATTCAATATATTTTAAAACATTTATTCTTTTTTCTTTATCATAATTTATAACTGCTCTAATAGTTATAACTAATTCTATAAGATTTATAATTAATTCTCTAACACATAATGAATCATTCATTAATCTTTCTGTTTGAATAATAATATTTTGTGATAATATTTTTTCATTTAAACTATCTGCTGTATTAAAAAAATGTTCTGCTACACTAGTTAATAATCTAATTAATTTAGCTTTTGCTCTTGATTTTTTATCTATTTCAATTGATTGTAATATCATAAATATAGAATTCATTATTTTACTTATTTCTTCAATCATTTCAATTCCTTTAAAAATATTTTCTTTTATTTTTTCTTCTTCTTCTTCTTCACTTCCAATTCTTTCATTATCACTTTCAATTTCTTCTTCTTCACTAATTAAATTTTCTTCTTCACTTTTTATTTCTTCTTCATTTTGATTTATTTCTATTTCTTTATTATCTATTTCTTTATTATTTTTATTTTCTTGATTTATTTCTTCAAAATTTTCTATTAATGAATTAATTTTTTGAAGACAAAATATATTAATTATTTTATTTCTTTCTTCAATAATTTTTTTAAATATAGCTTCATATTTTATAATTTTATTAATTTTAATAAATTCTCTATTTCCAATTTGTGAATTATCATATGCAAATTGATAAATACTTTTTCCAATAATTAAAATTTCTTCAAATTTTTCTGATTGATAAAGAATATTACTAATAATAGTAAAATATGTTATTATATTCTTTTTAAAATGAATTCCTAATAATAAATTAAAACTAATTATACTAATAATATGTTTAAGATAATCAATCATTGAATGAACAGGAAATACATCACTTATAAATTCAATAAAATATTCCCAACATTTTATTTTCCATGTTTTATAATCATATTCTTCTGATAATTCTGAAATTAATGAATCAAATTTATTAAAAGCTATTTGAATATTTATAATATTAGGTTCTTCCCAATTTATTGCTGAAATATAAAATAGTGTTGATTTAATACAAATATGAATATATTCTTTAAATTGAATAATATAAAATTTATCATCTTTTAATTTATTTTCAATTTTAAAACACATAGCACAAATTTTAATAACTTTAAAAATAATATCTTGAATATAATCTGTATTTTTATTATTAACATATAATTCTAATACTTTAATTATATGAGAAAGTGGATTTAATATTGTAAGTGTATCTCTTGGATGATAATAAAGTATTTTTAAAATTGTATGTGCCATTTGCATAAGACAATCATAATTTATACCTTTTTCTGTTAAAATTTCTAATGTTTTTAATGTTATTTGAATCCATTCTGTTAATTCTTCTAATTTATTAAAATTATTTTCTATTAATATTATATATTTTTTAAATATTGCAACAAGAGTAGCAAATAATGATGATATTTCAATATTAAATGATAAAATAATAATAATTAAATTTCCAATTTCTTTTGATTTAGATTTTAAAATTGTTTGAAGTAATGAAATAGAAAATTTACAACTACAAAAATTATTTTGTGTAATTGAAGGATAAATAAATTCTTTTAATTCAAAATATTGAATAATTCTTTGAATAATAATTATTTCTTGTTCATGTGTTCTTTCTTTTAAAAAATTAAATTTAATACATTCAAAAAATAATTCATCAAATTTAATTCTTTCAAAAATCATTAATAATAAACGTCTTGATATAATTTCTATTTTATTTATATTATTTTCTTTTTTTTGTTTAATAAATATTTGAAAAACTTTCATAAAATCTGGATATTGATTTGAAATAATTCCATATGTTTTATTTGATAAAATATAATTAAGATATCCTTTAATTACTCCAATTATTTGAAAATGATAAAATTTCATTTCTTTATCAAAAATTGTTTTTTCTTCAAGTTTTTGAATAAATTTTTTTAAAATACTTCCCATTTTAATAAATGAACTAATTCTTAATAATCCAGGTGTTATTATATTATTATTATTTAATTTCATTAACCATCCAAATGATTCAAAAAATTTTATTATTTCATTACATGATTTATTAAAAATATTATTAAATATTTCTTTATTTGGTTTAGCAAAATGAATATTTTGATTTATTTCTTTAATTTCTTTCATTAATTTATATATTATTCCACATATTTCTGATTCTGGTTCATTAATAATTTCTGATGTTAAACATAATTTAATTGCATTATGTGAAATATCAATAAATCTCCATTTTAATGTTTTATCTGTTCCAAAATACCAATGAAGTATTGTTTTAATAATTGTAAAACAATAATTACTAATTCCAATTAAATATAATTCATTTGATACAAATATTTGTGAAAATGAAACTCCAAGAATTGATTTTAATGCATCTAATGTTGATAAAATTATTCTTTCAACTGAAATATCTCCTTCATCATATTTCATTGTATTTTGTAATAATTGTTCTATTGGTGTATCTTCAAATAATGTTTTAATTATTTTATTTCCTTGTGAAAATTCTTTAATTTTAATAATATATAAATTAAATATATCTCTATAAATTTTTGATAACATAAATAATGAAATTTCATTGGGATCTTTTATTTGTATAATTTTTTTAATTTTTAAATGAATTTCATTTAATTGATAAATACATCCAAAAACACTTAAAAATAAATATTTTTTTTGATGACTATATCTTAAACTAGTAAATACAATATCATTTAATCCTATTAATGTCATAATTTTAAATAATAATTCATTTTTACTTGATGTAATTGATATTATTTTATTTGTTTTTATATATGTTATTATTTCATTAATTATTGTATTCATTTGTTCTAATTGTAATGGTACAGTAAAATAATTATTAATAACTCTTTGAAAATTTCTAAAAATGAATGTAATTTTATAAATTAAAATACTTAATGTTTTAATATCATTTGAATTTACAATAATAGAATATATTTTTTCAAATAATGTTTTTAAATTAAAATATATTTCTGTTATTTGATTTAATGGTCTATTAATTTTTGGAAGAGATTCTAATGATAATTCATATTCCATTATTCTAATTCTAATATTAGATTGTATTTCTTCTTTATTTTCTTGTATAATATTAACTTTATTAAATAATTCTTTATGTCTTTGAAATACTTTATCAATATCTTGTTTTTCTTTTATTTTATCAATATAAAAATTATAATTTGTTGTTAATTCAAAAATATTAGTATAAAATTTTTCTTTTTTAATAATTTCATTAATATAAGTAAAAAAACTTGCTTCACTTTTTTCATAATTATTATTTAATGAATATTCTTTTATTATATCAATACATTGTAATTGTATAGAATTTCCTATTTTTGTTTTTGTTTTTATTTTCCTTAATTTATCAATAAAATAAAGTTCTTTTCTATATGAATGATTAAGTTCAAATAAATCAAAATTAATATTTAATGTATCTTTATTTCTTAAAAATTTAAATCTAAAATCAATATGAACTTTTAATTCTTCTATAATTTCTTGTTCTGTAATTGATTTTATTTTACTATTTTCAATAAATTTTTTCATTCTATTATATGTTTTTATTTTCCATTGATTAAATATATCATTTCTTTGTGTTCTAATTGTGTTATAAATTGGTTTTTTATATTCATTTTCAAGTTCATTTAATTTTTGTATTGGATTTACTTGATATCCAATTCCAATTTGATAAATTTCTGTTGAAATTTCAAATGATTTAGTAGAAATAATAGAAATAAAGAAACAATAAATTGTAAAGAAACAATGGATTGTATAAATAAATCCTAAAAGAAGTAATCCAATAATTTCATTTTTATATTTATTAAATGTTTGTTTATTATCTTCATTTATAAAAGATTGATTTTTAGGTTTAATAAAATTTCTATAAACATTAATTTTTTTTTATTATCATTAAAAATAATTATTTTAAAACAAACTGATATAATTTTAATAATAAATATAATTGATTATATATTTCTGGATCATTATAACGAATATATCCTATCCATTCAATTATATATTTTGTTACTAAATCAAGAGTATTAATAAATTCTTTAAATTGATATTTTAATTCTTTTATATTTGATATATCATTTATTTCTTTTATTTTTTCAATTGTATTAATTATAGTTTGAAGACATAATGTTTGAAATGATGGTTGTTCCATTTAATAATATTAAAAAAAAAAGAAAATATTAATTTATTTTTTAGTTATTACTTTTTAAATTTATTATTTTTTTAATAATAAAATTTTAAATTAAAATATTATTTTCTTAATTCAATGAAATTTTCTTTATTATCCATTGTTGTACTTCTGTTGTAATTTGTTTTTCATATAATTCTTGTTGAAGAATATCTTCTAAAATATTTTCAATTGTTGATGGTGTATATTTTCTCCAAATTATCTTAAAAATAATTTCTGCTAATTCCATATTTCCTTTAATCAATGATTTATGTAATGCTTGAGAACAAAGTAATTTATAATTAATAGTAAGTTTATCTAATGGAAAAGCAACTAATCTTTCAAGGAAAATTGGAATTAATTCATCATTAATATTTTCTAATGCTTTATTAAATGATGAGATAATAGTAATAAATATTGCATAAACAATTTGTTGATCTTTATTAAATTGATTTTTTTGATAATATAAATTAATAGGTGTAAAAACTTGTTGAAATATTATAATAATATCTATTTGTGGAAGATCATCAGTAATAATAATCATATGTTGTAATAATTCATAAGGTCTTAATTTTAATAATGGAATTATTAATGGTCTAAACCAATTTGTTTGATGTTGAGTAATTGAAATAATAAGTTCATCAGGAATATAAATAACTTGATTTTTATTTGTAATTCCAAGTAATGAATATACTTTATTAATTTTTTCTTCTGTAGGATTATTACTTAATTGAACTGTTATATCAGCTAAATTAAATTTTTTAGGTTCCCATTCTTTTTTTATTAAATTATTTAATAAAATATGTTTTTCTGGTTTTATTATTTCTTGTAATTTAGTAAAATATATTTCAATATCTTTAGGATTCCATCCATTAGCCATATTTATTAAATATTCATGTTTATATTTTTCTTTAAATCGATTTATAGCATATTCTCTATATTCAACTTTTGTTGAAAGAAAAATAATAAGAGGAAGATCATTTCCAAGTCTATCTAAAAATTTTGTAATTAATTGTGAATTTAAATATTGAATACCAATTAATGTATTTTTAAAATCATTTAATAAAAAATATAACATTCCTTCTTTCATATCATTTGAATATTTCATTTTTTCATTAAATAAATATTCATTAAATGATTTTAATGAATTAGAATAAAATCCAATAGATACATCTGGATTATTCCATGAAACAATAGATATTACTTCATAATTTTTTATAGTATTTATAATAATTGGATTTTTCATTTTTCTCATATTATAAATATACATTTTATAATCTGTTAAAATAATAAGGAATCTATAATAAAAATGAATTTTATAATTTTCTTTTGGAATTTCAATTTCTCCAATTTTTATTGGAATTAAAAGATTAGATTTTGAATCAATTAAATAAACTTCTCCTTTTTCTGAAATCATTATTAAATCTGATGTTTGTGGATGAATATAATATTGAATAATTCTAAAATCTTTTGTTTTAAATATTTCTGGAGTTATTTGAATTTCTAATAATTCATTTGTATTAAATTTATAAAATTCAATAATTTCTCGTTGAATAATAAATAATCCATATTTTGACATAATAACATTAGATGGATTTCCTTTTAATTGAATATCTTCTATATTTTGAACTAAAATAGCAAAATTTTTTGCTTCTTTAATTTTATCTGTTTTTTCACTATTTTCATTTAATAAAACAACTGAATAACTATATATTTGTAATATATTTTCTCCAACAAAAAAATACATTTTTGATAATTCAGGATCATGAAATGAAAGTTTATTATTATTTTCTACAAAAAATGTATCTATTGCACTAATCCATTTATTTTCTTCTTCTTTATACATATCAAAAAAAATTTTTCCTGTACAATCTCCTCTAATAATAATATTTGTCTTTTCATTAAAAATATAAAATGTTCTTCCTTCTCCTATTTCATCAAATTCTCCAAATGTTCCATTTGAATTATAATATTTAAGTGTTCCATCTTGTAAAATAAAAAATGTAAATGTTTTATTCATAATCATTTCAATCAATCCTTTATTATAAATATTATCAATTAAATTATCTGCATATTTTAATGGTTGAATTTCTTTAATATCAAGAATATTCATTAATTTTTTCTTTTTAAGTTCCCTTAAAATTTTTATATAAAAAAGAAAATAAATTAAATTTTAAAATTCTAAAATTTTAAAATAAAATAAAATAAAAAAAAACATTTAATTTATTTTTCTGTTATTTAATGACTTCATCAAATCCAACACCTCATGTTTATCAAGAATTAGATATTCATCGTACTATTTCTGAAAGTGTTGAAGATTTAAATATTCGTGAAGATATTGATCAATTAGAAATTTATGAACATATAAGAAGAATTAAAGATCCAGAACATCCATCTGTTACATTAGAACAATTAAAAGTAATAAGTCCTGATTTGATTAATGTTGATGATAAAGGAAATCATATTATTGTTAAATTTACACCAACAGTAGATAATTGTACAATGGCAACTTTAATTGGTTTAACTATTCGAACTAAGTTAATGAGAATTCTTCCACCACGTATTAAATTAGATATTTATTTAACAAAAGGAACGCATCAAACTGAAGAAGATGTCAATAAACAATTAAATGATAAAGAAAGAATAGCAGCAGCACTTGAAAAACAAACATTACTTCAGTTAGTTAATAAATGTCTTATTTAAAATAAAAATAAATTAAAGAAATAAATAAATTAATTAATTATTCTAATAGTTTTTTTTTCTTTTAATTAATTATAAGAAAATAAAAAAAAGTTTTATAGAAAAACTTAAAATAATTAAAATTTCTAGAATGTCAAAGTATTTTGTTTCAAGTCATAGAGGAGAAATTCAAGACCTTAGAGAAAAATTAAATAGTAGTAAAGATGATATTAGAACAGAAGCAGTTAAAAGAATTGTTGCAGCAATGACAGAAGGAAAAGATGTTTCTATGCTTTTTATTGATGTTTTAAAATGTATGCAAACAAATAAATTAGAACTTAAGAAATTAGTTTATTTATATTTAATGAATTATTCTAGAAGTCAACCAGAACGTGCTATTTTAGTTGTTAATTCATTTGTTAAAGATTCAAGTGATCCTAATCCATTAATTAGAGCATTAGCAATTAGAACTATGGGATGTATTAGAGTACAAAATGTATTTGAATATTTTATTGAACCACTTGGAAAATGTTTAAAAGATAAAGATCCATATGTTAGAAAAACAGCAGTACTTTGTGTTTTAAAATTATATTGTATGGAACCAAATAATATTAAAGAACATGGATTTATTAATACATTAAGAGATATGCTATTAGATGATAATCAAATGGTTGTTTCTAATGTTATTGCAGTATTATATGAAATTGGGAATAGTGAAGGAAAAGAATGGATTATTGAAGAAAAAATGGTTAGACCATTATTAAGTGCATTAGATGGAAGTAATGAATGGGGACAAATTTATATTATGAATGCTATTGCTACATATACTCCAAAAGAATCAAAAGAAGCAGAAAATATTTGTGAAAGAGTAATTAATAAACTTACACATAATAATCCAACAGTTGTTATGGCAGCAGCAAAAATTATAATAAAACATTTAGAAATAATTTCACCACAAATTGCTAATATTTATTGTAAAAGATTATCTGCACCATTAGTTAGTATAATATTAAGTAATAGTTCTAAACATGATTATGAAATTCAATATATTACTCTTAGATGTATTAATTTAATAATACAAAAATATCCACATTTATTTATTAATCAATTAAGAACATTTTATTGTTCATATGATGAACCAATTTATATTAAAATAGAAAAATTAGAAATTATGTTAATGTTAGTTAATGAAAGTAATGTAATGGATATTCTTATAGAATTAAAAGAATATGCTCTTTCAGCTGATATTGAATTTGTTAGAAAATCAATTCAAGCATTTGGAAAATGTGCATTAAAATTAGAAAAAGTTGCAGATAGATGTGTTAAACAATTAGTTGAATTAATTGAATTAGGACAAAATTATATTGTACAAGAAGCATGTATTGTAATGAAAGATTTATTTAGAAAATATCCAAAAAAATATCTTCCTGTAATTGCAAAATTATGTGATAATTTAAATACATTAGATGATCCAAATGCTAAAGCTAGTATGATTTGGATTATTGGAGAATATAATCAACTTATTACTAATTCATTTGATCTTCTTAATGAATTTATGAATTCATTTGCTGATGAACCACTTAATGTTCAATTAGCTCTTCTTACTGCATCTGTTAAATTATTTATTCAACAACCAGATTCACAAGATTTAGTACAAAAAGCATTAAGTGAAGCATCTAATTCACCATCATTTGATATTAGAGATCGTGCACATATTTATTGGAGAATTTTATTTAATCATCCACAACAAACATATGATATTATGTTAAAAGAACATGATATTATTACATTTCAAACTCAACAACTTCATCCTCAAATTCTTAATTCTCTTCTTTCAGAATTAGGTGAATTATCTTCTGTTTATCAAAAAGTTCCTGCATCTTTTGTAGTAAAATTAAAAAAACTTGGAGTAAGTGCTAAATTAGATGAAGAAGAAGGTGGAAGTGAAATGAGTGATCTTCTTTGTTTTGATGGTGGAAGTTCTAATCTTATTGGAACTACTTCTAAAAATGTTTTAGATTTTGATGATGATTCTTCAAAGAAAAATGATTCAATGAAAGATATTTTCTCAATTGGAAAACAAACTCTTCCAATTAATCGTTTAACAGCATTACCAAAAACACCAACTGATATGAAAGTTGATGCTTCATTAATTCATGAAGCTGGTAGTTTATTCTTACAATTAGAAATTACAAATAATAGTCCTTTAACAATGACTAATTTCCAAATGCAATTTAATAAAAATGTTTTTGGTTTAGTTCCTGGTCAATTAAATATTGATGCTATTCCTCCAAACAAACGTTGGGGTGCTTTACTTCCCGTTGGACTTATTCCTCCTGAAATTACAACTCCTGTCTCTTCTCGTTTAGAAGTTGCTATTGCTAATTCTACTCAACAAATCTATTTCTATATCCTTGAAATGCCAATCAGTTTATTAATGAAAGAACAATCTCAACTTGATATTGCTAATTGTGCTAATTTATGGAATTCTCTTCCAAATACTATGTCTAAAGAATATAAAGGCTCTGGACTTCAACTTAAACTTCAAAAATTATCTACTTTCATTTTAGTAGCTTCAAAAAAAGTTAATGACAAAGAATTATTAATGTACACAATTAAATTCCTTAATAACATCGATGTTATGCTTGAAATTACTTCTACTTCTAAAGGATATAAAATCCTTGCTAAATGCATAGATAAACAATATTTATCCTTTATTTTCAAATTCTTAGATGGGCTTTTTAATTAATTGAATCTTTAAGAGTTGATTTCTTAAATTTAATATGATAATTAAATTATTTCTTCATCACAAAATAAAATTAAAAAAAAAAGATGAAAAAAAATGAATTAACAAATTTGTTAACATTTAACAACATTATCAACACTATCACTAGATTTAGTAAGTTCTAATTCTATTCCTTGGAGTTCAGGTTCTATATGTTCTTGTGTTCTTTCTGAATTATTTCGTTCTCCTAAAAACATTGTTCTTTTTTTATTTGTACGAGGAGTAACACAGCTATATAAAAGAGACTTTTCTTTCCTTGCATCAGATGGTAATGATTCAGCACGAGATTTCTCATTTGACTCATCAACAACCAAAGGAGGTGTACTTAATTCTGAACGGGTTCCAGACACTTCTTGATTTAATTTTGTGAATTGAGAATGATTAAGATGAGTAGTTAATCTGGCATTACCTATATTGAACTTGCTTTGTCTTGGAACTCCTTGTAATTGTAACTGAGCACTTTTTCTTTGGAATTGTTCTTTATAGAGTCTGTCATTGTTAAAAGATAAAGGACTATCAGTTTTTCTTCCATTTAGAGCTTGATTATGGAATTCAAGAATAGAAGAAGGATCTATTTTAAATGAAGACTTTTGTTTTCTAGATCGGAATAATTCTTTAACTTCAACTTTAGATTCTAAAGAATAAGGTGAATTTTCTTTATCAAAATGTTGTTTCAAGAATTTAACTATTGCTTGTTGAAGTTGTTCATTATAAAGAGTATTTTCATTTGATATAACTGAAGGATAATTAGGGATTGAAGGAAGTTGTTCTCCTTTTTTATTCAAATCTTCGCAAATATAATCATATTGTTCAAGCATGATATCAATAAGGTCTTTAATAACTGATTGATAACTGAAATCAGCATTATTGTAAATAATACAAGGACCAAAAGTAGTAGCAATTTGTGAAATAGTTGATTCATTAAAATCATTATTTGAATAAATATTATGAAGATGTCTAAGAACAAAATATAAAGTATGTTGTTCTTCATCATTAGATAATGAAATAATCTTTTTAATGTTATTTACTTTATTGACAAGATCTTCTGTTGCTAATCCTTTTTTTATATCAAAATAATATATACCTAATATTGGTTCAGCCAATCGTTTCAAATATGTTTTTATAATTTCAAAGGCAAGTTTAGGATAAATAGAAGTAGTAGCAATGTCATTTCCAGAGTCAAGAATAGAAATATATCGACACAAGTCAAGGGGTGCAACTTGTTGTAACATAATTTTAGGAGTGATATAATAATTGGATTCTTCTAAAAAGGGTATTAATCTGTATAATGGTAATGGAACATACCAACCACCTTTTTCTATTGCTACATCAATAGAATAGCCAAAATATCCTATTGACTGTGTCAAAGGAGCTAAAGTAACAGTCCATTCATTAAAATCATCAAGTGAAGAACATTCTAATTGATAATAATCATCTCCAGAAAGTATTTCAAATGTTAAATCTGGTTTAGTAGGACCAAGTTCTTCAGTAGAAATCATCTATATTGTTATTTGAATTATTATTATAAATATATATTCAATCAAATTCTTTTTAATTAATATTTGATTGATTCTTTAAATATAAAAAAGATAAGAATAACAAACTCGTTTCAAAATTGCATTATCAAGAAAGATACTTAACTTTTTTTCTTTCAACTATGTAATGAGATACTCTGTAAAATTGTTGTACACTAGTTAAAAACAAACATCTTTTTCTTTGAAGAATACTAATTCTACTGGTCTTACAACCATAAAGAGTTTTTTATAGTTTTTATATTTTCCACCTCGGATGTCTATCCATCCTTCTGTTTTATGTGTACTCATTTAGAATTAAAGAATGTCAGTTCATTAATTTCTCCTTTTTATTATTTCCATAATCAAATTATCTTGTATTATTAAAAAAAAAGAAACTTCTGCATTCAATCTTTCTATTTTTCAATTATTTTTGATATTGATTTTTCACCAAAAAAAATATTCATTAAGTTTCTTGTATGTTTTCAAAAATCTTACTATTCTGAGATAGATCCACTGGTGAAGTTTCTTAATTCGTTAAAAAATAGAGGTCAATCATCTTTTGAATTTTCAAGGGTTAGTTAAACTATGACGAACGGATTGAAATGAAAATAAAAATAATAAATCTATTTATATGCTGACATTGTTGTCAACACACCTTCTCAAGTATTTATGATTTGTGAGCAAAACCCAAATACAAGTTCAACTACAAAAATAGAAGTACTAATTTTTACACTGTCTAGATTTGTTGTATATATAAACTGAAAGAAAATAAATAGTATTTATTATAATTAATCTGTTTCATTGAATTATAACGCTTATTTCTACTATTAGAATTAAAAATCAATCTTGACATAAACGAAACTCCTAAAACTTTTTTGAAGGAACGTTTTATTTCTATGATAGCAAGAAAAAAAATTTACATTCATAACTATACTAATTCCAAGTGTGTTATTAAAAAGACATACCAAAACCTCATATAAATAAAAAATGTAACAGTTAATATTTACAAAAACAGTAAATTATTTCAAAGATAAAAAGGGTTGGTATTAAAAAAAAGAGGTTAGACTCTATCATGTTTAAGCTAGGAAGAGTATTTAATAAGAAAAGTAAAAAAGAGTCATTACAAAAGATAAGTGTAACAAAAAAAAAATGATAATTTAGGACATAGTAATTTACTGAATTTTTATTTGGTCTTGTTTACACAACTGTTATTAACATAAATTTTCTTAATAGAGTTGGTTTTGATAGTAATGGTATTTTATTAAACAACTAAATAGTTAGTTTATTGTAACACACTAATTTTTCAAATAAAGGACGATAATTATTATTAGGAATATTTAAATAAATAACAAACGTTTTAATAACAAATAGTTTTTCTTTGTTTTTATACTAATTGATAGTGTGTATTGGTTGAGAAGTTTTTAGTCCTAGTATTTTAAGATGAGTATAAGATGTAAAAAAAAACGAGCTAATTGTGTATAAAAGTTATTTTTAAAATAATAAGATTTTCATTATTCAAAAGATTTATTGACAGTATTTTATGTTTTGTAATGTAGTTTACAAATAATTAGTATTATATATTTATAATAATATTTTTATTCTCCTTCATTGCTGAAATAACAGTTAGTTTCTTTTAATAAGAGACACAAACAAGATAATTATAATAGTTAATAATAATAATAAGATTAGTGAATAACACTATATTAGAGTAGATAAGAAAAATTTTATATAAGTCAAAAAGGTCATTGTTGATACTTTATGTTAATTAATATTTTACAATCTTTAAAAATTGTATTTGATATATTTTTAAGTAACGTATCAAATAAAATAAAAGAAGGAGTGAATGAATCAAATATATACTTTTTCATTATTTTGATTGATATTTTATCTAACTTTGAATAGGTAATATAATAAAGAGATAAACTTTTACTATAAATATTATGCGATTATTATTGGTAAGAGAAATAATATAGACAAAACATTTACAACCAAACAAATTATTCTTTTATTTATATTTTTTTTAATTATTTTTGTTCTTGTTCTAAAATAAAAGAGTAACTCTTTTCTATGAAAAAGAGATAATATGGTGAAGGAATAATTTTTGATCCCTAATACATAATTAAGTATTTGAAAGTTTCTTTGTAGAATGATTTTTTAATTATATAGAAGTATAAATTCAATAGTTCTGTAAAACTTACACCATAAGAAGTTTCTTTTTAAAATTCTATAATTATCTTTGATTCTTAATTAAGAAAGGGGGATTTTTTTATTACTTCTTTTTGGGGGTTGTTTCCTTGGGTAGAAAAGGGAATCTTTGTTCTTTTGAGAATAATAAGAATAACTATTTTCAGAAATTTTATTTTGTTCAGATAACATGAGTAAAACAGTTTTCTATTTCTTTTTTAAGTGTAGATACCTTATTTACCATATTTAAATAAGACAGAATCTTAGAACTACATTTAATGATCATTTATTTGATTATTTGTTTCTCTTGTATTGCTTTTGCTGAACAATATACTATGGTTGGAACAAACTCTAATTTCCTTGAAATGAATAATTGGAATCCTCAACACTCTGGTGATTTCACAACTTCAGATGATTTAATTCTTCCAATAGACGGTTTCTTTAGTGTTTCTTCTTTAAGGGTAAATAAAATTATAGTGTCTGCTGATATTGACCTTTCAGTTGGAGTACTTATAGTGAATGACATTGAAGATATAAACAATAAAACATTTATTGTTAGAGGATTAACTACAATCACTGGGTCTTGCTCAGGAATTGTAAAGATGAGATCTCTTAAAGGAACAGTTACAAATAATGGGTATCTTCTCGTTCAAGCAACAGAATCTCTTGTGGTTGTTAACTATGGAACATTGGAATTAGGAAATTTTGAATCTGGTGATTATAGTATTTTTACTATGGACGTTGAGAGTTATGGTGATATCATTTATTCCAAACCGATTTATGAATCTAACTATTTTAATTGTTTTGGAGGTAGTATCTCATTTGAAACAAAATTACTTCCAATAGTAGTTAATCTTAAAGATACAAGAATTTTAACTAATATGGAAATTACAGTGAAGTCAACCATTAACAATTGTACTGGAAAAGAATTATCTATAAAAGGAGAAAGTGTCACAATAACTAACAGTAAATTTACAAATGTAGAAGTTGTTGACACTTCATTAAATTCTTGGAATTTGGAGTGTACTTCTTTATTTCTCTTACAGACTACTCGAACTCAAAAAAATGAAATAAAAGATTCTATCATTTCTTCTCAGAATGTAGAAATTAAGGGTAATTGGAATATAGTTAATTCTCAAATAGGACGTTTCACAAAAATATCAAATGCTCAGATTGTAATGGATGATCATTCACTCTTCTTTGGTATTCTAAGTATGGAATTAACAACAATCAATCAAATATTCTACAATGGAACTGATTTGACTACAAAGTCATGTGTTATTGACTATGTAAAATGTACCTCAACATTTAATTACATCTCTACTACAATCAATAATTTAGAATGTCATAAAGGATGTATTTTAGAATTTATATCAGTAACTTCTCTTCATATATATAATAAAGAATGCTCTATTAAAACACTTAGAGCACAAAATATCATTGGATATACTGATGAGTGGATCTTACCATCGGATTTAACTGTTTCAAAATCTATTGATTGTCATAGTATTTTAGTTTGCTCTTCTACATGTTCATTTGTTTCTACTGCTTCATCTGTTAGCGATTTGATTTTTAAAGAAGGTCAAATATTATTATCTTTTTCTGGGTGTTCTATTGTTAATATTTTTTCTAACTCAGAGACAATAATTAAAAGTGTTTTGCAATCTACGACAGATTTATATTTAACTATTAAAAATAATATATTAACTTGTGAATCAATTATTAAGAATCTTGTAGCAATAAATTCTTCTGTGACATCGTATGGAAATATAGAAACTTTAAAAGGTATTAAATCCACATTTTCAATACAAAATATCAATAATAATATCATATTAGATGAGATTGTTGATTGTCAATTTACAACAAAAATTACTGTAATATCGGGGACACCAGTTATTCATGGCTCTTCGTTTGTATTTCTCAGTATTTCTTCTTCAAGTCTTATAATTGAAAACTCTACTATTACATCAACACTAGAATTATTTTCAACAACAATAACAGGAAGTTGTACAACAAATTCCTTCATTTTTGATGATGTTTTAATGAACCGATTTATAATGAAATTGTCATCGTGTTTATCAAAATATACTGCTACCAGATTGAATTCTATTGAATCTTCATTTATCATTCCATGCATCACTAGATTATCAACTATAGACAATGAATTAAATGTTGACTTAATACTTACTGGAGATTCATACATTGGATATGGAACTACTTTAATGTCAAAAACAATTACAAACAATGGACTGTTGAAGAATTATGGAACATTGAATGTTTCAGAATTTATTTCATGTTCAGAGAATTCTCAAATGTTAGGAAATGGAGAGATTATCTGTGAACAAGCAGTAGTTAATAGCCTCTCTGAAAATACTATAAAAACAACAATTTTAAATATCACAAAAGATGATATAATATTAAATAAAGTGACTTTTAATGAGAATGGACAATTAAATCAGAACAGACACAACATAACAATTAAAGAATTAAAAATAGAAAATGGACTTACGATTAAAAAGACTTCAGGATTCATAGAAAATCATTTACTCGTTGGGAGTGGTAAAATTTTTGGAGATTTGGTTACTCTTAACTCATTTGAAGCAATTCTAACATCTGTTTATTCAATAGATATTCATAATGTTCGTTCTTCTGCTGAAATAACAGATTGTTTTATTGATACTCTTAATATAAATAAAGCAAACGTCCAAATTACAAGTAGTATTTTTAATTCGTTATATTCGATATCATCAAACATTTCAATTAATGGAAAAATACGTATTGGGACATTACAACTATATGAAACTGAAATAGAGGAATCTGGAGAAACAAATATAGTTGAAATTAATTATTTTTTAAATGGTTTTAGTATTATTAATGTACCTATTTCTATAACGTCTAGAATTGAAGGTACTTTTACATTCAAGAAACCTGTTAAATTAATAAATATTCATTCACCAAAAAAATATGAAATTACTTCTGAATCATTATTAGAATGTGAAGGTTCTATTGACTCTTTTTCATTTAAAATAATTAATAAAGGAACAATGTTAATTTCAGAAAATTGTCAAATTTCTGTTATTCTTGATAATAAAAAAGAACTTATTGCTCAAAATACTAAAATAATCAGAACAACTATCATAAATGATGGAATTGCTACTTTTGTAAATGTTACAGCACCACTAACATCCATTACAAGTTCTTCTTCAATGTCAGTTTCTTGTATTAGTGAACTGAATAATATTCATCTATTAACTGGATCTATTACAAATATGAAAGGAGATGTTAGTACTTCATCATTTTTATGTGAAGGGACATATTCTGTTGATACTAATGCGACTTTAAATTTTACAATATCAAGTGTAAAGAAATGTATCATTAATTTTCCTAAACCAGTACATCACCTTCATTTGACTAATCCAACAAAAACAATTCCATATTTTATAAGTGTTACACCAAATAAATTACCTCTTGTTGGGGATTCATTCTATCTTATCTCTTGTGATAATCAACCATTCCCTGATAAACCATCTTCAGAAGTAAGTGGCGTTGATAGATTAGCATTATCACGTGAATTGGATAGTAATTCTTATAATATTTCAATCACAAAATGTCCATCAGGATCTTCATATATTCTTAGTTGTATTGAATGCAAAGAAGGTGAATATCAAATTGAAGATGAATGTTATAGATGCCCTCCAGGTACATACTCTGATAAATATAATTGTATCCCATGTCCAGAAGGGACTTATAGTATTTTATCATCTTCATCATGTCCTGTTTGTGGAAATGGTATGTGGTCATACATTAGTTCTTCTGGATGTTATTCATGTAAGTCTGGGTATTATAAAAATAGTACAATAGGATGTGTTCCATGCATTCAAAATACTTGGAGTAGTGAAGGTGCAGATGAATGTATTGAATGTGATAAAGGGATGGTTACAATGGATCATATTACATGTGTTAAGAATAAAACTAATTCAAGTGATTGTGAGGATGGATATTATTTTAATAATAGTGAATGTATTGAATGTGAAAATGGGTATGTTGAATTAAATAAATGTATTCAGTGTAACGATGATGAAGAATTGAATGAAGAGAAGACAGCTTGTATTTTTTATTCAAAAAAACAGTGGATAGTTTATTTACTATCATTTTTAATATTTGCTATTGTATTAATCATATTTGTTCTGATGCTGGCTTTCCATATTTTAAATTATTATAAAGAAAAAAGAAGAGAATCAGAACAAAAGAAGTTTATTGAAGAAATGTTTACAGTCCAAAAATCTCCTTCAGAAGAAGACGATATTTCGGTTAAATATATGACACCAGACGAATGGTTATATCCTGATTCGAGTATTACTGTTAATGGAAACTTTGACACATTGAATAAAATAAGTGAAGACAAATTCTTAGAAAGATATCAATTATATAGAACTAATCAAATGAGTGAAAAACAAAAACAGGAATTTAAAAATGAAATTGAAATAAAAGAACAAAAAATGAAAGATTATTGTTATAAATCTAATAACGGAAATAATAAAGAAGAAAATAATAAAAAGAACTCATCAACTACATATAATTTAGAGATTGAATTGGAAAATGAAAACCAAGAAAGTAAATCCCAAGAAGAAAAAGAAGAACCAATAAAAGTTACTGAAGAACTACAAATAGACCTTGAACAAAAAGAAGAAACAGTAGAAGCTGACCAAACGGAAAAATTAACTGAACTACAGCTAGAGTCACCACAACCTGTTTTTCAACAAATAAAAACACGGAATAATATTTCTTCTAAAGCAGAAATTACTATTGCATTAAATGAAATTAATAAATTAAAAGAACAGTATGAAAAAGATTTATTGAATGTAAAATCTATGGTGAGGTCATTAACTTATGAAACCAATGTAACAAAAGAGAAGCTTAAAGTTCTTGAAAATGATAAAGAGAATAAAAATCAACAAGAACTTAAAGGACGTAAAGAAGCAACACTAAGTCGTGCAGGAATTGATGGTGGAAGTAGAGTTCAAGATATTTTGATTGCTGGAGTAAATCCAAGATTTATTCCATTACCTGATCCAAATGGTAAAAGTAGTGGTTATTTAAAATAAATACTTTATTCTTTTTTTATAATCTCAAGTATTTAATTGATTATATACAAAGTAAATTTTGTTACTTTTGTATTTTACTATCTTAACATAATGAAATTATTATTATTATACTTTTTTATGTTTATTCTACAAATTATTAACAATCCTTATATTGAGTCAAGACTTAGCCTTTTTATCTGTTAATTCAATGGAATCATAAATAAAATGTTATAATATTAGTTTTACTAACTCTTATTAGAATATAGGAAAAATAATATACAAATTAAGTCTTGAAAAAGAATTCTGTAATTGACTTATCTGGACAAATTTCTTATTGACAATGTTCATTATTAATTTAACTTGTTTTGTCATATTAAATTATGTAAAATATCACCAAATCTACTTATTTGTCACTGTTTCTTTATTATTACTTTCTTAAGATAAACTCATACTTTAAATATCTTCATTTTATAATATATCGTTTGTTTTTTTAAGAAAGGTTCTTTAAAAGAAGTTTAAAGAAATACCTAGAAGAAACTATTTGATTGTCAATAGAAAAAAGTTATAACTATCTTCTTTCTTGGTTGTTTTAGTATAATTTTAAATATAAAGGGATTTTCATTTTCAATTTAACTCAAAAACTGGAATACTTGATAACCTTCTTTTATTTTTGTTTTTGATAGAACTTCTAAGATATGACTCAAATCCATAATGGATGTACTCTACTTTTTATTCAAAATAATGATTTTAAATATATACAACATTCTTATTAAAATGAAAAACCATCTTGCTCAATTCACAAGTAGCACCACAAGAAAAAACAATAGTATTACCAAACTATTCTAATGTCTTTTCTTTGTTTTGTTGTGTTCTTTATCAATAATTTTGAATCTCTTTTGAAAGTTATTGGCATGAAGGGAATTTTTTCTAAAGGAAAAAAACAGTAAATACCATTTATTGATAATAAAAAAATTAAAAATAAAAAAATAAAAATTAACTGAGAAGAATAAGAAACAATTTTAATGAGCCAATCCATTTCCAGTGATTCTGTTGTAATTACAATCTCTCTCAACCAATTAAGGAACGAAGAAGACTGTGAAAAGACACTAACTCTATTAAACAATGCCATTGAACTAGTTCAGTATAAGAAAAAAGAATTAAAAAAAGTTTTTAACGAAACAAAAAACCAAGGAACAAAAGAACAAGAGAATATTAAGGAAGTTGTTATAGTGAGAGAATTAGAAGTTCATAAAAAGGAGTACCAATATGAAGAGTTCTTACCTAAAAATGATCTTGGTCTCTTTAAAAAATATCAACCAACAATATTTTTATGGACTAAAACAACACAGTTTTCTATTTTATTTGATACAAATAAAGTCGGATGGAATAGGTCATTATTTAACTCGTGTATACTCAATAAACCAAACCTTCTTTTTCTTTGTTTTTCAAGGTCAATGGTTATTGGATTATGGTCTTCAACAGAAATAAAATCTTTTAATTCTTATTCATCTGACCTTTCTTTCTTTTTAATGAAAATCACTGAAGATGAAATTCAACATTGGTATAGATCAAAACAATCAATTTGTCCAGACGATGCAATCTTGGTTTATTCAAAACACTCAACTCGATGGTTTGGTTGTTATGACTGTTGGATTCAAGCAACTCCAAATGGTACAAGTACCATCTACCCAGAAATACTCTCAGATTTCTCTGGAATAACTTTCTCAAAACAATCAAGTTTCATTTCATCTTTTAAAGTTGAGAGAGTAGTAATTTTGGAATGTGCTTAGACATTATTCTTTATCTCATATCTCTTTTTGCATAAAAAAATGCAATCGAAACAAACAAGAATAAACATAAATTATATGTCTTGTACAAAGACATTAATTTTAATTCATACTCTATCAACTCGACTTTTTATAGTTAGTATACTACTAAAAAGATTTAATAAAAAGAAATGAATATTTGTTATTTACTTACTGATCGAGTTTTTGTATGCACAATATTAAACGATAGAATAATAAGAATAAATTATAGTTAGTTCTTAAATTTTTAAAATTATTTTCATTAAAGTAATATAAAATAATATCTTATCTTTAAACTACAATATATTTAAAGATAGTCTTGTTAATCTTAATTTTATATTTATTGTAAAAAAAACTCATATAAAAAGTTATTTATTCCTTCATTGAGCATTTATCATTTAATACTTTATTTACAAAAATAACTTAAAAACAGTATCCATATTCTAATTATTGGCTAAAAAGACATATAGAATAAGCTCTCACATCACTTGGATTTGTAATATACCAGAAATTATTAGGACCACCAACTTTTGATGCTCTAATAATAGAAGAAGGTTTAACTCTATTTTGGAAGATAACTTTATATTTTTTACCTGTTTGAGGATCAGTAACAACATCTGAATGTTGTAATGCAACTCTAAAATCTGGAGTACAAAATACTGACATTCCACCAACATTTGAAACACCTAATTTATCTCCCCATTGAACAATTTCAGTAAATTTAGAACAATTAGAACCATGGAATGAAACTGCCCATTCTCCAGTAACATTTGAACATCCAAGCCAAATATTATTCCCACCATCAAACATTCCAAGAACATGAAGAGCACATCTCATACAACCAACTGGTCGGATATATTCTAATCCTCCTCTAAAAATAGAACGTCCAGTGTCATCTACTCCTCTGAAGTCATAATCATACCCAGGATCAATTAAACTACGTAAAATGAAATTTTTAGGTTTAGAACTTCTTAAACGAAGAATAAATTCAACTAAACTTCCATCAGTAATTCCATAACTGTTAATAGTTCTTTTTCTATCAAGTACTTGTCCGTTAAAAGTGAGGCGTTGTCTTTCAATTGGAATTCCTTTTGAGAGGTCTCCATTCCCAGTAACTAATTGAATCTTCATTTTAAAAATATCAACTAATTCATTGGCATTACAATGAATATCAGCAATATCCCCCGTAAGAAGTTTAACTTTAACAGTTACTGGTCCTACATTTTTAATTTCTCTTAATGAGCCTTGTTGAATTAATAATAATGAATAGTCTTCTAATTGATATTCTTCACAATATTCTCCATTTGGTACTACTGAATAAATATTTTTACCGGTAAGACCTCTTAGTGCCTCTGCTAGTTGGTTAGTAAAAGGCATTCCTATTGAATAAAGAAATTAAGATTTAGGGCAGAAAATTAATTTATAAATATAAAAGGAATGACTTTTATTTTTTAAATACTGAAAAAATTAAAAAATATATTAAAATGATGTTATCTTGATATTCTATGATTTTAAACATTCTTTACTTATTCAAAACTTTTTTATGAATCAAAAATCTTTTATATTCTTCCCTTTTATAAGAATTATGAAATGTAAACCAATTTAACTCTAAATAAAAGTACAAATATTATTTATTTATTGTAATATATCAGAGGAACCATTTATGAGTAAGCAGTATTTTCATGCCAGTACCACAACATAAGACATCATCCATTTTACCTAATTTAAATAATTTCTCATTACAACAAGAACTTTCGATTCCTTCTTTATGAACTAAAATAACATGTTCTTGACTAAAAGAAAATAACACAATACTTTCTAGATAAATGCAAAATCATGTTATTTATTTCATTTAATATCAAATCATTATTCCCTTTATTCCCCCTTTTGTTTCTATGAAAATACAAATGATTTTGGATCTTTATATACAATTATCAACTTAATCAATTTTAGCATTATACATCCTCCAAATTTATTTCCATTTTGTGTCTTCAATAAAAATTATTATATGTTCTTTATTTATTATTTTTTTCTCTATAATCACTTTCATTTTCATTTTAATCATTATTATCAGATTTAAAAATAATACCTTCTAATTTTCTTGAGACCAAGTACTCTCTTTGTTTTATTTCTTCTAGTTACAAGACTTCATTGTTTATTTGAACTTTTGTTTGTTGACTAGGTTGATATTCTGTTCTTATCTTTTAAGAATGTCTTGAACAATTTGCTCTAAACAAGTATGTCTATTATCTATTTCATTAAATCCAGAAATTGGAACACGATGAGTTCATGGCTTCTTTTCCTTATTTCATTTTAGAAATAAAGTTTGAGATCACTTATCTTAATAGCTTTTTTTTTTCACTGAGTTTTGTCAAATTAACCCATTGAAGTTCTATTGGAAGGGATGACCTCTCACCCAACAGAATTTCTATTTATTTGTAGTTCTGTTTTATAACTTTCTTTAGTAATTTAATCTCTTATAGTTTTGTAATATCAATCTTTTTTGGTGATACGTCACATAGTTCTTGCTCCAATCTTTGAAAGTCATAACTGTTAATTCTAGCACTAATTACCTGCTTTACTAGATAAATTTGAAAAACTTGAGATTATTCTTTAAGTTTTAAATTAATTCACATAACTAATAAGACTAGACAATTCTGGACAACTACCTGACATTTAATAACAAATACAAGATTAACTTAAATGTTACAATATGAGAAATTAGAGGTATATGAAAGAAGGATGATGTTTGAAAAAAACTTTAATTATTTTTTATTTTTTTGTATTAGTATAGGGGAAAAAATTATATTGGAAGTAGGACGTATTTTATTCAGAGTTAGTGTAATAAATGAAACGGTAAAGATTTTATTTTTAGTAAATGATGTAAAATATAATTTACATTCTTTTCTTTGTTATTCATTTATTTTACAATACTTTTTTCAATTAAAAAATGAAATGAAATGATTATATTTATTTATTCTTTATTTTTTACTCTTTTCAAGGTAGTTTATATGTTTATTTATTGATGTGTATTATAAAACATTTATTAATCAAATACTATTTCATTTAATCTATTTTATGAGTACAAAGTAAAATATTTTATGTTCAGATAGTTTTAATTGATGAAAATGAGAAATTAATTTCTTTTATCTTAATTAGTTATTATTATTATTGGAGATTTTAATTTAACAATTACTCTCATATTATTCTAATTATATATTGTGATAATATCATATTGCTTAAATGATAAATTAATTAATGTAGGAATAGTATTTGATTCTATTGTTTTCATGATATTTTTTATATGATTAGTTATTGATTCTCTTTGTTTGTTCTTTTTCATTGTTTATTGAAATGGGATAAAACAGATGATTTGATAATTGTATCAAATAAATCATAATCATTATTTCAATATTATTCAAATATATTTGATTTATTTCATAATCACAATGATTTACATTTTGAAATAATTGATAAAATTATATTTTATTAATTAAATCAATGACATTCATTCTGTTTTGATTTTTTAATTGATTAAACAATACTAAATCAAGTGAATGAATAAGATGTGATATGAGATATAATAATGAATAATGATATTATGATAAATATATTAAATAATAAAATATCAATATGTTAATTAAACTTATTCATTATTATTACTGTTATTGATTATTATCATAATCACAATTAATTCATTTATTAATAAGATATCAAATGATTTTATTTCAGATTATTTCACAAAATATATTCATTACTGTGACTATTGTTTATTTAGAAATGTAATATATTAGCAAATTATTATAATGAGAATTAATTCATCCAATGTGTTACAATGAATTACAAAAGCAAGATAAATAAAAGTATTACCAACACAAATACAAATCGTCATATTTTGATGTTATTGATGTTAATTGGTTTGTAATTTCTATTCATTCAGATAATATACTTTTATTGAATTCTTATTATCACACCAATTGAGTCATATTTTATAATATTTAATACTAATTTATATTAAATATCATTATAAAATATGATAAAACAATAGATATTAACAATTTAATTATATTTAATATTTATTACATATAATATGTAAAATAAGAAATTAATTTAAATGATAATCAATTCATTTATTAATGATGTTAATATCTCGTTTCATATTCAATAATTCATATTAATGAAATAAGAATTTATTATTTAGAATTAACATATTTAGTAATTCATTAATTCTAAATCAATTTCTTTATTTATTTTTCATTTGCAATGTTTTATTTATCTTATTCTCTTTTAATAATGCTCAATATATTTCAATATATTATATTAAATATTAATGCTAATTAAATCTAATTCATTCATCATATAATGTATTATTCATTCATCTTTTTAAATGAACACATTATTTAATTAATCATTGTAACAAATAAATAATTTATTAATGAATAAATAAAGAGATTTCATTTAAATTAAATATAATAGAATTAAATAGTAAATCAAATTTTAATTTATTGAAATAAAAACATGAAGTTGAGAAAGAATAAAATTAGATACCATAAAACATATTAAAAATAAATAATTCACTAACATTCAAAATAATAAAAAACAACATAAAATAAAGAAATAATGTAAATATAAAAAAAATATTCTATTAATAAAAATAATAAAATAATTATAAATTTTTTCAAAGAACATCTTAGTTCACATATTGTATATCATTATAATATTTTCACTACTTATTATATTAATAATAACTACTTCCTACTTCTCCTATTGTAATAATATCTTATTTATTATATTAATGAATTAATATTGAAAAAAAGAAATAAAAAAAGTTGATTCAATTAAATTTCATTAAATTCATATTTTTGAAAATACTTTTTTTGCAATTTTTTTCATTTGTTTTTCTTGAATAGAAGAAGTTTTTTGTGCAATTTTTTTAGCATTCTTCTTAAGTGTTTGTTTTTTCTTTTCATTGTTAAGCTCTTTGATAACTAATTCTGTTACAATCTTCTCCACTTCCTTTGGATTTTTTCTCATTTTTCTTGTCATACGAGTAACTTTCTTTGTTTCAAAAACGAGCATTTTTTTATCTTTTTGTGCTTGTAGTTTTAATATATTAATTTCTTTTTCACATCGATTAATTCTTTCTTTTATTGAAAGTTTATTAATAATTTGTTTACTCATATTTTTAGGTAAAATCTCTGCTGTCTTTTTAATCATTTTTAATAATTTAACTATCATTTTGACTATTTTAACTCTTTTTTGATATAAATTAATTTTAACACTATAAAGTGTGTTTTTATCTGTTTCATTTAATCTCTTCTTTTCTTCTTCTTGAACAGATTTAAACATAGTTTCTACTTCTACCTCTACTTTTTGGAATTGCTCTACTCGTGCTTCTAATGCTGTTATCCTCTTTTGAATTCGTTGTATCTCACTTTCTGGAACATCTCCTACACATTTTTCTCCTGTACTAACTTTAGATGGAACTATTTTTGTTGTATTAGTAACAGTAACATTTGAACTCATTACAACTGTAACAAATAATATAAGTAAAATGCTTCTCATTGGTTTAAAAATATAAAACTTTCTTAGTTTTTTACAGTTTTTTTTTCTTTTTTTTTTTTTATTGATTTTTTTATTATTTCGTTATATATAACAACTTTTATATATTATGGAATAAATAACATTAATAATGATCTTTTTAAAAAAAGAGAAGTTTTTATTAGATCATCACTTGGAGAAAAACAAAATGTAAAAAGAAGTTGATAAATAAGTGAAAACTAAAAATTTACTCTTAAAGAAGTTGAAGCTCCTTAAAAAATCTATTTAAAGTTTTTTAAAATTGATAGTAGTTGTTTTTTAGTGATGAATCCTACATTGGCAACCCCACGTAGAACAAGACCAAAAGTAATGGATCTTCGGTTTACTCCTAGAGAAGATAACCAAGAGTTTGATTTTGATAATTTTTTAATCAATAAAAACAGTATATTCACGTATTAGAAATAACCAACAATTAGTTATGCTAAAAGCAAATAAACAAAATTTCTTGAATCCTCCAATTCTTAACCAATTGGGTGAACTTGAGAATTCAATATTTTGTTTGTTTTATCTAAAAAATGCAAATCACTTTGTTAAATCTAAATTTAATTTAATAAGAATGAATATGTTATATAGTAAATCTACTCCATCAACACCTCGTTCGTTGAACAGTCCAAGAAGTCCAAGAAAGAAATTTTCATCACCAGAATTACAAGAAGAATTATTAAAATACATGGAAAAGTATAGAATGATTGGTGATAACTTTGTTTGGTTATCTGGACTGGTATCTATCTTTCAAATAAAATTTAGTGAATATTCCCAAAAAAAACTCATTGAATTATATCATAGCATCTTTTCAGTTAATCCAATCATAACTGATGGAGTTAATGTTTTATTATCATATGATACAATAAATAAAAAACCACGAATTATTCAATTAACAAAAAACTTTCTATTTATTGGAAAAGAAGAAACAAAGGAAATTGACCATATTATTTATTTGACTAACCCACATCTCATTCTCATTAATGAAACAACTATTGGTTTTAACAACATTAGTATTGAGTTTAAACACCAAGATGTATGCGTTAAATGGATTGATAATTTAACAAAGTTACAGCCATGGTATGCCACAGTCCCACGAAGCACTATTCGAAAAGATGATCATTCTCTAATAATGTTTAATCCAGATATAACTAGTGGAAACAGAAATCGTTCAAGTAATGATTTAATGAAATCACATGGGTCATTAATGCCATTAATTCAAAAATCTGTATCAACACCAAATAAAGGATTATCTCCAAGATCTAAAGGATTGCTTTCAAAAGGATTTATCAGTAGATTAAGCAATAAAAGTAAAACAACAAAAATAATAAAAATAGTAGGTGTTTCATTAGAAACACTAAGTGTAGAAAATAATATAATCACATTACCACCAAATATTAGTTTATTAATTCAATATCTCAAAAAACATGCTATTACTATCGAAGGAATCTTTAGAGTATCTGGAAGTAAAGACAACATCCAAAAGGTAGTAGAAAAACTCGACACTAAAATGATGACATTTGAATGTCTTACTAACTTTGATATTCATTCTGTTGCAGGTGCATTGAAATTATATATTAAATTATTACCAGAACAAGTCATTCCAAAATTTATTGACGATAGATTATATGAATTATGGAAACAAAAAAATACATTACAAGAAGATGATTTATTCCAACAATTTCATGAAATTTACAAAGATATCCCTCCTATGACATATAACTTTCTTAATGAATTACTTGATCTTCTTCATTTAATTGCAATGAACAAAGAAATAACTAAAATGAATATCGAAAATTGCGTGACTTGTTTAGCTCCATCTCTTCGAGGATATCCCTTTGTGTATACTTATTCTATTCAGCACTATTCTCAACTCTTCCCAAAAGAGATTCACAACCAAACAAAAGAAAAAACAATAGAAGAATCAAATACAACCATGTAATGTTCAATTCATTAAACAATTATTTTTTTAAGCCCATGGGTTTAATAAATTCATTAGGAACCCAACCTCTTTTACCACCAAATTCAACAGGAATCCAGCCATTTTCAATATTACCAATAATAATAACAATCTCCCCTTTTTTAAAAGAAAGGACTCCAGGATCAGTACTATAGAAATCAACTAATGTAGTAGCAAAATCTTCACCATCAAATAATCCATATTCATTCGTTGATTCTTTAGATAATTTTTTTGATTTTGATTTATTTGGTGCATTTCCTTGAGCAATACGAGATAATGATGTAAATCCATCTCTCCAATATTCTCCTTCTTCTTCACCATCAGTTAATAATTTTTGGGTATGTTTTCCGTATTTAAACTGAAACCCATATCTTTTTTTAGTTGAATCTTCAGCTTTTGTTCTAACAATTTTTAGATCAGTTACTTCTTTAAAATTAATCGTCTCTACTACTTTTGTTGATTTTTCATCTGCAAAACATTCTAATATTAATGGTCTTTCAAAACTATTTTGATACCATAATTTACTCCATGAATGTGTTCCTTTTGGATCTCTTCTTGTAAGGTATCCTCTCAACAATGGTACTTCAAATGAAACATCGGTAGAAGGTGTTTTAGTAGTAACTGTCATGTTTTTATTTTGAAGATTCTTTTTTTTCTATTAATTTTTTTATTTTTCTAAAAATATTACAATTTTTTTATAATTTTATTTTTATCTTCTATTGGATCTAATATATCTATTTAAAGTTCTTCTTAAAAATGTAATATATAACAAAATTAAAATAATTAAGAATAAAAAGTATCACCCCATTCATCATGTCGGTATTTTTTTCGTTGATACATGAAGAGAATTAAATTAATACAGGCAACAATCACACACAATATGAGAGTCGCAGAAATTGGAATAAACAGATAATACATCAATTTCATAAATGGTTTATATAACGTAGTTTTACATGTTAACTCTAATGGTGTAAACTTATGACATTCGTAATTGACAGTTGCACTATCAAACCCACAACATGAATACTTTTGACGTAAATTTTTGTTATTAATTCAAACAATTTAAAAGTACAAAACAAACTTTGTATTCTAATTGATTCCTAAATTCCTTTTTTCCTTTCTCATTTGTGTTTTGATCTGACTCACCTTCAGTTGAGAACAGAGAAGAAAATGATTTCTGAGTATTAATAATAGAAATAGTAAGAAGAATAATAACAAGAATTGATAATAAAGTAGTCAAAACAGAGCAAACTATGCTCAGTAATGTTATCACTTTATTATCACATGAATGTGATAATATAATTGATATGCAATATACAAACAAAATAATGGCCAAAATAAAAACAAAGCACATTGACATTGTATTTAAAGCAAATGGCATTGCTTCATTGTTTCTATGGCCAACAATAATATCACCATATTGTCCAATAAGTAAAGAAGATTGATAAATCATTGAATAACTGAACATCTAAATTTGTAAGTTATTAATTTATTTTGGTTTACTTTCTTAACAAACAGACAATAAAGTAACAACAATAGTTGGAAAGATAATCATTATAAAAAAAATGATATTGAAAGATTATTAAACAATTTTAAGATTTTCAAATTTTGTAAAAGAAGTATTAAGACATTATCAATAAATTACTTCAAACAGTAAAGAATTAAATCAATCCTGAGGTTGTTTCTTGTTAGGAGGAGTTATTGTGGTATCAGGATCTATTGGTTCTCTCTTAATTGGTTGATATGGCTAAAAAATAAATTATCTATTCTATTAAATAAAAATTTCATATATTACTTTGTAATGAAAAGAAATCAAATAAAAGAAACAAACTATAAACGAAGGATGTTGAAATTCTGTTGGTTTTTGTAACTCTAAATTTTGAGTAGTACGATCTATTGATAAATTTGTTGTTTGACTTGGAGGTATTGTAGGGATATTATACATTTCCTTTTTTAAAGGGGTTGTTAAAGGAGAACCAGTTAGTAATTCAGGAACACCTTCTGTATTAGTTGGTTGAATAATAGTATTTGATTTAATTGTTAAACTATCAGGTTTTGGTGTAGAGATATTATCCTGTTGAATAGGGTCATTAATTATAAGTTGTGAAGTAGAAGTTGGTTCAGGAAGATTAATTTTTTGAGTAACTGGTTTAGACATTTCAGAATTAGATTTAGGAATATCTATTTGTTTTTCTGGTTGTTCTATATCAATTTGGTTATCAGCTAAATTAGAATAATCATCATTAGTAAATGAAATAAATTGGTTTTTAAATTCTACGAATTCAAGTAACATTTTTTTAATATCATTTGTACTATAAACTACTAATTTATCATCTTTAAAAACCATTAAAGAGACTTTACAATCACATAAAATACTTAGTTCCATTGCTTTTTTAATAAGACCATGTCTCCTTTTTTGAAATGTAGTTGCTCTTTTTTTTTCATTTTCAATTCGTTCTATTCGAATTTTATTTCTTCCCATCTATAATTTATTGATTATTATAGTTCTTTTTATCTTTTCTATTTTTGTAATTTCAATTCTTTTTTTTCTCTTTTCGATCTGTTTTTGTCATATTCAAGTTCTAACTATTTCTATTTTCTTTTTTTTTTCCTTCATTAACATTTTAACTTCAACCAAATACATCATAAATTAAATTTTTATTTAAATTTAAAAAATTTAAAACATTGATTTAAACCATTCATACCATGTTTGTTGTGGTACATTTCCTGTTCCACTTCCTGTTCCAAACATAGGTTCTTTTTTTTCTCCTATATTCTTTATAACAACATGTAATAAAATAGATGGCCAAAATCTTAAATTTTCCAGTGTTTGATTAAGATCAGTGAATTCATTTTTCTTAACTCCATCAATAAGAACAAATTTATCAAACCCAAATCCCATGACAAAGTTATAAACTTTTTGAAGGGTGTCTTGTTTTTCAAAATACTCTTTCTTTATTTCTCCATTTGGTAATCTAAGAGCTATATGAACTTTTTGTTTCTTTTCTTCTCTTTCTTGTTTTTGTTGTTTTAGTTCTAGTTCTCTTTGTTGTTGCTCTTCTTGTTGTTGTTGAATTTTATTTTCTTTTTCTTCTTTAATCCGTTTAATTAATATCTTTCTATATTCTTCATCTTCTTTTCTCTTTTTTTCATTTTCTTTAATTAAGTTTTGTTCAGCTATTTCTTCTTTTATCCTTTGTTCTTCACGGGCTTTTCTTTCTTTTTCTCTTCTTTTTAACTCTCCTTTCATTACCTTTATTTCATCATCACCTTTTTTTTCTTGTTGTTGGTTAGATGAACTAGTTTGTGATGGTGGTTGTTGACTAGGAATGTTTGGTGGCTGTTGTTGATTAGGAATGTGTGATGGCTGTTGTTGATTAGTAATTTGTTGACTCAAAACTGATGCCATTGTTAATTGAAATATTGTTGATGAAATAGTGTCTTTAGTAATTTCATTCTTAATAAATACTTTTTGAAGTCCAGCTCCATTAAAGAAGAATACTGAAGGAAATACAATTGGTTGAGTATCTAAATTCTTAAGTTAATAATTCTTTATTTACGTAATAATTAAAACAAACACAAAGAACTAAAGAATTGAAAGTTTTCATCATTTTCATGAAGCAACAATGTAGTTGTCATTTTCATTGTTTCTTTTAATTCATTTTCAAATAGTTGGAGAATAGACTGACTTTCATCACTGTCATTAACTGCTGTTATAACTATAAGTTTATTATTTGTTAATGACTGTTCAATAGCATCATAGATAGGTCCATCGTACCAAATATTTTCCATTTCTTTTTCTTTTTAAGTTTTTTTTTAATTTTTTCATTAGAAATTATTTATTAAAAAAAGTTTAAAAATTGTTTATTTTAATTTTTATAAGTAAGTTCAAAATTACAATTGATTAATAATGTTTAATATGACTGAACCATTAATTCCAACACGTTGCAATGAGAGGTTAGTCTCAGGAAAATGGTTTCCTTTCATATCAGTGATTGTAAATGCTTTGTTATAATAAATAGATCTAACATATTCATAAATCTCATGAACTGAATTAGTAGGATAAAACTCATGCATAACGCTTTTACCATTAGGACATCTAAATTTGATTTTAATTATCCCATTATAAAAATTACTAGTGCTTTCTATTTGTTTTTGTGTTTTAATTTTTTGTAATTCTTTCATTTTTTCTTCTGTTTCAAAGTTTTGAATTGCTTTTAACTTCTTTATTTCATTCATTTCTCGAATTGCTTTTTCTTTATTTTCTTGTTCTTCTTTTCTTCTTTTCTCTTCTTCTTTTTGTTCTTTCAAACACCTTTCTTGTTCTTCTTTTCTTCGTTTTTCTATTAGTTGTTGTTCTGCATTAAGTTGTTTTTTTCTTGTTTCGAATAAAGTCATTTTTTGTTTATGATTTGATGGTAATTTTCTTAGTATTTCATTCACAGAGGTTACTTTTTTATGATATTCTTTAGTTTCTTCATTAGTTTTTTTATCTTTTTTTATTGTACTGTCCTCTTCTTTTTCTTCTTCTCTTTTTATTTGTTGTGTAGGGAGGTCTTTAGGTGCATTGGTCTGTAAATTTAATTGAAGAACAGTTGACGCAATATAAGACGAGTTAATGGCTTCATCTTTTTGAAACAAAACAACTCCAGATTTATTAAGTATTATTATTGAAGTTGAAAGAACAGGTTCTGGTAAAAATAGTTTTAGTAACGCCAATCTCTCATCACGTTCTTCAAATAACATAATGTATGATCCTTGTTGAATAAGAAATGGTGCTAAGTTAGTTTCAAAACTCTGAATAAATGTCTGTGATTGATTTATATTTTGAACTACAACAAAGGTTATTATTTTGTTGTTTGTTTTTACGTCATTAATGATTGTTGTCAATGATGAATTACACCACATCTTTTGTTTTATTATTATTTTTAAGTTAAAATCTTTTTTTTTATGAAAATAAATAAAATATTTACTATTTGTTAAGATTTATGAGAAATTTGTTTTTACCCTTATCTTCTTCAATAGTACAAAATTCAAATTTTACTAATTTTTGCTTCATAATTACAGACTTACAAAACTATAAATCATAAAATAAATATGAATTATTTTTAAAACAAATTTAAAAAAAGCTTTGAATATGAATTGATATTATTATAAGTAGTATTCGTTAGAATATTATTGTTGACACTTTGTAATAAATAATCAAACCAATTATTGTCTAGTTTCATGTACTTTGTAAATAAAAAAGGTTTACTTTCCTTTACATTAGGATTATTTTTAAATAAAAAAATAATAATGAATAAATTTTGTTACTCTAACTCTAATGGAACATTTTCAACATTCTGTAAGTAATAAAGAAACCACCAAAAATGTTTAAACATGCAATAAATACAGCTAAACATCCAACAATAGTAACAGCAATAAAATAGAAAAGATCAGTTGATGGATCAATTAATGAAATATTTGTAATTCCTCCAACAGCAATAATACCAGAAATAGCATTAGTAACAGACATTAAAGGAGTATGAAGTGCACTTGTAACATTCCAAATAACATAATATCCAACAATAATAGCAAGTACAAAAGACATAAATGCGGTAACAAACATTTCAGGCATAAATAACATAAATATAATAAGAAGAATTATAGCAATAAAAGCAATAATCTTTCCAATAGAGAAAGTTTTTTTATTTTCTTCATTATTTAAAAGAGAAGGAGGAATAATATTATTTTCAACTTTCTTTAATTGTGTATTTTGATTAACAACTTGAATTTGAGGTGCTGGCCATAATTTTTGTCCTGAAGAACAAATAACCATTTGTCTAACAATTGGTTCTTCAAGTTTAATAGTAAAATCAATTGCTTTTTTACAAATTAAATTTAAGAAATTAAAAATATTTTGAGAATATAATTGAGATGCTTGTGGTGACATTTTAACTGTATAATCAGTTTGTCCAATAATAATAATTTTATTATCATAAAGATATGTTTCACCACTATGAGTTAATTCACAATTTCCTCCATTACCAGCTGCTAAATCAACAATAACTGATCCTATTTTCATTGAATCAACCATATCTTGAGTAATTAAAATTGGTGATTTCTTTCCTGGAACATTTGCTGTTGTAATAACAATATCTGTTTCTGGTAATAATTGTCTAAATAATGCATATTCTGCATCAATAAGTCTTTGTGATGCAGCATTTGCATATCCAAATTTATTTTCTGCATCTTCATCTACATTTACTGTACAAAATTCTGCTCCAACTGATTCTGCTTGTTCTTTTGCTGCTTTTCTAGTATCAAATGCTTTAACTTGTGCTCCAAGTGCTTTAGCTGTAGAAATAGCTGCAAGTCCTGCAACTCCAACTCCAATAACAAGTACATTAGCTGGTTGTGATTTACCAGCTGCAGTAACTTGTCCCATAAGTAATCTACCAAATTTATTTGATGCTTCAATAACACATCTATATCCTGCAAGATTATTTTGTGATGATAATGCATCCATACATTGTGCTTTAGATAATCTTGGTACACAATCCATTGAAATAACATTAATTCCTTTTTTAACTGCAAGATCAAGTAATTTTAAATTTTTTGCTGGATAAAAAAATGAAATTAATGTTTGTCCTTGTCTCATTTTATTAATTTCTTCTTCTGTTGGTGGATTTACTTTACAAATAATATTTGATTTTTCATATAATTCTTCTGTTGTTTCAGCAATACGACATCCAACACTTCTATAATTTTCATCAGTACATGATGATAATAAACCTGCTCCTGATTCTATATAAATACCATATCCTCTTGTTCTAAGTTGTTTACAAACTGATGGAACCATAGCAACCATTTTTTCTGGTATATTTTCTTTTGGAATACCAATAAATAAATCTTCAGGATCAATTTTCATTGGAATTGCTTCTTGATGACCAGCTAATAAATTAGTCTTTTCAGATGCATTGATATCATCATTACTCAAAACAATATCACCAATTAATCTTTTTAGTTCAGAATTTAATTCTTCAAATCCTTTTTTACAATCACTTAAGAACATTCTTGTATTAGAATAGAAAAATAATGGATTATCTACTGCTGCATATCCTTGATTAAGAGATCTTTTATTAACTACACAAATTTTAGCTTTATAAACATCAATAATTGGCATTCCAGCTAATGGTGATGTTGGATCAGTTTCTGCTATTGGATTAACTGTATCATTTGCTCCAACAACAATTGCAACATCAAAATCTTCTAAATTTTCTATTTCTTCCATTGCAAATACAATTTTATATGGAACATTAGCTTCTGCAAGTAATACATTCATATGTCCTGGTAATCTTCCTGCAACTGGATGAATAATAAATTTTACTTCTTTTCCTGCTTTAATTAATTCTTCTGCAAGATTAGCAACTACGTGTTGTGCTTTTGCAACTGCCATTCCATATCCTGGAACAATTGCAATATTATGTGCTTCCATTAAAATTTTTGCAAGTTCTGGTGTTTGAATTGGATTGATTTCTTTAGGTCCTTCATCTTCTTGTTTTTTTGTTTTATTTGTTGTTGCTCCAAATCCTCCAAAAATAACTGACATAAATGATCTATTCATAGCTTTACACATAATATATGATAAAATAGCTCCTGATGATCCAATTAATGCTCCTCCAACAATCATAGCATAATTATTTAATAAAAATCCTGATGCTGCTGTAGCCCATCCTGAATATGAATTTAACATTGAAACTACAACTGGCATATCAGCTCCTCCAATAGCCATAACCATATGCCATCCAATAAAGAATGAAATTATAGTAACAATAACAAGAATACTAGCATTAAAATAAACACTATACTTTTGAATATCAGTAATAGAAACGGTGTCTCCAAAAACAGGAATGTCATTCATTACAATAACTTCGCTAGCAATATATGGAATGCATAATAAACATCCTAAAATAACTAATACTGCATTTAAAAAATGTCTAAAATTTCCTCCAATAATAAGCGGTTTAGATCTAATGATTCCTTGTAATTTTCCAAATGCAACAATAGATCCTGTAAATGTCATTCCTCCTATAAATATTCCTAATACTGTTTCAAGTCCAATCATAATTAAATACATTATATTGGCTTCTTCCTTTTCTTCATCTGTTTTGAACTGATGGACTTGTTGGTAAGACGAAGCGTCTTTAATCCAATGTGCAAAACCAACAAAAACAGCAGCAAGTCCTACAAATGAATGAAATCCTGCTACTAACTGTGGCATTTGAACCATTTCTACTCTTGATGCAATAAAAATACCAATACATGCTGCTGGAATCAAACAAGATAAATACCCAATAAGTAAATAAAGAATTTCATTTCTATCAAGTGCGTCAGGTGAGGTAGATGCGTTAAGAAAGTCATAACACTTTGAAATTATTGCAGCAATAAAAGCAACGCACATTCCAATAATTCCATAAATGTTTCCCATTTTAGCACTTATCTGTGTTGATAATCCTCTCAAGGCAAGAATAAAACAAAGTGAAACAATAATATTCCCAACTGAAACAAAGTTGGTAAGGAATTTCATATAATTGAAAGTAAAATGGTCATCTGGATTAGAACTAGTAAACAATAGAAGTGACATAAAAATCTGATTATTAAGATAACTCAATCTTTTTATTTACTTTTCTTTAGAAAAGAATCTAGAAGAATCGAAAATAAATGTGTAGAAGTAACTCTTACTTTCATTGGTTTGTTTCTTTCTTAAAAATCTAATATAAAAAATAGTTTTGTTTCATTGTTTCTCTTTGAAGTTTTTCTTTTGTTCTTTATTAAAGAACTTTAAAAAGTTTTATTCTTTTAATATTTAGAAAACATCAAGTTTCAACTTTTATTGACATTTGTTTTATCTTTTAATACATTTCAAGTAATAATTCTTTAATTTGTTAATTCAAATATGATTTTACCAACTTTAATTTTTCATAAATATTTTGTTTCATTAAATTTTTTGAATTTGTTTTTTTTCTAAGAACATTGTTACATTGTTTTATATAAATTTTTATTAAAGACAAATTCTTGGATAAGACTAAATAACATATTAAGTTTCGTTGAATTGTCTCTAACTTATCTTATTTATTAAGAGAGGTCTTGTAACAAAGAATTCTAAAAAGATAGTAGTACTTAATGAATAATTCATTTTACTTAATAATTAATAAATTCAAATATACTGTTCTAAATGAATAAATTTTAGTTCACTATAAATTTGGAGTGAATAAAATACTCAACTCCATTTATTGAAAATTTATTGAAATTTCAAATTATTTCACTAAAAAAATTAGTTTTTTTTTTTTTTTTTTCAAGTTAATTTCAACTTCTTTTTACAAAATCTTTTTTAATATTATTTAGAAAAACATTTTTTTTTACAACAAAAAGGGACTTCAATTGATATTATTTAGAACTCTAAAATTGATTATAACTGAAGATGGGTGGTAGTTCAAGCAAGCAAAAAACAAGTGTAAATAAAGCCATTATCGTTGAAGAAAATATAACAGAAATTGACATTAACGAAAGGTTCGATAAAGAAGTAAAATTTATTCAAATAGAAATCAACAAATTGGAAAATAAATTCAATGAATTTCAAACTTTAATGAATATACAAAAACAAAAAGAAGAAAATACCAATAAAATCCTTGAAAAGCGAGGTATAGAGTTGTATGAATATTATATGAAATTAATACTTACTATAGACCAATACGTTGGACTAGAAGAAACTCGTAGAAAAAAAAGGAAAAGTTATGTTATTTTTATTCAAAAACGACTAGATTTAGTAGAGCAACTACAAAACCAACTAAGAGATAAACAAACAAATCAATCAGAAAGTTAAAATTGATTTTATTAACAAATATATGAAATCTTAGCTTGTTCTGGTGTCTCACAGTTTTTCTTAATGCTTTTTTTAGAATCCCTCTTTTTATTTCTTAATTATTAAAAATTTAACAAAATTAATTTTGTGTTGAATGATTTATTTTTAAATTTTGGAAGTTTTAAAAAGATATTTTTATTTATCACTATTATTTTATTTTTTATTGGTTCAAATAATATGAATGGTTGATACTTAACAGTGATTGTTAATTTAATTCTTATTCATAAAGCTTTTTTTTATATTGCATCTCTAATAATATATTAAGGATTGATAGAGTACCGAGATATCTTTAACTTTTTTATTTCATATTGATGTTATAAATGTTATTAGCTTGTTTAATTATTCTATTAATTATCTCAACAATTTTACAACATTATATTATTTTTATAAATTACTTAAATAAGAAATAGAATTAAGTTACAGAATATGTGTTACAATATTATTAAGTGCTATGAATAAATAATAATAAAAAATAATTTCTATCCAATACCATCTTAATAAAATTATATGAATTAATAGAATTAAATCTAAACCAATAAGAATATATAATTAATTGTTAAAATAATAAAATAAATACAGTGTTTGACTAAAAGAACAGACGTTGAATCTATAATTAACGTATTATATAAAATAATTATATTTAAATATTTAAATAATCATTTAAAATATGGTCGGGGATGGATCAGAATCAATAAATAATTAAATTTGTAAAATATATTATTTATTAATAATTTCAAGAATTATATACTTGATGATAACAAATAAAATGTGATGATTTTGATATGATTATAGTATATCATAACGATTTAATTCTTGTTAATTTTCATATAAGAATATAGAATATATATTATCAAAGTATAAATAATAAGAAATGCAACTATTGATAACATTATAATTATAATATAAAAATTATATCTCATTAATATATTAAAATACACGTAAATAAAGCGTATTTCAAGCTATGATAATATTTTGTTTGAATGAACTTTAATTAGATATTTTTAAATGAAATTAAAATAATATATATTAAACTCTTAAACAATTGACCATGTTTCATAAAGTCTATTATGATATATAATAATTAATATTTTCGTTCATCTAGTATATGCTTATATAACTATTTAATCTCTTTTACATTACTTTTAATTCTTTATTATAACCATTATATAATACTTTTTAATTAATTATTATTCGTACTTCTTTTGTTATATTTGTTTCATCTATAAATTATTTGTTTCATCCTATTCTTTTTATTCCCTTTTATTGAAATTTTAATATATCTTTTAATATATTGTTGTTATCCCTTTCATATAAAATTAATAAAATACATTTAAATTAAATCCAAAAATCATTCGTTTTGTTTTATTAGAAAAAAAAAGAAAAAATATATAATATCTTATTTATGAATAATAGAACTATCATAAGTAAATAAAATAAAAATTATAAATTAAATTTAGATCATGTGTTTAATTTTTTTAATAATAGAAGGGCTTTAAAAATGTTGAATCAAAAATAGTTTGTTTGTTATCTTCTATTAAAACAGTGTAACCATTTGAAAGGGAGTATTTTAATAAAATTCTATAAAAAATTTAAAAAATTACTTTAAAGAATAATACTTATTAGAATAATACTTATTAGAATGATACTCATTTAAATATTCTTTAATATCTAATGATTTTGTAAATAACATCAATACATATAATTTAACTTATCGTTATTCTATTTTTTATTCTGACATACTTAAATATTTTCTTACTCAATTCATTTATATTATATTAAATAACAAAATTACAAAGAACAATACAACTAAAGAATAAATATTATCAACAACTAAAATAAACGATAGCCCATGACAAAATCTTCTCATTTTAACTTATTTATTCAATAAATGTTAAAACAGTATACACTCATTTATAAACTTCAAAGAAACAGATAGAATATGAACACACTAGTGATATATTTTTAATTTGTATTGAAAAAATAAAGAAACAACACGTTTTATTTGTGAAATATGTTTGGTCATAAAAAATAATATGAAAAAACCAAAAGCTTTTTTGAAGAGTTACCAATTCATAGACATCAAGTCAATAAAAAGAGAAATCAAATATAAAGTTGATTTATACTTCATCAAAAAAAAAAAAAAAAAAATAAATTATCTTCTTTTGTTTGTTATTTATTATAACAAATGAAAGCTAGTTAATTTTATTCTAAATATGAAGCAACTCTAACACTATTTAGTTGTTCTTTTATTTATATTTCAACTAAAACGTTTATTCTATTGTTCATAAACTAAACTCCTTTATATTTTCTTTATTTAATATTATCTTTAACTCTTACTCTCTCCTTATAAATGTTATCATTTGGTTTTAACTTTTTATGTTATTTTAGTATAATTTCTATTAAAACCATTCTATGTTGTATTACACAAGAACTTTCTTAATAACCTAATAAGTTAAACTGTTAAGGATAATGAAAAAATATTTAGTTTCATTTATAGGATATATTTTTAATGAATGGAGGAAATGTTATAATCATTTAAAAAAAATCTATAACGAGTTAATGAAAAACATAACTAAATATGAACTTGAAAAAAGGAAAGTTATTTGAAGTTAAAATAGTTATAATAATTTCTTTATATTAAATAGTATTAAACTTAAGAAAGTACTTCCGATTTATAATATTTTAAAATATAGGCTTATATATTATAAAGTGATATTAAAATAAATCAAATTATTAATATAAAAATTATACAAGAATAAAAGTAATTCCTAAATATATCTAACTAACAAAAACAATTTTTAATATAATAAAAATAATACAAAAAGAATTTCACTACAATACTTATTATTTAATAAAAAAAATTACTATTAATTCTTCATATAAAATTATTTTTTTATTAGTAGATTTTTTTCATAAATAATAACCATTAATAAAAACCATAATTTTATTAGATATATTTTTCACTTTATGATAATATAATTTATCTTTTTAAGAATAGAAATGATGATAATGTGGTCCGTGTTTCTGAAAACTGAAGAAACTATAACCACTTCTGATTCTTTTTACTAACAAATTCAAAGAATTTTCAAATTAACTAAAAACTTTAAAATATTTTAATTTCAATAATAAATTATAAAAAATAAATAATAAAAATGTTCAAATGAAATTAATTCTTTGGTTTTTTTACGATATAATTATATCCAATAAATTCAAAATTTTTTTGCCAACAATGTTCACGGATAATAAGTAATTTTTGAATATCATCACAAGTTACATTCACTCCACTTTTATTCTTTTCAATAAGAGTCTCATAATTTTCTAATTCTTTGAGCAATACTTTCTTCTCAAGATCAACATGACTATGGAATCTATTTAACTCTCTTTTCTTATAGAAGTCGTCTACAGAATTATCAAAAGAGGAACTCTCTAATTGGTTAATATATTCATTAATATCTTCGTATAATGTCATTACTTCTTTCTTTGTTTGAGTAATGAAACTTTTTGTTATTATTTTTCCATTTGAATTACTTGTTAATGACGAAGGTGAAAAAGTAAAGAACTTAGGTGATGGGGTGTATTTGACTAAAGGAGTAGGAGAAGAAGAAGAAGTATCACTTTCTTCAGTTGGACAAATTTCAGTATCTTTAAATTGGTGAAGTATTTTTTCTATAAAATCATTAATTGCTTCAAAAACTCCTTTCTTTTTATGAACAAGCATTGGTTTAAAATAAACGTTATTAATGTTTTGATGAATTTTTTTAAGTTCTTCATATCTCATTGATAAATCTAAATCTTCTTTGTAATCTTTTACAATCAAAATATGAGTTGCAATCTTTGAAAACAACGTCATCCAATCACGTGCAGCATCAAAACTACTTTCTATATCTTTATTTGTCATTAAAATTATTCCATCAACATGTTCTTTAATTAGTGTTAGATTTCTTCCTAACTTATACTAATTTATTAAGTCATTACTCATGCCTTGACCTACTTTTATCAAAGTATTATTAACAAACTTCTGAAAATGGAATATCCCAATATATCACTGATCTATCATTAACACTGGAACGATAAATATTAATACCAACTGTATGAATATAATTTGATGAAAATGTATTACCAACAAGTACTTTACACAACGTTGATTTAAATGTTTTATCTCCTCCTACAACAAGAATTTTTAAAGCTTTTGGATAATTCATTTCTTTAAAGATAATTTTTTAGTTCATTTTTTGTTTTTCTATTTCCTTAAAAAAAAAGAAAATTAAAAAGTTTTGTGGTGGTTCTAAATAAAGAGTTCATAGTTTTATCTCTAAATTTAAGGAGTAAAAGAAGAGAATTGACAACATGGTATTAAAGTTTAATTTATGATGACACAGCTGGTTGTTCTGAACGGAGAAGACAACAAGACCTCATTCCTAGATGAAAAAGTATCAAAAATATTTAAAACAAAACCCAAAAAATTAGAAGGTTGGTTCATTTTTTGGGATTGGCTTTTTTTAATTTTTGTTATTAAGAAATCAAAAATAAAACTAAAAAAAACAAAATAAAACCTAATAAAGGGGGTAGAAGAACTGATAATTCTTGTTCTTCAGGTTAATGTCAAAGGAAGATGCAACTAAACCTGCTGTTTCTGGAAGTAATTCATACAATATGGCAAACAAAACGAAAGCACTCAAAATATTATCTAAATATATCAAAGAGTCAGATATATTAGATATGATAGGAGAAGGTCTTGCAATCAAGTACAAAGAAGACAATGAAAAATTTAACTTCCACCTTCGACAGATTTTAGCTGGTCTTCGTAAAAACAAAAAGTTAGTAGATAGTCTTTGTTCTAAAAAAATTACTCCAAATGAATTAATTGAAATGTCACCAGATGATATGGCAGATGAAACTGTTAAAGAAATTAAAGAAAGGATTATTAAAGATGAAGAAGATAAAAAGAAGCCAATTGATATTTCTAAAATTCCAGATAGTAATGAATTTAAATGTAGTAAATGTGGTAGTAGAAAAATTCAAGAAACGCTAGCACAAACACGATCTGCTGATGAACCTATGACTCGATTCTTAACATGTGCTAGTTGTGGTTTTTTCTGGAAAATGAGTTGTTAATTGATTTTTTCTATTGGAAATAAGTGTTAATTTTAAATAATTGTTTAGTTTTTTTCTTCAAAAACACAAAATCTTAAAAATAATTTTATGTCAACTCAATCTCATAGTCCCCGTCCTAGTTTTTCAGATATTTTCTTTTCATCAGAATCTGGTACAGATGGAGAGGTCTTAAATAAGGGAATGCCTCCTTTATGTTTTCTAATTGAAAGTATCCATTTAAAGGGTGGATTAGAACATTTAGGTACTATTTATTTTATATTAAGATATTATTCAGGAAGGTCTCAACTCAAAGAAAATTTAATAAAAGGAATTCCCATAACTATATTTAATATTACTAATCCTCATATTTGTTTATACTTCCATACAAAAACAACTAAAATTGGATATGTTACTATCAATTTGGATGAATTTGATAGAATTGTAATTAATAGAAGATTTCAAATTCTTTTTAATTCATCGTTTCATGCAACAACTCCAATGGCACTTCAGTCAACAATTCGTCTTTCATTTAATAGTATTTCTACAATTCAATTGATTCAAAATTCTTTTATTCCATTTAATATAGGAAATACATTAGAAAAATATAATAGACCAGATATTGAGGTTAAATTAATTCGCGTAGGAGATGTTTTCTTTTCTGAATGTCAAAGTAATTTATTGAAAAAGCCTTTACCTTTATTATTACCAAATTTTACTCAAAATGATACTGAGATCGAGATCTTTCACAACAATCTCAATCCTCAAAATCGGTTATTTAAGATTATTGAGAAGATTGAACCTCATGACTTATTGAGTTATGAGTTAGTCAGTATCCCACCAACAGAAAATAATAAAATTGTTCTTGATAATTTCCTTTCTTGTATCAATTGGAAAGAGTTATTAATCAATAAACGTAAAACTTCATTCCAAATTATGGACTTTGACGAAAAAGGTCGAGTTGTTATTAAACAAGAAGAAACTTTTCCAGGGTATTTCGTTAGAATAAACTCAAAGAAAAAAATGGTTAAACTTTGGTTGACAAATGAATCAATGTTTGATTGGGCTTTGGTACATGTAGATAAAAAAGATATGCATTACTATATTTCGTTATATGCTAATCCCCTTCAAAAACACATTAAAACCCAATTTAATGATTATGAGTTTAGTACCAGTATGGTACTTAAAGTACCACTGGATGTTGTGTCTATTCATTCGTTGACTTTTTTCCTGTATGAACTTCAACCTTTCAATTCATCATTGACAACAATGAAATCACTATTCCCGTTGTTCTAATTATATTCTTTTGTATTAATTTCTTTTTTTGGACTAATATAACAAAACAAATAAAAGTCATAAGAAGACTAAAAAACCCTAATTCCAAAAATAGAACTTAAAAATAGGAAAAAGTAAATAATAAAACTATATAAATACATTTATTTTTAAGAAATGAAAAAAACAAAAGGAGAACGTCAAGAGAAAAAAAGAAATTTGTTCTAAGTAATAAGAAGGATATAAAAAGGAAATGAACTCAATTTAAACAAATTGATTAAACAAAAGAAAGGATGGAAAGTACTCAATCAAAGATAATTATTACTAAAAAACCTGCTCTTGAGGTTGTAGAACCTCCACAAGCTAAGTTCTTGTTAGTTGCATTTCTTGTTATTGTCATTATTGCATTTTCAAATATAGTCATTATGACTGCTCATTGAACAAGAGTTAAATAGAACGATTTTAATTAATACTTTTTTATTAATAAATTAAGGTTAAATATTTTATTAATTAATAAACTAAGCAAGTTCAGGAAATAGTAGTTTTAATTGATAAACTAACAAATCATTATTATAATTTTTAATATATTCTTGTATTTTAGTAGAAGGTATTTCAATAGAGTATTGATTTGCTATTTGCAATGCCATTGATATATTATTATTCATTAAATATAAATCAACTAATTTTGAATAATTTTTCATTCTTTTTAACATATCCAATCCACAATAATATAAACATGGTATCGAACTGTATTGTTGAACTAATATTATTGCAATTGAATTATTATCTGGTATTACTTTATATTGTAATAATTGAGTTAAAACAAATTCTTTTCTTTGTTGAATTAATCCATTTACAAGAGCAATATATAGATCTTCAGGGATTTGAAGAACTCTTTGTGTAGCACAAGTAATCATTTTCATATAAAGTTCTTCATTGATTTCATCATTTAATTTTGATTGTTTAATGCAATCAAAAATTTCAGTCATAGTAATGGCTTGATTACAATGTCTTGACCCAATAGCCTCAATAATTTTTTGAAGGTCAAATTTAATTTGTTTACAATTTAAACTATTTAAACTGTTTTGAAAACAAGACATAACTGCTTGTTCATTATTTTTAATTTTTAATTCTTTTTCTATTACACTTTCTTCCATATTTCCTTATTAAAGATCTTTTTTTTTTAAGTTTTATTTTAAAAAGAAGATAATTGAAAATCAAATTCAAATTAAAAGGAATCTAAAAAGAATGTTGGGAAAACAAAGTAAGCTAAAACCATAACAATTCCACAAGTAATGGTATGGAAAATAAATGCGATATTAACTAATTCATGTTCTGTTTTTGGTCCAACTATAAAGAGAATTAAATTTAATAATGTATGATGTGAAGTAACACACTCCAATTTATGAGTTTCTTTATTTAATTTTGGTAATCTATGTCTTGGACAATAAATAAATCCAAAAAGTTGTGGAATAGAAACAAAGAAATTAATAAATTCAGGGAAGAATAAACAAAACATTAAACGGTCGTAGCCTCCAATTATTGAAGCTACTCCTAATACTCCACCTGAAAAATAAGTAAATGAATCTCCAACAAATACTTTACTTGGAAATTTATTATAATAAAACAGTACTATTGTAACAAATAAAAATGGAATAAGAAGATATAATGATAATAAAGAAGCTTTGTATTGTTCTGATGAAATTGTTGTTAACAAAATAATAATATTATGAAGAATTGAATAAACTGAAATAATGATACATTGTCCAGACTCTAACCCATTAACTCCTGCAAACATATTAATTGAATTCGTAAAGAATACTGATAAACAAATTAATCCAAAAAGATAAATAATTGATAAATTTATTCCAAATAATGTACAACTTCCAGGATAGATAATTACAATTAACATTGAGGAACAAAATGATAAAATCAATTTATATCTCCATCTAATATCAAGAAAATCATCAATCAATCCAATAATAAAATTAAATAAAATTACTAATAATGATATAATATAATTAGGAGTTGATATTAATGATGAAAATAACATAGTAATAAACATAAATACTATGCCACATACTAATCCCATTGATTCTGGTATTTTGTCTTGAGTACCTTTATTAATGTCAAGTCCAAATAATCCTTTTTGAATACACTTATTTCCCATATGTGGAATTAAATAATAACATGCTATCCCACCAACAAAAGAAAATCCAATAAGTATTCCACAATTAATTAAATCATTAAAACTTTCTTTAAAAGGAAGAAGACATGTTAAGATAATTAATCCAAATACACCACAATAAAATGCGTCTAACTTCATTTTAAAATTTAATTCAATAATTTTTTTAAGTTTTTATTTAGGTTTTTTAAAGGGTTTAATTTTGTATTAAAAACAAAATAATATGAATGGAAATAATTCATTTAATCTTCTATTGAATCTGTTTCCATTTCCATAACAACAGTACTTTCTTGATTTATTTGTTGTTGTTGTTTTAATAACAATTTCTTTAATTTGTTTGTTATTTCATGATTCATCTTTCCAACTATTTGAGTTAAATCAAGAATAACTTTTTTGTTCATTTGAACAACTGAAAGAACAGATGCAAGACATTCTAATGGCCATTCATTAAATAAATAATCAACTTCTAATAAAGGTTCTTTAAATAATTTCTTTTGGTTGCATTCAACAGCAAGATCATCAATAATAGATTCCATTTTTCCTTTATTTTCTCCAATTTCATTATTAAATAAGAAGTAAAATTCACATTGAATACCAAATAATTCAAATAGTTTTTGTTCATCTTTATTATTTATTTTTGAAATTGAGTATAATAAGTCAAATAATTCAATATATCCAAATGAATTATTAATTTCATTATTAATTTTATTCCATAATAACAAATAATTTAATATATGTAAAATTATTAAACTCTCTTCTGTAATTTCTTGTATTCCTTCAATCCTATTTTTTAATTTAATAATTCTTTCTCTTAGCAATGGTAATGGATCTACTTTAATATAATGATATAATATTATTAACCCTTTTAGCCCATCTATATTAACTGATTCATCATCCATTTCATCATCTAAAATACTATTACAAATAATTCTACAATCTTCTTGAATAATTCCAGATATAATTTGTTGAATTTCTGGATGTTGAGTTGTATTCATTTCACTTAATAATTCAAAATAATTATAAATCATATCATATCCACTTTCTCTAATATTAATACTTACTTCTTTTAAAAACTCCTTTAAATTATTTAAATTACCTTCTGTTTTTAGTGATTCTTTTTCAATATATTTACATATTCTTAATAACCAGTTTATATTATTCTCTTCTTTTGTTGATACTTCATACATTTCTTTTAAATGATGACAAATTGCTTCACTAACTTCTAAGAAATTGTCAATCTCTTTCTTTTTATCGCTTGCACTTAATTTTACCATTACTTCATCTCCAGTTAATTGTCTTCTTGCACCTCTCATTACCATACTATATAATATTCCAAATAATACATTTTCATGTCCTTCATAAAGAGCTGAATCTTCTTTATCAAATAATGCCAATGACTCACTTCCAGTAATAAATTTAATTAGTAACTCAATATTTTCATTGAACTCTTCAAATTCTGGAATAAGATATTCTAATGAAAAATAACTAAAATTTGGAAGGTCTGTTTCTTTTTCCACAATTTCAATAATTAATCTAATAATAATTACTATTTTTAATTTTTTTTTATCTTTTATTACAAATTTCCTTTCTCCTTTTATAAATTTATCGACATGTCTCTCAAGGAATGACGCAATATATATCGCTGCCTCTTTTCTAATTTTTGCATTTTTATCACATAGCATTCTATACATTTCTTTTCTTTCTTTTTCTTTGATTAATCCCCATTCATCTAATTTACTACATAATTCAATACTTATTTTACTTACTTCAATATCTTCATCTAGTCTCATTTCTATTATCCTTTCTTTTAAACTTTTTCCCATTTCAATGTATATATCTGATGGACTATTATTATTATTAAATTCTTCATATATTTGTTTAATAACACTCTTTCTAACAGTGGGGTCATCATCATATAATAAATTATCAATAATTTTCTTTTTCTCTTCATACTCATCTTCAAAACTATTTAATATAGTCTCACATACTATTCTTCTTATATCTCTTGAGACATCATAAACTCGTGGTAATAAAATAACTTTCCTTAAATGATTTAATAACTTTTCTAAATGAATTTGTGCTTTTTCTATTCTTTCTATCTCTTGTTTTTTATCTTTTTTTCTTCCTTTTTTAATAATTGTTAATTGATTTTCTAATTCTTTTTGTGTGATAATATAATTTTCATATATTACTTGAGTAATAGTTATTATTCCATATCGTATATTTCTAATTTCATTTGGACTTAATCCAGCAAGTATTTCATGTATTAATTTAATGCTTTTTCCATATTCTTTTCTTTCTTCTATTGACCCTTCTTTAATAATGCCACAAACAACTTTCCAAACTCCTTTCCATAATCTTTTTAATATTTGTGTAACATTTAAATTATTTGTAACTAAATCGTCATTGTCAATTCTATCCCCAATATCTTTAAACCTCTTTTCTTCAAGATATTCATCTGTAAAAATATTTTCTGTTTTGTCAATAGGAAGTCCAATAACTCCAAGAGTTAATTCAATAATTATTTGATAATTTTCTTTAAAATTATCTGAAACTCTTCTTACTGTATCACTCCATTTAGAAACGCTGATAAGGTCTTTGTACATATCTTCTAATGTAAATGTCACTTCTTTAGATTCTTCTTTGGCTTCACTTGACATTTCTTTAAATAAAAATTAATTGAGTTTTTTTCTTTTTTTTTGATTAAAAATTGTACTTTAATAATTATTATAGTTTTTAATTAAGTTTTTTCTTTTCTTTTTCAGAATTAAAAAATGATATGTTGATAAGCAAGAAATAGGAACTCACAATATTAATATTTGTGTTGATGGCAGAAGATAAACAAATAGAAAAAAGAAGATTAAGAAAACCATTGAAAGGATTAAAAAAGTGTATTGACTTTGATGAAAGTGTTATTTCTATTGAAGAGTATAGAGATAAAATTAATCCATATACTTATAATCAATATGAAGAAATAAAGAATGATATATTAAAAAAATATAAAAAAACAACTTTATTAGCACCATTTAATATTATAGACTATAGAACAGAAGAAAAGAAGAAAAATATTAAAAGAGTATTTAGTGAAGTTCATACTCTTAAACAAAAAGACAAAACTAATAAAGAGATAATTACTCAATTCGTTCATCATTATCAAGGAAATTCTAGTTATACAGAATTTCAAATGACTATGTACTTAAATGAAAATGGAGAATTTAAGTGGTTGCCAAAACACCAATCTTATTTTCTTTCAGTAGTAAAAGGGTTTTCGTTTCAATTAGTTGTTGTAAATGAAATCATTGAATGTATTAGTGTTTTTACACAAGACTGTATTTGTAGCGTTATCAACCCAACTAATTTGTATATTACCTTTAATATTAATAACCCCTCAAATCAACTTAAATGCCTTTGGACTGTTTGTTTCTTTCATTCCTATTCTTCTTTTTAAAATACTCTATTCATTTTTATAGTTTAAATCTTCCAATGACCTCAATAAAATTAAGACTTTGTTCATTTTTTAGCTTTTTGGGTTATCTTTTTTCCTAAGTCTTTAAAATTCATTGCCTTTACTTGAGTTAATCACTATAATAATTTACTTTTTCGGTTATCTTCTTTTTTTAATTTTAAGTGATTACTGGTCGTTCTATTGTTCATTTTATGATTTTTCATTCCAGTTTCTTTGTTTCTATTATTTGTCTTTTCATTTTTATACTTTCCATGTTATTACAATAAGAATTTTGTAATATATTCTTTAAATTCATCTTTTATATCCATGTGTTTTTCTTTTGTAGTTTTTTCTCCTCTAACAAGGGTATAGGTGATAATACACTAACACATCTCTATCTGTTCTATTCTTTTGAATCATCATTATAATAATTATAATTATAATAATAATGATAAATTACATTATACTCGAAAAGAAAAGAAAGAACAACAGAAAACAACAACAATATTTAAAATTTCACAATCAAATATCAAATTCATATCACTTGGAGATGGAATAATAACAAATAAAAAAGAAATAGAAATAGGAGAAGGAGAAGAAATTGAAGTAAATAAAGAAATTAGAGAATTAATATGTATTGGAAATGAGAAGAAAGAAAAAAAGAAAATACAAATAAGTAGTAAAGAAGAAAATGAAAAATATTCAATTAGAACAAACCCAAATATCATTACAATTGAAGGAGGATATGCATGTGAATTTGAAATATTCATTACAATCAAATGTACTACTAAAATTAAAGAACAAATAATGATAATTAGTAAAACACTTAATAAAACACAAGAAGAAATAATTAAAAGTATTTCAATTAAAGGAGAAACACAAATATCAACACGACTTGATCCCGATGAAATAAAAGAAGAACATAAAATAGGAGAAGAAACATTTGGAATTGTATATATAGGAGAATTTAGAGGAAATCAAGTAGCAATTAAGAAAATGAAACAAATTGAAGAAAATAAAAATAAAATGAAAGAATTTGAGAAAGAAGTAATGATGTTAGATAAATTTCGAAGTGAGTATATTATTCATTTTTATGGAGTATTTATTCCTAATAAAATATGTATGATAACAGAATATGCAAAATATGGATCAATACAAGATTTAATTAATAAAATAACAAACACAGAAATACCAAATAAAATAAGAATTAAATTCATGCTAGATGGAGCAAAAGGAATTTCATATCTTCATTCAAATGGAATACTACATCGAGATATTAAACCAGATAATTTTCATGTTATAACAATTGATGATAATATTGGAATTAATTGTAAATTAACAGATTTTGGAAGTTCAAGAAACATTAATATGATGATGACAAATATGACATTCACAATTGATAATGAACATCAAAATATAATACACATAAAATATTAAATCATTAACATTATAAAATAACATCCGATATATATTCATATTCAATAACAATGTTATGTGTTAATTTTATTGGTAAATAACAATAAGATATTGTATAAAAAAATAATAGAAAATGAAGGAGGTTTAAAAAAAAAACATTCAAACAAAAAGTCATAAAGAAATAACAGAACAATACAATTAATAATTGGGATGAAACAATAATGAAATGTTTTATTCATTTCTGATATTAAATATGTTCTTAGATTCATTTAAACGAGGAGATAATTTAATAGTATAAGCTAAAGCAACAAACCAAGCATTAGCATCTAAAGGATTATCAAAGACAAGAGTAACTTGCATATCAGACAAAGGAGAAGTAAAAGAAATAGAAGGTCCAAATGAAGGATTTGCACCATAAGAAACAATAGCATCTTCTGTAACCATAAATACACATTGAACTTGGAACATATCATCTTTAAAATCATCAACAGTTCCATAGTCATTAATTAATTTATAAACATTTAATAATTGTTTTCTTTTAATTTTATGATTATGATGTTTTATAACTTGAGTTTCTATAAGAACATCATTAAATAAAAAGAAATATGCACTATTTACTCCATTTGGTGATTCCATATCAAGATATTTACAATAACCACTAACAATAAATCTTCTACAAGATTTATTCATATCATATAACCCAGTAATTATTTTTAGAACAGTATTATACTTTTCTCTTTCTTCTTCATATAATTTTTTTTCATTTATCCATGCAGCAACATCCAATATCAATTGATAACATTCAACTAATTTATCAGTATCAGGGGATAATGGTGGTGAATTTTTTAACATATCTTTAATTAATAACACATATCTAGGTATTCTTTGAATTGGCATAATTAAATAAGATTGAATTCTTTGAATAACAATTCCTTGATGATTTTCTTCATATTTTTTTCTACTTTCTTCTATAATATTTATTGCAGTTGAATGTTTAACTAATTCATTTACTAATCTTAAATTTGAATTATATTCAACAATATAAGGACAAGTAGATTTTACAAAATGAAAGAAATATCTTAATAAATCAGAAATAATTGGAATATCATCTCCTGCTTGATCAATTCTATCTGTTAATTTTTTATAAAAAAGAGTATGTAATTTAAGAAGTTGTTCAATTTGAATATTCATTTTTCTTACTGATTTATTATATTTACTTTCATTTAATGGTTTTAAATAACAATTTAATAAAATATCTAATGATTGAACATGAGTTTCTTCTGTGAACCATAATTCCATTAATGTATTTTTATAATTTTCAAATTGATTTTGTTCTTTTTCATTTAATTTATTAAAATATTCTTTTTGATTACTAAATCCAGTTATTTGAATATGTTTTATTTTTTCTTCATTTTTCATTTCTTTTTCTTCAATTTCTTCTCCTTTAAATTCAACAATTTGAATATTCTTTTTATTAACTTTTCCTCTTTTCTTTTTATCTTTTTCTTCAATAGTTATTTCTTTTACAATAATTCCTTGATGTTGTTCAATAAATTCTGTTTTTCTTTTATTAACCATTGCATTAATTTCTTTCATTTGTTCAAATGGATTATCATCTCCATTTCTAATATCTAATACTAGTGCTTCTTTATATCCTTTAATAGGAAATCCAACAGTAATTCTATTTCTTTCTAAATATTTTCTTAATTTATTATCATCTCCAGAAATTAATATATCAAGATCTTCTTTATCAACATAAGTATGTGTTAATCCATCATTTTGTTCCATTCCTAAATCATCACTAAATGTTTCTGTTTCTTCATTATCATCAGTAATTGTATCTTTTCCTTTTTGAATTCTAACAAATTGACTTTCATCTTCATTTTTTCTTACTCTATCACTATTTTCTCTTCTTAAAAATAAACTCCTTTTTAGTCTATTTGGTTGCATTGTTTTTCTTCTACTACCTTCATCTTCTTCTCTTGGAGTATGTTGTGCACTTTTTGTTTCATTATCAACTAAATTAACCTTTCCTAATGCCACATCTTCAAAAATATCTATGGCAAAGTCACGTTTTGCTTCTTTCAATCTTTGAAGATCTAATTCACTACGTTGAACCATAAGTGGTTTTGGAGTAATTTCTTCAGGAGTACGAATAAGGATTTTGTCTTTATCTAATTGACCTTCTTTAACTTTTGTGGTTTTACCAACTTTTTCTTTTGAATCTTTTTTAGAATGAAGGGATGTTTCTGGATGTGTACTAACAACAATAGGATATTCATTTAGTTTTGAAACAACTTCAAAATTTTCTTTGACACCATTTGTTTCAATTGAATCAGTTTTTAATTCATCATTTGGAGGAACTTTCAATGGGATTCCATCTGATGAACTAGCTGAATTACTTAATGAAATAGAATGCTCTTCTTCTTCACGTAGTGTTCTATTTAAATCATAAGATGATGGAACAACAAGTGATTGATGAGAACCAGTACTATTATTAATATCATCTACATTTAAACAAAATTGTGTTTTAAATAACACTGAATGTCGTTGTTCTACTTTTTTCTTTGATGGTCGTTGTGGTTTCATTGCTTTCGTTGTAGGTGATAATGAATGTTTTGAGCGTTGTGGTGTTTTAGTATGTTCTGGAAAAGGAAATGATTTTCTTTCTTCTGAAGCTAGTTTAGGTTCAAGAACTTTATCAGGTGATTGTATAGATGATACTCCCAAACTCATTTTCAGAGAGATTATTGTCTGAAAAGAAAACAGTTCATCGTATTTTTATTATTTTTATTATAATTTAATTACAAATTTATCATTCCTCTTTTTCTCTTATATTTTGTTTTTCCTGATTAATAACATTTTTAATCTATATTAAAAAAAATTAATAACAATATAATTTCTTAATTAATAATAAAAATATTATTGGTTTTAGAAAAAGAAAAGAGACAAGTCCACTCTATTTTAATGATGAATTTTTCTTTTATCAAATCAATTTAATTGTATTTTGGCAGTTGTTTTGAATTAGTTTATTAAATAATAAAAAAAAAAGATGAATAAAATAAATTTATATAACTTATTAATTATTGTTATAACTTTGATACTTCTCCCATAAATGATTCAAGTTCATCATATTTAGGTTCTATAATACGTTTCAACTCTTGACCATTATGATAAAGAATAAATGTAGGTACATGAACTATTTGATATATTTTTTTCAATTCTGGTGCTTTATCAATGTCAATGTCAAGATAAGTTGTTGATGGTGCTTCTGTAATAAGTTTTCTGTATAATGGTCTGACATTAATACAATCTTTACACCATGTAGCATGGAATTGTACGACAGCAACTCCAGTTGCTATTTTTTCTTTAAGTTCTTCAAGGTTTGTAGTATTAAGTGGTAGAGTCATTTGACTAACTTTGAGTTTATTCTCAGTTTAAATATCATAAAAAAGAGAGGAACTTTTCATCTAACATACAATCTACACAAAGATTTATTTTATTTTTTTTTTTTTTAATGATAAGATTTGATTTCTGAAAAGAAAGAAAGAAAAAAAAAAATAATAAAAATATGAATATGAAAGTTTTGAATTAATAATTAAACAAGAAAGAATGTTTTAATGTAAATAAACAAGACAAAGTAATTATTAAACACAAGGTTATTTACTATAACATAACAGTTATATTTGTTGGTTGTCTTGGAGTTCCTTTTGGAGACATAGAAAAAGATCCATGTCTTGGGTTTGATTTTGGAGGTCTTAATGGTGCGTTTGCTATTTTTTTAATTGGGGTCATTACCATTTTTCTTGAAGGTTGAATTTGAGGGGCACAATCAATTGGTGGTAATTCTTCATCTCCTTGAATTATTTTATTTTCTTCTATTTCAAAAGAACTAATACTTCTACTTCTACTTCTTGGAGGTACTTCTCTAATATTAACAATAGATGGTAAATCATTTTCTGATTCATCTTCATTACTATTTATATTTTTTGTTGGTAAACCACATTTTAATGGTTTAAAATGAAATGGATTAATATGAAGAACATTTAATACAATTCCATTATTTAATGCTTTAATAAAGGTTTGATAATATCTATCAACATTAAAATTTTGAGATTGAAGATATTGTTGAGACATTGGACGATTAAATATAGTTTCAATAATATTATCCATAGACATTGATATTTCAATTTTTCTTGACAATATATTACTTGTCCAATCAAATCCTCTTTGTTGTGTTTTAGAAAACATTAAAGGATGTTGTGCTGCTTGTTCTGGAGTCATTCTTTGTGTTGGATCTATAATAAAGATTTTTTGAAGAAAATCACATAAACGAACTCTATAAATATCATCATTAGTTTTTTTTTCACCATTTCTATGCATTATTATTCCACTACAAAATTCTTGTAATGAACGATAACGATGATATCTCTTATTTTCAATAAATGGAACTCCATTTATTTGAGAATATTCTTGTGGTGTTAATAAAACATATTCCCAACTACCAAAATTATTAAGTATTTTCTTAAAAAATTTTGTAGTTTTACTTCCTTTATCAAGTATTTGTGTTGGTGGCATTCCAACCATTTCAATGATTTTAACTAATTGATTATATTCATTTTCACCTGGAAAAATTGGAATACCAAGAAGTAATTCTGCAATAACACAACCAAAAGACCACATATCAATTGAACATGAATATGGTAACCCTAAAATAATTTCTGGTGCTCTATAATGTCTTGATTGAATATATGTATAAAGAGTACTTCCTTCAAAACAAGCACTTCCTAAATCTATTACTTTAATAGTTGATCTATTATCAATTAATAAAATATTTTCTGGTTTTAAATCACAATGAATAATTGATTCTCTTTTTAATGTAAAAAGAGCTTGAAGAATTTGATGACCAATAGTTTGAGTAAAAGAAATTCCCATTCCTTTATTTTTATTTGTTCTTAATACGTCATATAAATTCATTCCTAATAACTCAAATACAATACATATATGTCTATTAAATAAAAAATGGTCTAATATTTTAACTATATGTTTATCATTATTTTGATTATGTAAATTTGCTGCATGTAACATAGCAATTTCAAGCATTCCTTGTCTAAAATAACATGGTTTATTTTTTAATACTTTAATTGCAACAATTTGATGATTATAAAGATTTTCACATTTTAATACTTGTCCAAAAGTTCCTTTTCCTAATGATGAAATAATCCTATATGTTGAATTTTTATTAAAAGCACATGAATTCCCTTCTTTAGAATATGCTGATCCAATTAATCCATCTGCATATGCAATATATTCATATCCTTCATTATCAAATCCATTATTATGTGTTGGAATTGATGGAAATGTTAATGGTCTTTTAATTGTTGGAAGAATAAGTTGTGGATTTGTTTCTTTTAAAACCTCACAATATCTAATAGTTGCCATTTCACAAATTCCACTTTTTTTAGTATTCTTAAAAGTGGTATATCTAACAGGTTTGAACATTTTGTTATAATAATTCTTTTTATTATTGAGAATTCTCTTTTAATCACTTCCTTTCACTTTAACACAACCCTCGTCTTTTCTTCTTCCTCTTTTTGCTTCAAAAAAAAAATAAAAATAAAAAATAATATTACCAAAAACGAAAAAAAAAAAAACCCTTAAATTTCTTTTTCTTATTTGAAAACTCTGATATTTGATTTTTCTTCTAGTTTTTCTTTTTTCTTGATTTATTCTTTTCTAGACTTATACTCTTATTTCTTTCTTATTATTCATATCACACTACTTTCTCATGAAATCTTTTCTCTATTTCTTGATGTTAATTTTTTATTACTTAATTAAATTATTCTCTTTTCTTTTTCCTCTTCTTTTAGTTTTTAGTTTCTTCTTTTTTTTTTTCTCTTTGAGTTTTATTTTAGAGTTCATTAAAAACTATTTTCTTTTCCCGTTTTCTTCCATTATTTTTCTCATCTTTTCTCCTTATTCATAATTTTGAGGGTTTCTTTTAGATTCGTATTTTAATATTTTATTTTCAGATTTCATAATTAAAAGATGGTATTATTCTAGTTTGGAAGAATTAAAATATATAATTTGTTTTTTACCAGGGTTAGTTGTATGTTTCATAGAAATCTTTCGATGTTCTTTTTTTTTTTTAAAACTATTTCTTCCATTTAACTTTTCAAAAATAGAAAACCGTTATCAAAAACATAATTTAAATATGATATATATAACATTATACTATAAAACAATAACACAATCCAAAGTTCAGCATCTTTAAGGAGGTGCTGAAGGTAAAGGTCCATAGTATTGGACATATTTACCACACGATAAAGCATAGTAACTACAATCACTACTTCCTTGTTCAAAAGGATGATTTAAATTGAAACTTTTACTTGAAGAAAGTTGTGAATCTGATTGAAGATTAATGAATTGTTTTGGTTTGAATTTAGATGCTTCATTTTTATCAATATGTAATCCAAATGAATTAGGATTAAATTGTTGAGTTGAATATAGTGTTGGTGTAGATTCATCCATAACTTTTAATGCAATCCCATTTTGACCATTTTGAAATGAAGGATAATATTGTTGAATTCCTTTAAATGTTTCTAATTTAACATGAATTCTTCCTTGAACACTTAGTTTTAACCAAACATCTCCATTAATTGGCATTTTTAAAGGAAGTTGACATGTTCCAAGAAAGTCATCAGTTTTAAATCTGTCCCAATCATAAACTTCAAATTTTATATTTGGTAAATTATGTGAGTCTATGTAAATCGAAGTCTTCTTTCCAATGTGGGTTTAATGTTTTTTCTGAATGGTTGTTTGATGAATTTCTTTTCCTACTGTTACCTTAACATAAGGGTCTGCTTGTTTTGAAAAAAAATCAGCTGGCATAAGATTTTCTGCTTCAATCACTAAAACTCTCAATTGCAACATTGTAACAGAAGTTGAATTTTAGTTTTTTAGTTTCACTTCTTCTTTTCTTTTTTTTTTTGAACCTGAAAATAAAATTTAAAAACAAAAATAGACAAAGAGGGATTATATTTGAATTTTTTATTCATTTTTATTTTTGTTTTAATAAAAAAGAATAGAAAGAATATGATAGAGTCTTCTCGATGGTATAGTTAGTTTAATTTAGAAGTTGCAGATACTTCTTTTGGATTTTTGGGACTTTATCATCTCTTTCCATTCTTTTTTATTTTCTTTATTTATCTGATTTTACATTAATAAATAACTAAGTATCTTAAACTGTTTTACTTTCTTGTGTGTTTATAAGCTCTTTAATGATTTTATTATTTAATTCGTTGTTTAATTAATCTTTGTCTTTCTTCCTAATTATATATGAGGAATTAAATAATGAGGAAATAGAGAAATGTTATTAAATCATAATACCATTATTAGATATTATAAAACTAATCTTCTTTGATAGTGAAATTGTTATCAAACATGTTGAAATATTATGATCAATAAAATTATTCATCTCCTAATTAATTAATTTGTTTTTAATGAGTTTCTTGCTTTATAAAAAATGTATTACGACTGTGTACTAGTGTTTCAAGTCTTGACTATTCATAACCAACTTAGAAACTTCACTAGTCTCCTTTTTATGAAAGACTGCAATCTACAATTTATTATTGAGTATTATGATTATTTTCATATCATATTAAAATAAGTTATTTCTTTGTTTTACCATTCTCTATTCATTATTTCTTGATAAGTTTTGTTTTGATTATTTAAGCTAATTGTTTTTGATACAAAAGTTCTTTATAAAATAAAGTCCAATAAAATAGTAACCAACTCACATTACTTTAATGAGTTTAAACATAATTCTTATTTGATAACTACAATAAGTAACCAAAAATTTGTAGAAACGATTTTATTTAAAGAGAAAAATAATACATTATTTAAAAATGAATTATTTAGGTTATCAGCCATCTATTTCTAACAATACAATTTGTAATTTGGTTGTTTGAATTGTTTTCTGAAATAATAGAAAGAATACAAGAAAAGAGTTCGTTCAATGACTTAATTATCAAATATTTGTTTATGTTCCAATTTCTTTTATAGAAACTTAATTCTTTGTTTTATAAAACAATTAGATCCAAACCCTAAAATATATTCTATTACTTTCCTTTTTCAAGTTTAATAAAGAAAGAACAAGAAACAAGTTATTTAAAATTCACAAGGAATGGAAGATGGCATAATCTGTGGGTTCATTGAAGAATTGCAAGAAGACGAAACACCAAATCCAATTATGAATAGAAGTGGTGGATGTGCTAGTTGGTTAGGTAAGAAAGTACCTAATAATGTATGTCCACATTGTCAAAAACCTATGTTATTTATGTTACAATTATATGCACCATTAGAAATGGCACAATCATATCATCGAGTGTTTTATTTATTTCATTGTCCATTTTGTCTAAAATTCACTGTGTTAAGAAATCAATTACCTGAAGGAACTTTATATGACAAAGAAGATTTTTGTGAGAGTATTGTTACCGAAGAACAGTGTGTAATTTGTGGATTTCCTTCTTCAACTCATTGCCCTGACTGTACTACACCATACTGTTGTTCATTACATTGTTTGTATGACAGAGAGGAACATAAATTGAAATGTGGACAAGTATTACAAAGAAAATTAGGAGGAGAAAGAAACAAAGCAAAACCACAAAAAAGTGCATCAGAGTATCTTATTGTCACTGAACCAGAAAATGAATTAGTAGAAAAAGAAGATGTTCAACTAAAAAAAGTAATAGAAACTATGCACCCAGACAATGAAGATTTAGGAATTAAAGAATCTGATTTACAACAAAGTGATCCAGTGTGGATAAAATTTAACACAAAAATTGCCAAAGACCCAAGCCAAGTTTTGAGGTATCAGTTCAATGGCAAACCATTATGGATTAAGTCAAACGATATTCCACAACACCCTCCCTCTTGTCCCCGATGTGGTAAACAGTGTGTTTTTGAATGGCAATTACTTCCACAATTTATTTATGCAACAAATTTAGATATTGAACTAAACATTGATTATGGTACTATTGTAGTATATTCCTGTCCTGATTCGTGTGGTGGTGATGATTATGTTAATGAACCAGTAGTGGTTCAATATTTTGACTGTATTTGAGGGTGTCTGGATAATTATAATTCTTTTTAGTAAATTTTATTATTAAAATATAGTTAAAAAAAAAGAACTTAAAAGATAGAAGAAAAGAATTAATGAGTCATAGATTGTTTGTTGTAGAAGTCTTATTTTAATGTTTTTATTATCATTTAATACACTTCTAATAACCATTTATTTTATTCATAGAAATACTGAAATTACTTTTCCAACTGAAGAAATAGCAAAAACAGTACTTCGAGTTGTTAGTGTAGATAAAGAATTTAAAAAGCATGAAGTTACAAGAAATTTAATTGTAGAAGGAAATATAATGAAAATGTTTGTTATTTCTAAGATATAAATATTTAATGCAAAGTTGATGAAATTGATTTAAAATTAGTGAATATATTTCAGATGACCTTAAACTTATTAGAAATGGATTTAATACATTAACTGAACATATCCATCTTTCTTTAGACACTATCAATAATTTTGCTTGAGAAAATAATTAAAGTTTCCTTCTTTTTTTTTTTCTTTATTAACTTAAACTCATTTTGTTTCATTTTTTTATTTATTATATAATGGGTTTAGTTGATCGATATTCTATGATGATTGTTGCACAATATTTTCCCGCTATTAATGACCTTTTTCATGTAATATTAATTAATAAAAAGTTCGTTAATTTAAATGAATTATTTCATTACAATCCATATGATATTTCAATTAATCAATTAAAGTATTTCCCTTATTTACATACACTTCATTTTTATAAATCAATTACAATTCATGAAGTTCCAAAGGCAATTAAAATTGTTATTCATTTTGATATTTCTTATTTTCAACTTCTTAATTTTCAAAAAAAGTACCAAAGAAAAGTTGAAGGAAAAAGAGTCATATTAAAAGAGATAGAGCGAAATGACTTAAATATTTATAATTTGAATGAAGTACCTCCAGAAGTAACAATTCTTGGGCAGTCATGTTTTGCTCTTTTAGATATAGAAAATCTTAACTTTTCACCTCAAATTCATGAAATACATGAAAATTGTTTTAATGGAATAAATAAATGTTCATCACTTGTAATTCCTACAACTCTTACGTTTATTGATCAATTTAGTTTTTCAAATAGTTCTTTAAAAAGTATAACTATTCATGACGGAATTCTTCTTCGAATGAAAGCATTTGATTATTGTGGAGATATCACAGAAATTCATTTAACCACAGGAAAGAGGTTTCATGGATTTGTAGACACTTCGCTTCAAGAACTATTTGAAGAAAAGAAAATTGAAACACCAAATGTATATTTTGATACTTTTTCAATCCCTTTTCTTGAAGATGAGTCAGCCATACCGAAAGAATATAAATACATCACTGACTATTGTTTCAATGAAGAAATGATTAATACAATTCATCTCTCAGAAGGTATTATTCATCTTGGAATTAGAGCATTTAAAAATTGTTATTCATTGACTAATATCCATCTTCCAAATTCTTTAACATCAATTGGAAAAGGATGTTTTACTGGATGTAGTTCACTTGGACAAATAACAATTCCATCTAAGATTACGTCTATCCCACAAAAATGCTTTAAGAATTGTAGAAGCCTTTCTTCAATCAGTTTTAATGGGAAGATTACAGAATTTGGATTCGAATGGAACAAAAATACACAAATTTTATGTTCTGTAGAGCAAGAAAAGAAGAAAGAAGATGATTCATTTAGTTATAATAAGAATAAATTACTTCAAATATATTTTGAATGTCATTCTAATTGAGTAGTAAATGGTGATGTTTGTGGAAGAATAGAAATGACATGATCAGAACTTTTGTTTCTTTTTTATTGTTTTTTTTACAAAGGTATTTATTCAAAAAGATGTAAAAAAACAAACTTTAAATACAAATGAAATTAGAAAGAGTGTTTTTAATGAATGTTGTTTTGTATATTGATTCAATGAAAACATTAATTAAATTTATTTTAATTAATAAAAAATGTTTAGAGTCATGTAAAAATTTATATAGTAGTCCATTTAATATAGATTATCAAAAAAAAGATATCATTAAATTAATGAAATTATTTGAGAAAATAAATACATTACATTGTAGTACTGGACTATTTGTTTATGAAAGTATTAAAGAAAGTAAAAAATTAGAATATGTTTTAGACCGATTAAAAAATATTGATTTCGATTGTTCTGTTTTTGACCCATACGATGTTAATGCAGTTTCATTTATTCATTACTATTCAAATAGAATTCGTTATTTAATATTTAAAAGAGGAATAGGATTAGTAGAATATTCACCTCTTCCAGAGTTTGAAAAAATGGAAATGTTAATACGATTTGAATGTGGAAATGAATTTTTAATTAAAATGACAGAGACTCCAAAATTTGGGAAATGTTTTAAGAAATTAATAATAAATTTAGAATCATTGAATAAAGAATATATTCAAACATTATTAACTTATTTTCTTAATGTTCCATTTAAAGTTATTATTAAAGTTGAATATCTAAATTCATTTGATTTAAATATATGGAAAAATGAACTTAATAGACATCATCCTAAAACTGAATTTATATTATTTGCTAATAAGACTGAAGATATTGGTACTCAAGAATTTAATCAATTTTTATTTATCATTAAAAAAAATAACATTAATATTAGATATTGTAATATTGTAAAAAATGATATTGATAGAGTATTTAAAATTTATTATCCTATTGAAGTTACTGTATGGAACTCTGGTTTAGAAGAAAATGATTCAATAGCTCATTTTGAACGTTTAAAAAATATTGAATCATTAAATCTTATTTCACTTAATTTTAAATTTACTACAATATTATATTTTCCAAAAACATTAACTTCCCTTATGATAGATAATTGTGGGGCTGTTACCCAATTAAATAATTTACAATATTTACCACTAAAAAATTTAGATATAAAATACTCAGGAGGAATTTCGGAATTATTACTTCCTTCTTCTTTAAAAAATATTCGACTTGAAAGACTTTTCTATTTAAAGTCAATACAAGGATTAAAACAATGTGATTTAACTCAATTTAGTATATTTAGTTGTGGAGAAATTAAAGAATTAGAACTTCCAAAAGTATTGTCATGTATTGTATTTCAATGTAGAGAACTAACTAAAGTTGATACACAAAAAAATACTACAATGACTTACCTTTCATTAAAACAATGCCCAAAATTGAAGGGAATTTATTTACCAAAATCATTAATATTAATGAAAACACAATGGGATAATAAAATCAATGGATGTCAAACAATGTAAAATTTGATTTTTATTTAAACTTAATCAATAAAAAAGGTTTTAATTCATTTCAATTTATATTTAATTCGTTATATATCTTTTCAATAAAAAATCGACTTGAAGTAAATTGTAAATCAAAAGTATCTGAGTCATAAATAATTTTAAATCCAATATATTTCTCCCATAATTCATTGATTTTTTTGTCAAGTTCTTTAGTTCTTTTAGACAATAATTTAGAAATAGAATATAAGGGGTCAGGGAATTGTGCTTTATTTGCAAATGCAGGCCATGTCATAACAAGATTACACACCCAATCTTTGTCATATTCAAGATCTGTTTTTTGGTTTAAAGGAAGGTCAAGATAAGATATTGCATTTTTATACCCAATTTTACCTAATGCAATAAAATGTGTTGGTCCTTCTTCTGCATGATATTCACAATGCATATGCCCAGAAATCCAATACTTTGGTTTAAGAGTACTTAAAATTACTTTATTAATAGGTGAGCCAAGAGAAACTCCATCTTTTTTAAAACCAGGTTGGAACCTATATAATTGTTTGTAATTGCCTTTCATTATAATTCCTTGTGGCCAGTCATGTGATAATGAAATATCAATTTGAGAATTTTGACTTAAATTTGAAAGCATTTGAATAACATAATTTCTTGTATGAAATAATGAAACAAAATCATTTGGTGATGGTGGGTATGTATATGGTTTTATCTCATCAAATGATTTATAAATTCCTGATACCCCAACAATTCTTAACCCATTTATATTTATACAAGAACATACACCAAGGTAATACATGTTAGGACAAACAAATCCTCCATTGTAAAGTTGTAATAATACATTAGATGATTCATGATTTCCACCTATAAATAATGTTAAATAAGGTGCTTTTTCTTTTCCTTCATAGTACAAATGGAAATCTCCCATTTGTTTATATTTTGGTGGTACTTTTAAGTACACCAAATCAGATTCACATCTCAGGGTTTGCATATCTCCTGTACATATTACAAATGAAATTTCTTTTCCAGTACTCTTTTCATACTCAGACAATTGTTGATACATCTGTCTGTATTTGCCATGAACACATCCAACTATTGCTATGTGTTGTATTTGTTCAGTTGACATTGAATAAAAAAACTGATTTGTGAAAAAAAATAACACATCTTATAAAAAACAGTGTTTTATGTATTTAAAACATTAAGAAGATAAAGTCATTATTTTTCAATAGTAATAATCTGACAATATTTATTAGTTTCTAAAATATATTCTTACTTCTAAAAAATAATAAACTAATATCTCACTTTCTTTGTTGCCTTGAAAAATAATGAATTATAAATTTTTATTAATTAATGATTTTGTATGTTTGTAACATTAACTAATAAAGAAATTATGAACAAAAAGATAGAAATATATACAAGATTCAAATTTCTTCTTTTATATAAATTTTCTAAATTGATAAAATAAGTTTTATTTTTAATGTTTTATAAACAGAATTAAATTTTAAAATTTATTTTTATTATTCAAAATAGTTTATTAATTTGCATCTTATACAATTATTGAATATATTGGGTACTAGATTAAACAATGGATCACCTTTGAGTGTAATATTTTCACAACTTAATACATTTAGAATAGATAATGAGCTCGGGAGAATTATTTCTATTATAGAAGGGAGTTTGAGTTGTTTCAGTTGTAAGTATTCTAATCCAGGAGTTTGAAGACTAAGGTTTATTGAAGACATTCTAATTGTGGACATCCTAAAAGTAATATCAGATGAAAATGTTAAAGATTTTAACGATATTGGAAGAATAAAGTCGTACTTTGTCTTAGTATTAATGACTAAATGCATCTCGTTTATCTTTAATGTTGAAAGGTCGTATAGTGGATTAAAAAAAGAATTAGGAATATCTTCTATCTTACAGTGAACAGAAATACTTAATACCAATTTTTCAATAATGTAATTGAGCATTTCTATTTCTTTACATATATTTTTAATATGAGAAGAATACCATCCATATTTAAATTTCATACTAAAGTGTTCAGAAATTACAAATTTTGTTTCCATTAAGATCTCTGGGATCATATATTTAAATAAAATATATGCATTTGGTAGTGATGCCACTTTTTTCCATCTTTGAATTTCACTTTTTAGACAGTCATACGCAATAATAATAAACTTGATTTTAGGATATTTCTTAATTTGATAATAAACAGAGTCTTTAATGGTATTTGTTATAGTAATTAATTTAACTTTTTGTAACGCATTTTTTAGTGAGAGAGAATCCATAATATTTTCTAAATAAATAGAGTTTGATTCACCTCTGTTAGACTTTGTGGAAGTCCAACTAATTTCTTTTTCCAAAATAATAGTTAAGTATCTTAAACTTTTAAAAGAAGTAATGTGAATAAGAAACCACCATGCGCTGTAATTAGATACAATCGAATAATCGACTAACTTTTCTATAGCACAATTCTGGTTTTCATGAATTTCAGTCCCTATTGAATGAATACCTTTTGGTAACCATCCTTCTGGGTTTCCTGGTAAATAGTTTCTCAATGAATCGTAGAAGTAATAATCTCCATGACTATTTATAAAAAGGGGAAATGCCAAAGAAGGTATAGATGAAAAATGTTCATCACCACTTTCCATTTTGTAAAGATCAAAATTACAAACTGTTTCTATAAAATCAATATTGTTAATTACCTTTTGTGGAAGAAAAACATTTAAATCTTTAATTCTAAATGTTTGAATATTTGGAAAAAATAATATCATTTTGTATGCCCAATTTCTTATCTTTTCACCTATACCATACTCAATGAGTGGGTTCGTTTTAAGTACTTTACAAGAATTCTGACACTTTTTAGAAACAAGAAGAAATGATTTTACATCACTAAATTTAGTAAAATAAAGAAGAACATTTGCCATAAAACAAAGTTCTAGTGTATTCCTTTTTATGATATCTTTAGACATCTTGTTTAATATTCATGATTAGTTAGTATATTTAAATCTTACTTTCTTTTCTCTTTAAATAAATACCCAAATCTTAACGAATTTACATATTCAATTAGTCGTTTAAATGACTATTACTTCTCTTTTTACTTTGAACCAAAATCTTCACTAATTGTTTCGGTATTATCAGATTCAGTTTTTTCATTTTCTGGTATATCGTTTTGGGTACTGAGTTGGCCTCTTGTTTCTGTAGATTTTAGCTTTCTTTTTTCAGAATCAACCCATTCATTTATTACACGTACCATTTCATTATCAATAAATACAATCTGGTTTGAAGTACTATGTACAAGTTTTTCTTTGATTAATTCACAAACATCCCTTCCAAATTTATAGAAACTCTCTTTTGTTAAAAATGGATATATCCAATTATAGCGAACAAATCCCGCTTTGCCTGGCTGACAATAAGATCTTTTCTTTTGTTCTGGAGACAATTCCTTTACTACTTCATTGGTAATATTTTTAATAATTTTAGCTTCTTCAATACTTCTAACTTTTCTGTTCTTAATTTTAAAGTTATCTATCTGAACAATTTGAAAATATTGAGGACTTCCTTCTTTGTATATCTTTAATGGACATTTAATTCCAATAGTTTTTTTGTTTACAGAAATCAATAACCCAATTAAACAATTAACAAATAGTGCCTGGTTTTCTCTAGACTTTCTTTTATGTTCTGCATTCTTTGGGTCATGAACTTTATGAGAGCCGTTGTCCATAAAATTATAAAGACAATCGAATTTATAGATTATTTAAACAACTTCCTATAAAACTTTATAATTTATTTTTATAGGGGTTGCCTGATTGAAATTTAGTTTTTATTAATTTTCTTTTGTTCATGATATAGTAATTCGTTTATGATTTAATTCTATGTTCTTCATAAAGTATTATTTTTCTTTATTTTAAACTCTAACAAAAATAACGTTTTTCATAAAATTTTTAAGTTGATGTTCTATACTTATCATGAATCGTGATGTAATTCCTACTCTATAAATGGACTTTTTTATCATTTTTAAAATATAAAGAATTTTTTATTCCAAAAAATAACATGTCATATATAACGTAAAATTGTAAAATAAACCCTATAACAAAAAAAATTTCTCAAAAATGAAAAAAGGGTTTAGAGTCCTAAAAATAAAAACCAAAGAACACAAAATAAATTACATAGAAAGAAGATGTCTGGAGCAGCAGAACAATTTGAGTTAATAGGTATTGCTAAACAAAAAGCTGAAGAGACACTCAAGAATGCTGAACTTACTAAAACTCTCCTTGGTATTATTAAAGAAGCTGGATGTGAAAAAGGATGTGAAAAAGCTATTGGTCAATTATTATATCAATTAGCCACAAAATTAAATAAAGGAAAAGAGTCAATTAGATCACAGATAATAGCATGGATTGTTTCTAAGAAAGTTACTAATATTAATATGGATGCATTAATGACTTATGTTAACAAACATCAAGAACTTGATATTCCAACTATTGAAAAAGAATGTGGAGTAGGAGTTATTGTTACTAGAGAACAAATTATTGAAGGAGTTAAACAATTATTATCAGGCAAAATGGAAGAATTAAAAAAGAATAGATATACTATGGAAGGTCAATTAATAAGAGAAGCAAAAGACTCTATTAAATGGGCTGATGGTAAGATTCTTAATGAAGAATTAATGAAACAATTAAAAGAAATATTAGGAGAAAAGACTAAAGATGATATTAAAAAGAAGGCACAAAAAAAGAGTGGTGAACCAAATAAAAAAGAAGAAGTTAAAAATCTTCCTAAACAAAAGAATGTTGATTCAGGAGTTAAATTATCTAATCCTGCTGATAATATTCAAAAAACACCAGAAATTCTTGCCGAACATTTAAAAAGAACTGGAGGAATTTATGTTACTAGATTCCCACCAGAACCAAATGGATATCTTCATATTGGACATGCCAAATCAATGTATTTGAATTTTGGTTATGCAGAAAAAACTGGTGGTAAATGTTATATGAGATTTGATGATACAAATCCAGAAAAAGAGACTCATGAATTTATTAGTACTATAGAAGAGACTGTTAAATGGTTAGGACATACTCCATGTGCGGTCACTTATTCATCACAATATTTTGATAGAATTTATGATTGTGCAATTGAATTAATTAAAAGAGGAAAGGCTTATGTTTGTCATCAAACACCTGATCAAATTGCTGCTTCACGTGAAAATAAACAACCATCTCCATGGAGAGATAGAAGTGTTGAAGAAAATCTTAAACACTTTAAGTGGATGTGTCAAGGTAGATATGGTGAAGGAGAAGCTACCTTGAGAATGAAAATGGATATTAATTCACCAAATCCATGTATGTGGGATCTTGTTGCTTATAGAATTAAATTCTTCCCACATCCAGTTACAGGTGATAGATTATGTTGTTATCCATCATATGATTTTGTTCATTGTTTAGTTGATTCATTTGAAGATATTACTCATTCTATGTGTACATTAGAATTCCTTCCAAGAAGAGAGTCATATTTCTGGTTACTTGATGCACTTGATATGTATAAACCAGTTGTATGGGAATTCAACAGATTAAATATTACTTATACTGTTATGTCTAAAAGAAAACTTCATGCCTTAGTTGATAAAGGATATGTTAGAGGATGGGATGATCCAAGAATGCCAACTATTATGGGATTCAAACGTAAAGGATATTCTGCTGATGCTATTAATAATTTCTGTAGAACTGTTGGAGTTACAACTAATACTACTGTTTATATTGATTATGAAGTTCTTGAACAACATTGTAGAGACGATATGGAAGTTAAATGTAAGAGAGCTATGTGTGTACCAGATCCTGTTAAAGTTATTTTAACTAATGTTCCAGATGATTACTGTATTGAAGTTGTAAGACCAAATCATCCAATGAATGATAAAATGGGAACAAACACTGTTCATTTAAGAAAAGTACTTTATATTGATAGAAGTGATTGGAGAGACGAAGATAAAAAAGGATATTGGGGACTTGCACCAAACAAAGTTGTTGGATTAAGATATGCAGGAAATATTATTTGTCATAAATTTGATAAAGATGTTGAAGGTAAAGTTACTTGTTTGTATTGTACTTTTGATGCAGATAAAAAAGAAAAACCAAAAGGACATATCCAATGGGTTAGTTCTGGTGTTAATGGAGCTGAACCAGCCAGAGCAGAATTAAGATATTATGATACTCTCTTTACTGATCCTAAGCCAGAAAGTCCTGATTGGGAAAAACTTATTAACCCAAAATCACTTACTATTGTTAATGGTTATGTGGATGAAACCTTAGAACATGTTAAACCACTTGACTGTTTCCAATTTGAAAGAGTAGGATTTTTCTGTTGTGATACAGACTCTAAAGAAGGAGCTTTAGTTTTCAACAGAACTGTTGGACTTAAAGAATCTAAAGAAAAGAAACAAATTTAATTTGATTCTTTTTGTTATTTAAGTACTTCGATTCATTCTGTTTTAAGTATTTTTAAAAATAAAACTATTGCTTATGATGTTTTTGCTATTTAATTACTATATTAAATGACATTGACTTTTCTGAAAAGAGAAAAAAAACAAAAACTAAAAAAATATAGTTCAGGAACTTTAAAAAAATAGTTCTTGAAATATTTAGTTTAATAACCCACGTGTCAAAATCAAAGGGTTTAGTTTTAGGGTATAAAATGATCTCTAAATTAATTGAATTATCAGTTATAATGGAAACTGAAAAAGTGATGGCAGATGAAAATATTACAGATCTTCCTAGTTGTGTAAAGTTTTCTTGTGACGTTTGTTTTATTATGAGATTTACCAATGAAGAGATGAAGTGATCTTATTAACTTAATTTTCCAAAAGTAGGTCATCTAATAATTTAGTTTAGACAATCAGTGCTTGAATTATTATTGTGGTGTAATGAGAAGAATTTACCAATTGAACAGTTTGCTTTACTAAAGTCAAGAATGCTTGGAATGTTAGAAGAGTATAACCGTCAGTTGTACCAAGGAACTTCTCTTGAACAAACACAACCAGTTATTGAACAACAAAAAAAACCACAAACAGAACCAACAAATCCAAATGGTAAGAAACAACGTGGAAGACCTAAACTGGACCACAATAGAGAGTGTAGTATTTGTCATACAACCAAAACATCTGAATGGAGAACTGGTGAATCACCAAATACTTTCTTATGTAATGCCTGTGGTCTCAAAGCTCTTAAGAAAAAGAAGAGAGAACAACAAATGGCTACTACCCCCACTTCAAATTTTGTAAGTGGAACAAATTATATCCCTTCTTAATTGATTGTTTCTTTTAAGTTTGTGTGTAAATTCTTTTAATTATATTATCTTTTGAAAAAAATTGGGATTTATATCTTCATTTTCTTTTTTGTTCATTTTTTAACATGAAAAAGGTTTCTTAATAAAAATAATACAATAATAAAACTTAATTGGTGAAAAATTAAATGTCTTGTAAAAGAAATTTATCTTAATAACTTATGAATTTACTTTAATTATAATATAAAAGCATAACTTTTTAAATGTTAGGAACATTTGTATTGTTAAAATTTCTTTGGAAAAAATTGTTTTATATACCAGTCATAAAGATTATTGACTTCTTCTTTACTTATCGGAATTGAGTTAGTAGTCATTCTCCCAATTTTTGATTGATAATCGTTAGCCATTGTTCTTTTCATTATTTCTCTATCAATTTCACTAACTCCAATATTAAAATGATGATAAATAGATTCAGCAACAGAAAGAGGATCTTTGACTATCTCATTAAAGAAAACATCATAAATTTGTGATTGTCTTGATGGATTTTGTTTGACCCATTCATTTCGTACATTTATTGCTTGTTTCAAGATATGGTTCTCTATCTCTGCGATGTTATGAGACATCCATTCGTCAGAAATTTTTTCTTGGTTTGTTTTCGTTAAAAATGTATTTTTAATAGTTTTGAAGTAAGGAATAGAACTTTTAATGATGTCATATGGACTGCGATGAATCCATACCAACCGAATATCTGGGCATGACGAAAGTACATTTTTTAATACGCACAACAACGTTGCATTCTTTATAATCAAGAATTGGTCATTGTTCATTGGTCTTCTTAAAAGATTTAATTTATATACATTCCATTCAAAATTCATTAATGAATTCCATGAAGAAAAGAGATTACAAACAACATCCTTGTACTGTGGTAATGCCATGCAATGAGCAAAGTATAGGCCATAACAATTGTATTGAAACACACATTCTTCATTTGCATCTGGGTTAATTGCATGAATTTTATCAAAATCATCACATCCTCTTTTCATCATGTTATGAATGTATTCTGTGAATTGCCGTTGTGCCTTTTCTGTTATTGTTGAAAACCCAGGACACAAAGCTTGCCATGATGTAAAGTAATGAGCCTTAGAGTGTGCACACATTATATTAAATAGTGTTGTTGATCCACTTCTTGGAAGGCCAACAATAATGATTGGTTGTGTAATATGAATTTCGTTGAGAAGGTGTTTATTCAGTTGAATGTCTTTAAATAATCTCATTAATGATCCAATTCTATTCACTGTTTGTTTTGTAAAAGCAAGGTGTTGCTCTCTATCTTCTTTTACTTGTTCGTTTACAAGAAATTGTGCGCTTTGTAATGCAATTACTTCTGTTTGATGAAGGTCATTCCAAGTATCATTTAATAGTGTTTGGTAAAGTTCTAAATGTGTCGGATCAAGAGACTCTAAAAATTGTTGGATTTCATTTTGAATTTCATAAAGATGAGAGTCATACCAGTCATTTAAAGAGGTGGTGTTCATGAAGAAATTTAATAGTTTTAAAGTGAATTAGAAGTTTTATCATAGTTTTTTTAAATGTCTTAAGAAAAGCTGTGATTAGAGATAACCTAATCTTATAAAATAATTTACCAAGACATTTTGTTTTAAGCTATAACTACTACCAATTGTTTTTATTGATGCATCATCAAAAATTAACCAAATTTAACTAATTAATAGTTAGAGTAATGAATAACTGAAAATATCTACTGTAAAATCTTTCTATCCTTCACTTGTCTTTTAGGTAAAAAGTCAATAAAAAGAAGTACCAAAACAAGTGGGTAGTAAAAGAGTTATTTCTCGTGTCGTCGTTATTTTTCAAGTCCAAAAAGTAAATATTATTTACCTTAAGAATAATAAAAAATATTAGCCTTAATTAATTTTACATTACTAAAGGTTTTAGGTGTTAAAGATAGGATTATTACAAATAAAAGATAATAAAATAGACAAATTAAAGACTTTAATAGAAGTGTTTTATCAATTCGTAAATATGTTATACGGTTAGTCTGAAGAGAAAGTCTCATAGTAATTAAAAAAGAATATTCACAGTATAACGTATAACTAAATAAGTTTATAAATATGGAGCCAGTTATTAGATGTACTTATAAATGAAATGTCTTCACAACAATACAGTTCAAGAAAGTTTTTACATTAGATTTTACGTTTTTTTAAGAAATATATTCAATGAAATGAGTGGTATAAATTATTTGTTTAATTTATTTTTTTATAATGTAATTTGAATGGACTAAAAAAGAAAAGAACTTAATACTTCACAAATTAAAGTAGAATGCCAAAACATCAAAATAAGAATAAAAAAGGAAGTTCACAACAAACAAAAATAAAAGAAAGGTTTGTAAAGAGTAAAACTGAAAAGAGAAAGAAAGAAATTCAAAAAGAGGAAGAAATACCAAAAATCACAGAAGAAGAAAAAGAAAAATATTTACAAAAATTTAAAAGAAAATATGTAGAAAAAGAGAAAAAGGAACAACAAGATTTAATAAGACATCCAAAGGATTTAAAAACACCAGTCAAACAAAAAGAAATTGGAATAGAAACAGCACAAAGAGTTATTCAACCTATTATTAAACATAATGAAAGTAAAATTACATTTAGTAGAACAAATAAAAGAAATGAAAATATAACTAGTCAATTCAAAGAAACGTCTGATGGATTTGATATTCCTAAGACGAAAACAGAACGTCAGAAAACAATAAAGTTACAAACAGAAATTACATTTAATAATCAGTCATTTGATGATGAATCTACAGACCAAAATGATTATGGAATGAATACAATCAATGAAATTGAACAACCAATACAGGAGAATAATCACCCAATTCATTTAGAAGAGGTTGATGACAAAAATAAGACAACAATGACTTTTACAGAAAATGAAAATAAAGTCTTGAAACTCCAAATAAATCAACAAGAAGAACAAAGTGAAGATAGTTTTGTTATTCACCGAAATAATCCTATCGAAATGCTAAAGAAAGAACTCCATCCTACAGAAATAGAACAAGGCATTCAACCAATGCAATTTGAAACAACTGTCGAAATCAACGAAACAAGTTATAAAACACCTACCAAATACCAATTTGATAAGAAACAATTAATTCAACATGAACCAATTCAACATACGTCTCCAAGACAAAGTCCAAAGAAAAGATTCAAAAAAGAAAAACAATTCAACACTACAGTTGTTATTCCAAAAAAACAAGAAGAAACAAAAAAATTAGTATTGATTGAAGACAGTCCAATAAATGAAAAAGATATAAACAAAAAGGACGAGAGTTTTCAAGAGAAAGTAAACACTGAAGATAATCAAGAAATAACTGAAGAAACATCATCAATATTATCTGTTATGAGTTTTGGAGAAGAACGGGAGATGAACAGTGATAAGATTCCAATGGAGATTATTGAAGAAGAAAAAAGAAATAAAAATGAAGAGTCAATGAGTCAAAAGAATTTTAAAGATAATAAAGTTATTACTTCAGAATTAATGAGTAAGAATGAAGAACAAACAACACTATTATCTATACTACCATTTGGTGAAGAAAGAATAAAAGGGATTAATGGGTTAAGAGAAATGAAAGAGATAGATATTCTTGAGGCCAATGAACAAAAACAAAAGGAATCAATCAAAAAAACATTCACACAAGAACGAAAAGATAGAATTACTAAGAAATTGGCAAGACCACATGAAATGATTCAATTTAATGATGGAAATCAAGTTATTTCTCAAATGAGTGTTGTTGAAACAAAAATAGAAGAAGAGTCTACAAATCAAGAAGCAATACCAATAGTTCAAGAAATACAAAAAATACCAATACAACAGATTCAATTAATAAATAATGAGATAGAAGAAGTTAAAATATCGGACGTTCAACTAACAAATAAGTTTATTGATGTTGACATTATTAAAGAAATCAAAGAAGTTGTTATTAATAATCAAAACAAAGTGTTTTGTGAAGTTAAAGAAGAAGAGACAGTTTATGAAAAATATATTCTTAAACCTTGTAGATTTTTAAGACAAAGAGAAAAAGAATGTGTTGAATTTCCTTGTATTCCTCCAAGAATTAAAACACCACCATTAGAACATCATATGGCAGAAGAAGAAAAACATTTTCTAGAACCAGAGCCATGCTTTAATGATTATTACCGACTTAAACCAAAATGTTGTTTAAAAGAAGAATTGTGTATTGTTCCATTGAGAAAACAATTGAATTGGAAAGCTTTAAATAATCCACAAATGAAAAGAGTAATAGAAGAAGACATTTCAATTCCAATGGGGTATTTTTCAAGAGTATTTCTAGATAACGATACAGATTTTGAAGATGATTTTGTTGAATCAACTAACTCAAAACTAAAGATTGTATTTTAAATAACATATTTTTATTTGTGTTTTTTTTCAAAACCATTAACAAAAAGTTTTACAATAAAATTATTGTTTTCTTTTTTTGGTTCAAATTAACTAAAAAAATAAAGATGAATGTTCTTATTGAAATCCTCCTTATTTGGTATTGCGTTGCCATTCCATCTATCAAATTAATTGAAAAATTTCCATATGAAGAAGAAGGAGAAACAAAAGATTGGGAGACAGGATTTGTTTCAATTAACAATATAGTCAAAGAATTTAATTATGGTTTGTTAATACTTAAATAGATTTAAAAGAAGAGAAGAATTAATGATATGAAAAGCTGTAATTTTTGATATTAGAACAACAAAAGAAATTAAAATCAACTTTTGTAATGGACATGAAAGTAGTATTTATATGATTGAATCAATAATTAATGAAACACTAATATCAACATCTTGGAATACTCATAACATTGAATGTAATAATGGAGGTAGTTTTTATTTGTATAAAAATGAAACATTATCAAATGAAACAAGTTTATTTGCCATAACATCAAATGAAGAATTTAAATATCATCTTGTTATAACAGAAGAAAATATTCAAAATTCAACATGTGGGTTTCCTATTGTGTTAAATACAACTTTTATGAATTATAAGAGTATAAATGGAAATAACCAAATATATTCATTCATAGCTAAAGATACTCAAACTCAAATTGTTCTTAATTACGAAGGTGAACATTTTGTAAATGGAATGATTAAAGAAACATGTGAAAATAAACAAGAAATAAAAAGTATTTATCAACAACATACACAATTCAATCATTCATTTGTATTTGAGAGTATTCCATCACACCAATATTATTTCATTGTTTATGAAGGAGAAGGAATGTATCGTATTTCTATTGATTTTTATGTTCGAAGATTTGAAAGTACATGTGAAGAACCAACTAATGGTACGTTATTATTAAATGAAGAAATAATTGATTTGAATACTCAAAAGAATGTATGGATTAAGTTTAATAAACAAGACTCAACTTTTGTTTTAATAGAAACACTCAAAGGAAATGTTGAATATTCAATGTATGAGAATTGTCAGTCTAATAGTAAATCATTTACTTCTAATGAACAAGAACTTATTGTAAATCAAGAAGGGAGTTTGATTCAAGTTCATACAATAAGTGAATATTCATTAATTAGATTTAAGACTTATAATTTCTCAACAATAACAACATGCAAAGAACCATATTTATTTCAACTCAAAGAAAATATGATTAATGATGGAGGATTATTTGAATTAAATTACTCTCAATTTATTCCAACAGAAGGTGATTGTGGTGAATCTATTTATATTAATAGTGAAACAAAAGATACTGGATATTGGATTGGGATTGATAATCCATTGAATTATGAAGTTGGAGTTAATATTAAAACACATGGATTTTTTGAGACATATCGAATGTGTGGAATGGAGTGTATTGATAGATTCAAAGATTCATCTCCATTAATTCTTTTACCACATCAAATGAATTATATTAGGTATATCCCTTCAATAATTGGAGATGAAGAAAGTAATAGTATTGTTGTTTTTGAAATTATACCAATATCAAACCCATTTCAACCAAAACAAATTAATACTATTCCTTATTCAAGTGAAATGACAGTGAGTAAAATTCAACCATTAATATGCTCAAATTCTTCTAAGCCATCTTCATTTTATACTATTCATTCATCAAGAAGATGGAAAATAGATATTTCCACTTGTGAAACATCAACAAATATGAATTATGATATTAATGTAAAAAATGAATTAAATTGTATTGATATTGAACAATTAGAATGTGATAATGGAAAACATAATCAAAGACATACTGTTTTAATGCAAAGTGGGATTGATTATCAAATTGAAATAATTGGAAATAACAATGAAGGAGATTTTGAAACAGGAGTTGTTTTTCCAATATTCTCTTATGCCAGAATGAGTGTTGATTGTTCTTTTCCTGATGTTCAATATACAATCACTAATCAATCATTCTTTATATCAACAACAATTTATAATGAAACTCTTCCATCTCCTGATGCTTGTCATTCAAAAGAAATGAAAGGAACATTTATTCAATTTATTTCAAAGTCTGATAAATTGAATATTAAAGGATGTTCTCCTTCTGTTATTCAAATAAGTATATTTTCTGAATGTAAAAATGGTATTGAAAGTGTTTGTTTTGCTAAGAATGAAAGTGATACTGAATGTACTACAGTTTCTCTTTCTGTAGAACGAGATAAAGTATATTATGCTCGTTTTGCTACTGATAATATGAATAATGATGTTGATATTAATATTACTTTTGAAAGTATTGGGGTTGTTGAACAAGAAAAGGATCTTGAACTATCAAGAATCATTTTCTTAATTTCTTTAATTTGTATTCTTATCATTGGAGCATTATTTGTTATTGTTTATGGTGGTTTTATGTTCTTTATTCAAAGAAAGAAACAATCAAAATATGCTTCCCTTCCATGATATACTTTTTTTAATTGATTTTTCATTTACTTTAATAGTAATCAAAAGATTTATCAATTATTTAATTTGAATATACTTTGAAATAACAACAAAATTCATTAAAAAGAAACAAAAGTTAATTTAACTAAATAAAGATAAAAAAGAAAACAATAAAAAATAATTAAAATGAATATTGAAATAATTAAAAATAAAAAATAAAAAAATGAAGAATAATCAAATTACCAATTCTTAACATTTTCGATTGATTTGTGTGCAGCTTCAACAACGTTGTCTGAAGTAATACCAAATTTCTCATATAATTTGTTGATTGGAGCTGATGCTCCAAATGAATGCATTCCAACAGCAACACCACAATCTCCAATAAATTTCTCCCAACCCATAGTTGATGAAGCTTCAACTGATACTCTAGCATGAATCTTTCTTGGAAGAACTGATTCTCTATATTCAACAGGTTGTTGATTAAATAATTCCCATGATGGAAGGGAAACAACTCTAACACCAAGTCCTTCTTTATGAAGTTTCTCTGCTGCAGTAATAGCAATATCTACTTCAGTTCCTGAAGCCATAAGAATTACTTGTGGTGTTCCATAATCTCTCAAAACATAACCTCCTTTTCTTAAATTTTCTGATGATGCAAAAATTGTTCTATCAATAATTTTACTATTTTGTCTTGCCAAAATCAAAAGAGTAGGTCCATTATTTCTTTCAATAGCTATTTTCCATGCTACACGTGTTTCATTTGCATCTGATGGTCGAATAACAACACAATTAGGCATTGATCTATATGATAGAAGATGTTCAATTGGTTGATGTGTTGGTCCATCTTCTCCTACTCCAATAGAATCATGAGTAAAAACAAATATTGATGGATAATGTGAAAGTGCTGCTAATCTAATAGTTGGTCTACAATAATCACTAAATACAAAGAATGTAGATCCATATGCAATTAATCCTCCATATATATTCATTCCATTAACAATATTTCCCATAGCATGTTCTCTAATTCCATAATGAATATTTCTTCCTTTAGGATCTTCATGGAATGGTACTCCTGGAAGTACAACTTTAACACTTCCTCCAACATCAGCAGTTCCTCCAATTATTTCTGGTAATTTTTTAGCAATTTCATTAAATGCTTTTCCTGAACTAATTCTTGTAGCTTCACCTTTTTCATCTTCTTTAATTTCTTCTTTAAATAATTCTGAAATACTTGAAATATCTCTTTTAAGTCTTCGTTCAAATTCTTTTGAAAGTTCTGGTTCTTCTTTTTTATATTCTTCATACATTTTTTTCCATTCTTTATGTTTTAAATTTCCTCTTTCTGATGCTGCATGATAAACTGAATAAATATCTTCTTCAATATGAAATTCTTCTGTAACTCCATATGCTTTTTTCATTAATTCTAATTCTGTTCCTGGTGGTTCTCCATGTGCTTTACAAGTACCTTGTTTATTTGGCATACCAAGTCCAATAGTAGTTTTACAACAAATAAGAGTTGGTTTATCTGATGCTTTTGCTAAAACAAGTGCTGCATCAATTTCTTTTACTTCATCTCCATTACATTTTAATACATTCCAATTATATGCTTCAAATCTTTTTTTAACATCTTCTGTAAATGTAAGATTAGTATTTCCATCAATAGTAATATGATTATCATCATATAAACAAATTAATTTATTTAATTTCATATGTCCTGCAAGTGATGCTGCTTCTGCAGTAACTCCTTCCATTAAACATCCATCTCCAAGTAATACATATGTATAATTATCAATAATTTTCTTATCTTTAGTATTAAATATAGCTCCCATATGTTTTTCTGCTATTGCTAATCCAACACCAGTTGACATTCCTGCTCCAAGAGGTCCACCAGTAACTTCAACTCCTTCAGTCCATCCATATTCTGGATGTCCAGGTGTTTTAGAATCTAATTGTCTAAATTCTTTTAAATCTTCCATAGAAATATTATATCCTAATAAATGATTAATAACATATAATAATGTTGATCCATGTCCATTAGAAAGAACAAATCTATCTCTTGAAATCCATTTTGGATCTTTTACATCAAATTTCATATGTTTTGTAAATAATGTATATGCAATACTAGCACATCCTGTTGGTACTCCTGGATGTCCACTTTTAGCTTTATTAATCATTTCACATGCAAGAAGTCTAATACTTTGAATACATCGTTCTTCTAATGACATAATATAATAATAATCTTTTCTTAGTTCATTTCTTACTTAAATATTCTAATTAGTGTAGAATCTTATTCTTATTAAAGACGAAGATTCTCGATTATATTCTTCTCTTCTTCTTTTTTCTCTTATTTCTTCTTTTTTTTTTCTTTTTTTTGTTATTTATAACTAAATCTTTTTTAAATATATTTTCAATTATTCTTCTATTTATCATATATCACAATCCATATCTAGTTGTTTTCTCCTTGTTTCTCTAAACTCTTCCAATAATAATGGCCCTACTTAGTTATTACTTTTCTTTTATTTGATATTAACATTATTACAAACATGAAATAATTTTATCTTCATTAACATATTGATCATTCAATACAAAATTCCTTTCGTAATATAATGAATACCATTCATCTTTTGTAAGATAAAAAAATGATCTATTTCTTTTGACATACTCTATAAATTCCTCTAATAATGGAAATGAATTATAAATTACTTTCAGAATTCTTTCTAAATTTTTTCCTTCAATAATTCTTTTATTTCCATATTCTTTAAATGCATATTGAATCAAATCAGTGTTATTCCACAATCCCTCTTGTATAAATACATTGAATGTATCTATATTACTTTCAATAATAACTGTTTCTTTTGTCTTATAATGAAATACAAAACAAGGCTCCTCAACCTTTCTTTTTATTCCATGGTATTGTTTTGTACTTTCCATTATATTATCTATTATTTGTCTGTTTAACATTGTTAATTGAGGAATTAAATTTTAAGTTAATTTCTTGAAACTTTTTTTTTGTAAAAATCATTCTCTTATAAAATTTAATGAGTGTAAATCTAACTCAATAAAACAAGCATTTGTATTGTAATATATCATTAAATTAAAAATTGATTATATTCTTATATATCAAGTAACTCTATTCAATTAGTAATAAATATAACATTCAACATTATTAAATTTAGTGAATAATTTAGAATATAATGAAATAGAAAACTATATAAACATAAAGTGAGTTTGTACATTAAGAATAAAGTAATCATTTTTAAAAAGAAAGAAGTAGTACCTAGGTGTAGACAAATTTAATCTAAGAGTAGGTATTAATTTAAATATCACAAGAGAATTACAAATTATTATTGAAAAGTACAAATTTGTCATAAGAAGTATTGTTATCAGTATATTTTGATAGTAAATTTTGAATTAAATAAAAGAATAAAACTTAAATTCAAATTAATAAATGAAACCTAGTTATTCGCTTAAAGAACGAAATGAATAGTTGGATGGTCATCCATTGCCTTCTTAATATCACTAGTTTTTAGTCCATTTTGTTCTAAACAAATCTTATCAACTGACATTGTTTGTGGGAGTTCATTGTTAAGCCAATTAATGAGTTCATCTTTGGTGATGGCTTCAAGTTTCCTTAAACGTAACACACTTAAGTGTTGGCACATCATCAACAAATCAGAAACTTTATTCATATATGATCCAAGAGGATTACCATCAAGTGACAATTTGATTAAAGAAGGATGGTTGATGATGGCATCAAAGATTGAACCAATTTGTTCGGCAGGGAAATTCATTCCAGAAATATGTAAATTTTTTAATGTTTTATTACCACGAATCATTTCAGCAATACAAGCATAGTTACCCTTTCTAAAGAGTGAAGAATTATAACCAACTTTAAATTTTGTTAATTTAGTTGTACAAGAGAGATAATTAACCATATACGATGCACATGAATCAGAGATTTGACAATCATTTGCACTGAATTGTGTAATACATAAGTTAGTCTTTTCATAAGCCAAAAGAATTTCAAAGATTTTGCTCATATCTCCTTTTAATTTAGCGCCACTCACATCAATAGCATTTAAATGACAAACTGGTCGTTGAATGATTTTCATTAATCTCTTTACATCACTAGTACTTAAATCAACTCCTGCAACATCTAATCTACTAATTGGTGGGAATTTAACAATTTTTCCTTCTTCAGTAATATCACTAATATAAGAAATAACATCACCCATTCCATCATTACCACTTAACCTTAATTCTTTCAAAACTCTGCTGTCAGCTAATCCTTTAAGAATTGAGTGAACAATGTCTTTTGGTAATCCACAATGTCTTACATCAAGTATTTGAAGTTTCTTTAATCGTTGAACCAAATTACCTAATTCAGCGCCACCTGCACCGATGTTATTATTTTTAATAATCAACTGTTGAAGATTAGGGAAATCTGAGATAAGTCTAATAACTTGACCAGCATCTTGTCTAGTAAGAGCTAGTCCTCTGATATCTAACCTAAACAAAGCATTTCTATTAATTGATCTTAGGACAGTTTGTAACGCACTTCCACTTAATTCAGAGTTATTTGATAGATTTAAATATTCAAGAGAGTTACAAGCTCTAAATCCATCAACAATATTTTTTGCAATTTCATCAGTTAATCCAATATTACTTAAATCAATTCTTTTTAATGCAATTGGTGATTTAAGAATTAAACAAAGGGCTTTAGCAAATTCATTTGTTTTACCAAGTTCCATATTGTCTGCCAAAGAAAGTTCTTGAGCATTGAAAGTTTCTTGAACATCTTTTCCACCACGAGATTTAAATGTACGATCAATACTTTCTGCAAAAACAGTTAGTTGAGAAATAGAAACATTTGTTGAAGCAAAATTTATTGTGGTTAAGTTGTGATTTTGTTTAATTGCAGTAAGGATAGAAGCAAGAATACGTTTTGGAGCAATTTGTTCGAGATAAGCATCAGCAGCAGCAACTTGAATATTTTCGTGGAAGTAAGATAAACGGTTAGTAAGAAAGACAATTTCTTCTCTCTTTTTAGAGAAATCAAATAATTTATCATCTTCAGCAAAGTGAAGTGAAACAGGTTTTTCTACATCAGGAGAAGTTTCACCACAAAGATAGAAATAACCAGATAATAATGAAACTAATTTTTCAACTCTTCCAGTTTTGATTTGAAGATTTTTATTATTCTTGAAATAAACAACAGCAGAGTCCCCAGTAGAATAAATAGATTTAATATCATGCATTGGATAAAATGTAATGTCTTCAATTAAATCAGAAAGATAAACTATAATTCCATCATAAACAATACCTATATGAACTTTTTTTCCTGATAAAACTGAATCAAACATAGTTGCACCAAAAGAATGTGATCTTTGTGCCATTTGAATGAATGACAATTTGAGAGTATTAAGGTTAGTTTGATTTTTTAATTTTTCATGAATTCCCATAGAAGAACGTAACATATTTTCTTTTCCATAATTTTCTATGACCATAGGATTGCAGAAAAGTCCAATATCAATTAATGTAGCTTCTTGTTCTTTATAATTACCAAATGTCATTTGAATAGCAACAGCAGCAAGAGCATTAGCAATCTTTCTTTCGATAGGGAAAGGCTCTTCAAACATAGTAGTTTTGAGGCATTGATAAATATAATCAATATTCTTTTCTCCTGCAGTTTTTTGACTAGCATTAAATGGACAAATCCATTGCATTCTAAATCCTAAATTACTTGAATCATTAATTTTTTCTTGGAATAGTGTTTTTGTATTGTTAAAGAATTTGGTTGGTATTTGAGTGTTTTCTTTTAATTCACAAAGATAAAATAAATTTAGTGTAATACCTAACTTGCTTTTAAGTTGTTCAATAACATCACTAACTTTAGCGACATCTTGGATATTTAAATTAACTGTATCTTTATTGGCTAAATGAATTTTAAGGTGAAGAGTAATATTATTACCAGTTTTTTCTACTTGTTGAAGTGATTGAGATAAATTACCCATATCTTTCATTTCCTTTTCAAGGTCGTTCATTCCTGCTCTACTCCTTTTTTTCTTTGTATTAGTCTTTCTTCTAATAACAATAGCATCGAAATCTGCTAAACTCATCTCTTAATTATGTATTTTTAAGTTTTTTTTAGTCTTTTTTGTCTTTTCTTTTTTCTTCAAAAATATGACACGGTATATCTCTATTTAGAACTACAAAATTTTTATTGTGTTATTTAAAACAAAAATATAATAACATATTCTAAAAAAAAGATATTTTAATTCAAATCATAAGTATTCTGGATACGATAAAAACGAAAATGAATTCATCATTTATTTGGTCATTGCACAATTAATAGAAGATATGAATCTTCTTAAGTTAATGAAAATTCTCTTGTTTCAAAGTTATAGCATTTTGAGGAACTTATTTTTTTTAAATACTAGACAATGGAATATAAAGTATGCCTCTTTGGTTTTGAGCACAGTGGAGTTAGAAGTCTTGTCCATAGACTTAGTAGTGATAATTTCAGTGGACGCCCAATAATTTTTAAAGAAGAATATGTTTGTTTATTATTCATTTTTGTTCCAAGAAAAAGATCAAATTAATTTAATGTCTTAGCAATCTATTGAGTACAAAATAAATAAAAAAGTAGTAAAGATACAAATTTGGGATAATTTGACTCTAGAACAAAAACATAAATCAACAAATGATTCATTTATTAAAGACGCTTCTGCTATTATCATTGTTTGTGACATTTTACAACCAAATATTGTTATTAAATTTAAATCTCTTGTAACAAAGATTCTTCTTTTTAAACCAAATTGTAAAATCCTTATTGCGTTCAGTAAGAGTGATCTTCCTAATTCTGGAATAGACCTAGAAATAGCTGAACTGATTCTAGAAAAAAAGCTAAACATGGTATCTGTTTCCTCTAAGACTGGTGACGGAATACCAAAAATTAAGGAGTTTATTATTTCTCAAATCCAGGAAGATATGAGCAAAAAGGAAACTTCAACGTTACTCTCATCAAATGCTAAAACATATTTTACAAAAGAAAAAAAAGGACTTTCAAGAATACGTCAATTCTGCAAGTTTTAATAAACAGTGTAAATAACACAATTACTTTTTACCAATTATGTTTTTCTTTTAAAATTTTACCAATAAAAAGAGAAAATCGAAGTAATAGTAAAAATAAATTATAAAACTATTAAAAATGAATAAAAAAGTACTATTAATTCATTGTTTCATGGAACAACCACGATACAATAGACAACCAATTATAACTAATGTTGAGTGTAAGGAAGAAAAACTATCGTTTCATATCGAAAGGACTGATACTTCAATGGTAAATGGATTGAGAAGAGTCATTATGGCAGAAACACCAACGATTGCTATTCAACTTGTACGAGTTTATGCTAATTCATCATATTTATGTGATGAGTTTATTGCTCATAGATTGGGATTAATTCCAATTGACTCAACTCAAATACATAATTTTGAAGATGTTTGTTATAAATTAATAAAAAAAAAGAAAAAGAATAACAAGAAATAGACAGACGATGCAATATTAGAACTGAAAAAAGAAAATAATTCAAATCAACTAGTAGTTGTTACTTCAAATGATTTGGTATCTATTGGAGATAAAAGAGTAGCTCCTGTAAACTATAGAAATGATGTTGATCCTATAGTTATTACTCAATTAGGTCCCCGACAAAACATTCATATGGTTTGTTATGTTAAGAAAGGTACAGGGAAATTCCATGCTAAATGGAATCCAACATGTCAATGTGTATTTCAAACACTTGCTGATATTAGAATAAACGATGAAAAAATGATTTCACTTACACCAGAACAAAAACGTACATTCTGTGAACAATGTCCTCAAAAAGTATTTGATTATCAAGAGGTTGGAGAAAAAGTATTTATTAGAGGAGATGAAAATTGTATTTTTTGTAATGAATGTACTGTTTATGCAAGAGATATTGGTCAACGTAATTTAGTCACTGTCACTCCAAAGACAGATCAATTTGTTTTTAAAGTAGAAGGAACAGGAGTTTATCCACCAAAACAAATTATTGAATTAGGATTGGAAGAAATGAAGAAGAAATTTGTCAATTTAAAGAAAGCATTGAATGAATCTAAATAAGAAAGATATAATAAAAAAAAATACATCTTCTTTTTAACTACGTTCATTCGTTTTTTATAAGTTTAATAATAATAAAATTAATAAAAAATCTAATTTAATTAGAAGTTAGAATGATATTTTCAATACACACTTTTAGAAAAATAGAATTAAATAAAATATAATAATATTACTAATAAGATTAGTTAATTACATTTAGAATCTTTTAATACAAAAAAAATAGAATTTAGAAGTTTGTTAATTAATCATGACACATCAACAATTGAAAATATATAAAAAATTTAATGAAAATCTCTCTAAAGTCCCTTCTGAAGTTATAAAACTTGGTAGCTCAATAACTACATTAGACTTAAGTTTTAATGTTTTTACTGTTTGTTAAATTTATTTAGATTATAAAATATTAATTAATCTTTAAAGGAAATTCCTTCGTTAGATAAGTTTAAGTCATTAGCTAACTTAGTAATGAGTTCAAATAAAATATCTGTAATACCTCCTCATCTCTTTAAAATTACGTCATTAAAGAAACTTATTCTTTCACAAAATAATCTTTATGAACTTCCTTTAAATATTTCTATATTATCTAATCTTACTTGCTTAAATTTATCACAGAACAAGTTATCAAAAATTCCTCCATCTATTTCTTCACTTATTAATTTGAAAATATTTTCATTATCAACAAATAATCTTTCAACTCTTCCAAAAAGTCTTTCTCGTTTAACTTCTTTAACTAGTGTTTGTTATATTTTATCGTTGTGTATTAGAAAAAAAAAGAGATAGTTTTAATATTTACTTTTGGTAGTTTGAAATAGATCACAATAATCTTACTGATTTACCAGGATGTGTTTGCGAAATGAGTTCATTAGTGACACTAAATGTTAGTGGTAATGATATACAAAAATTCCCTATGGCTATAACTAAATTACAAGGATTAAAAACGTTAACTGCTCAATACATTAGATTAAAAGAACTTCCTAGCTTTTTTTCTAAATTCCCTTCATTAATCAATTTAGATTTGGACTGTAATCCTTTAACCTCAATGCAACTTAACTCAAGTAGCTCAATCAAAAATCTTACTTTAGGAGAAATAGTACTTAAATCTCTTTCTTTACAAAACTATTCTAAACTTTTCAGATTAAACATTCTTTCTGGTAATATCTCTGAACTAAATGAACTTCCTCGAATGAGCATTATGACTATTGAAAATATTCACTTAAATTCAATTCATTACTTCCCTGAAGTTAATGAAGTTTCTCTCGCAAATAATAATTTGATAAATATCCCACAACTCAACACTTCATTACATACTTTAAATATTAGAAATAATAAAATTGCTTCTCTTCCTTCATTATTCCCTTTTCAATTAACTCGTATTGATATATCTCAAAATTTAATTTCTTCGGTCCCCTTATTAAACACTGTTATTCGTACTTTATTACTGACTTCAAACAAAATTGTTGAATGGCCTAAATCAATGAAAGAATTAACGTGTCTTCGACATTTAGATTTATCAAACAATAAAATTCAATTTATTCCTAATGACTATATCTCAACCTTAGTTAACTTGGAACGTTTAATTCTTCACTTTAATTATTTATGCTTTTTACCTCCAGCAATTGGCTCATTAAGCAAACTTAAATTACTTGGATTAAGTCATAATAGATTAACTCAATTTCCTGTTTGTCTTGGGACTCAGTTAACTTCATTAATGATTTCATCTAACTCAATATCTGTAATACCAGATTATATACGTTCTTTAAGTTTGGTTGAAATAGATATCAGTTATAACCAATTAATAACACTTAGTCCATTATTATTGAACACAACCCTTAAAGATATTAATATCAGTTACAATCCTCTTCAAACTCTTCCTTCAAAAATAAATCAAATAAAATCTCATCGTATTAATATTTCAGGATATCCAGTAAGTAACATAGAGTTATTGAAAGAAAAACAAGGGGGTCCAATTATTGTTTTAACAGTTCAACGTGAGAATGGGATAATGACTTTACCAATTCAAAGTTATGATGAAATACCAGAACCTAGTGATTTGGTATGTAATCAAATTAGTCCTTGTCAAAACCAAATTGAATTTGGATTAGCTGAATGTAAGGGATGTCGTGATGAAATGCAAGATTTTATGTGTTTCTCTGAAAATTTTGTTCAAAAAGGTAATTATTTTACTGCTATTTGTGATGGTCACAGTGGTGTTGTTACTGCACAAACATGTGCTTCTCAAATTATGATGACTTTAGAGAATATTTTAAAATCAAATGAACAATATAGTATTAAAGATTCATTAATCCAAGCATTCACTTGTATTAACTCCAGCATAATAGAAAAGGGGTACAAAGATGGAACTACTTGTTTGTGTCTTGTTATTACAGAAAATATCTTTTATATTGCCAACATTGGTGATTGTCGTTGTTTATTAATTGGAGATGATTATTTTTTGCCTTTAACTGTGAGCCACAGACCGTCTAACAAAACTGAATACAAAAGAATAAGGGAAAATGGTGGGTTTGTTATTGGTAACAGAACAAATGGTGGCTTGGCAGTCTCAAGGTCTTTAGGAGATTCAGTTAATCAACCAATTATTTCACCCATTCCTGATGTCGTTGTTCGTCAAAAGAGTCCTACCGATAGATATTTAGTACTTGCTTGTGATGGTGTTTGGGATGTTATGAGTGATGAAAAAGTTTATTCAATTATTAAACAATACTCAAGATACCACCCAACCAAGACAGCAAACGTTATCAAAGACCTTTCACTTTGTTTTGGAAGTACCGATAATATTTCTTGTATCGTATGCAAACTTAATTAGCTAATTTCTTCTCATCACCTCAGCATCCTAAATACTACAAACAACTTAACAAAATATTTTCTATTTAGCTCTATAATTTCTTTGTCTTCATGAAAAAGTCTTTACTCTATCCTTACTCTTTCCTTTTTCAATAAAGACCAATTAATAACTTAGTAACAATACACAAACTGATTATAAGAGTGATACCAAAATCGGGTTAAAACTAAATTGAGTGTTAAAGGTAATGTTATTAACTAATAAGAAACTATGAAACAAACAGATGAACGAAGTTAACTTCTAACTAGAAAAAAATGAAATAATTACCTTGTTTGTTTTTCTATTCAAAAAAATTTATGTTAGAAAAAATGTTATTCATTTCGTTTTATATTAAAATCAGATTTTTGAAACGAAAAGAAAAAAAAAAGAATAAAGAGAAAAAAGGGAGAAAAAGAAAGAAGCAATATAAAAATAAGATAAATAACAAAATAAGAAAGAAATGTTTTTTTTGATAAGAAAGAAATAAGAACAAGAGAAAGTTTAAAGGAGAATAAGAAGAAGAAAATAAAACAAGTAAAAAAGATAAAGAATAAGAAAAGATAAAGAGATGAGAGAAATGAAGAAGTTAAAGAAGTGAAAGGAAACAAAAGAAGAAATAAAAGAAAGAAGAAAAGAGTAGATTTAATAAAGAGGTAAAATTGAAAGAAAAGGAATCAATTATGAATTACCTATATTTATGTTTTCATCATCTTGAGAAGTGAGCAAAAACCAGTTTCTTCAACATGCTTTATTTTATATGAAATAAAGTTTTTTTCAAACATGCTCGACTTAAATGGTTCCTCATTTAAGTTGCTGCCTGATTCATAAAGAGGTAAAATTGAAAGAATAAATAAAAAAAAAAGAAAAAGAAAAACTAGAAATAAAAGAAATGGGATATAATATAGAAATTCCAAAAGATGAACAAGGGAAATATGATATGAAGAAATTAAGAGAACATTTTATGAAAGGAGGAGGGATAAAAGAGAAATCGATTCATGAAATAAATGAAAGAATTCAAAGGATAGTTAAAGAAGAAAAGAATATAATTGAAATAAATGATAATGGACTTTTATTTGGAGATTATCATGGACAATATTTTGATTTTTTAACACAACTGGAAGATAAATATTGGGAGAAAAAAGAAGCAACAAAAATATATCTTGGAGATTATGTTGATAGAGGACAAATGAGTACAGAAATAATAATAACATTATTTTGTATGAAAATAAATAATCCTAAGAAAATAATAATTTTAAGAGGAAATCATGAAACAAGAATGATGACAGAAAGGATGGGATTTATGAAAGAATGTCAAAAGAAATATAATATTAATATATATTATGAATTTTGTGAAAGTTTTAATTATCTTCCACTTGGAGTAATTATTAAAAGAAAAATAGGGAAATTTTTTTGTTGTCATGGAGGAATTTCACCAGAAATTAATAAAATAGAAGAAATTAATGAAATTAATAGATTTTGTGAACCACCAAGTAAAGGAATAATTTGTGATTTATTATGGTCAGATCCTATTACAGAAGAATTTTTAAATGAACATTTAGATTTTAAAATGTATTATCAATCAATTGATTTTATTCCTAATATAGAAAGAAATTGTTCATATAAATATGGATATAAAGCAATTAATAAATTTCTTCAAGATAATCAATGTATTGCAATTATTAGAGGACATCAATGGGTTAATGATGGTGTTGAAATGCATTATTTTGGAAATAATCAATTAAATTTTCCACTTTGTTTTACAATTTTTGGTGCAACACATTATTCATTTAAAAATAAAGCAGCAGTTATGCTTATTACTGATACAAATATTGATATTAGTAAATATCCAATATCATTAGTTGATAATGATTATAATCCTACTATTGAATATGCTTTAAATTATTCATTAGATATTATAATGGAAAATATTAGTTCATTTATTAAACAATTTATTTATTTAACATTTACTACTGATGATATAGATGATAATTTAAATGATTTAAATGATAATGATGAAAATAATTTGAATGATGATTTTTGTATTTTTGATTGTCCTGAAAATGATGAATTATCTCATTCTTTTCTTCCACCAATTATATCTTCTCAATTTAATCCTACTCAAAATTTAATAAATCAAAGTTTTAATCAAATTAATCAATCTATTTCATCTCAAATTAATATTAATATTAATGATAATATTAATGATAATATTAATGATAATAAAATATTATTTAGATCATTTAATGGTAATGATATTAATAAATTAACTAACAACATTTTACATTCATCAATTGGTACACAACAACCATCAATTTGTTTGTTTTTCTTTATTTTATTTAAATCATTTTTTTTATTATAAATATTTATTCTTTAGATGAACAACATTTTGTTCAAAAAATTCGAGAAGAGTCTACTCCTTTAACATTAGATGAACTTCGTATTAAATTCCTTGAACTTCAAAATAAATCAAAGACTACTCTTATTTAATTTTTATCATTTCTTTTTTTTTTTTTGATATTCAATTCTTATTTTTTATATAAATAATAATTTTTATTTTATGAAATTAATGATAAAATATTTCAAATATTAATTTATTAAAAAGATATTTTATATAAACTTAAAAGTTAATAAATTAATGGAATATAATCAACAATATAATTATGATTATTTTCTTAAAGTCTCTATTATTGGTGATAGAGGTTCTGGAAAAACATGTCTTTGTGATCGAATTGTTAATAATCAATTTATTTCAAAATATCTCCCACCTATTGGAATTGATTATAAAACTAAATTTTATATTATTGATAATAAAATAATTAGAACTGCATTCTGGGAATTTTGTTATTCTAATAGGTATTGTCCTATTGGAGATGAATTAAAAGGTTCAACTTTATTATTACTCATTTTTGATATGAGTAATTCAGATTCTTTTCATTCATTAAAATACTATTATAAAAGAATTTCTCATCAATTTCTTCTTCCTCCTCCTATCTTTTGTATTGGAACTAAATCAGATCTTCCTTCTACTATAAGTGAACGTCAAATTCTTAAACAACTTAAAAAAATGAACTATCCTCCTTTATATTATTCTTCTTCTCTAACTGGTTCTGCTTGTAATTCTATCCATTCTGATATCATTACTATCTTATCTAATAAAATTAATGATATAATCAAACAACCTCCATCTCAAGATGATTCTTTTTCATTTCTATATCAATCAAATTCTCATTCTCATCCTTCTAAAAAATGCTGTTTATCTTAATTCAATTAATTTCTTTTTATTCTTTATTCTTATTATTTTATCTATTCTTATTTCCTTTCTTTAAAATCATTCTTTCATTTTATATTCTCTTCTTTATTCTTTATTATTCTTTCTTCTAAATATTCTATTCTTGTTTATTTATCAACTATATTCCTATAACTATTTATTGAATGTTTATTGAATGTTTATTGAATGTTTATTGAATGTTTATTGAATGTTTATTGAATGTTTATTGAATGTTTATTGAATGTTTAAATTGAAAACAAGAACTTAACAAATAAATAAAATATACAAAATGTAATTCAGAAAATATTAAAGAATAGAAAATATAAATATATCAAAAAAAAAAAAAAAAATTAATTCTATTCATAAAATTTTCTTTATAAAATGAAAATAAATTCAATTTGTAATATTTATCAATTGATATTACATTTCTTTTCTTTCTTTTCTTTCTTTTCTTCTTTTATTTCTTTTATTTCTTTTATTACATTTTCATTTTCTTCTTCTATTATTGAATAAAATAAAATATCTGTCATTGTTTTGAAATATTTATTATCTATATTTGATGTCTCAATATATTTTATTCTTCTTTTATTTGCTATTTCTTTAATAACTATTGAATTCCCTTCAATTTCTTTATCTTTTTTATTTCCAACTATAATTATATTTCCTTCTTCCATTTTTTTATTCTCTATATCTTCTTTGATCTTTTCTATATATTTTATTATGTCTTTATTCACTTCAATTTCTTTACTTAAATCAACAAATATACAAATTATATCACTTCTTCGATAATAAATTGGAACTATCCTTTCAAATATTTCTTGCCCTGGTGTATCCCACTATATCTTTTATTCTTTCTCTTCTTTCGTATTTCCTTTAACAAACTATTTCTACTTTAATCCTTCTTCTATCAAAATAAATACTCATTTCTGTATACACTGCACTCTGACTTGCTTTGTATTTCTCTTCTATTTCTTCACATTTATTCTTTCTAATCCATGTCGTTTTCCCACTACAACTTTTCCCTATCAAACTTATCTGATACTTCTTCCTTTCCATTCTTCTTTTTATCTTTCTTTTCTTTTCTTTTTATTCTTTTTCCTTTTTCCTTTTTTCTTTTTCCTTTTTTCTTTTATTTAATATTTTATTATATTATAGTTTACTATATGAAAATAATTTTAGATTTAATTATTCATCATCTAAAAATCAAAAGATTGTCTTGTAATTATTAGTTTGATTAGTGATAAAAAAAGGATTTTTAATAAAGTTAAAACAAACACCATTTTAATTATTCACAGATAAGTGTTAATCTTTTTTTGTTCCCATTATTTTTGAGGAAGATTTATATAGTTTTGATACAACCTTTTTTTTATTTATTTTCATAGTTTAAGTTATTTTATTTGTTGACAAAACATTAATAATCAATGTTAATCCATATCTTAGCCTAACACAGAACATTTAGTTATTTATTTGTATTACATTAAATAATCTTTTACTGCCCTCAATCTTATTGTAAAAGTAAACTAAATAAAAATGATAATAGACTTTGTATTTTTTACTCAAAATTTGGTACATAATCTTAATTTTAATGATAGTTTAATGATAATTTATTTATATGTTAATTCTTTTATTCAAATACTCATTTGTTATTCAAAAAACCTGTAAAAGTTCATTTTTTGAATCTTTTAGAAAAAAGGTTCAAAAATTGAATATTAAAAGATTCATTTTATGAATCTTCAGAAAAATCCTCCATTACTCTTAAATAGATTATTACAAATAGAAAAATAATAATATATACTATCATAACATGAGCTTTAAGAACATTCTTCTTGTCAAAAAACTCTCTTTTTCAAAAGAAAAAGAAAAAATTGATTATCCAAAAATATTCAGTTATTGAATGTTCCTTTTCATCAGTAATTTCAATAAACAAAAGTTTATTAAATTCAATTCTTTAACACATCTTATCTTTTTTTTGTTTTCAGTTAATATAAATAAATTTTTATTATTGTTCATTTAAAAAGAAAGAAAAAATTATAAACGATATCACAAACTGTCATTTAACACTTCTTTAAAAGGTTCAATTACTGAACATTTCATAATTTTATTTCTTCTTTGAATTAAGATAAATATTGTATTGTTAGGGGTTGAATTTTCTTTTCTTTACTTAATAATGAAGAGTATTTAAACTGAAAATTATATCTTATAAGTCAGAAAGTATGTCTGTTAAATCTATTGAACCTAAAGAGATTGAGTTAGAATGTGAAGACACTACTTCATCAGATGATGGAATATTTGAAACAGATGATGTTGTTAAATACGACAAAAGTCCAAATTCAATTGTTAAATTTTTTAGAATATTGTTCTTTAGAACCTCAATGCCTCAATTATTAAAAGGTAGAAAAGGAAATTTAAGAGTTTCTGACCTTTGTCCAATACCAAAAACTCTTATATTAGAAGATTATGAAACAGATTTAAAAGAACAATGGGAAAAAGAAGCTCTCTCAAAACATCCCAGTCTTTTCTTGGCTATTTTTAAGAAAGAATGGTATCACTTTTTATTTGCCTATATTCTTGTAACTATTTATGAACTATTTTCATTAGCATTTCCACTTGAAAGTCAGTATATTGTTAAATGGTTGAATAAAGAAGATCCACCAGCTTATATGGCTGCTGTTTTTATCTGTCTTGCTATTGTATTTCAGCTTATTGTTTGTTTCTCCCAGGAGTTTGGAAAGAAATGGATATTTGTTAGTGGGTTAAGAATAAGAAATGGTCTTATTGGTCTTATTTATGATAAAGCATTAAAATTAAATGCTTCTGGAATAGAAGAACCTGGAAGACTTGTTAATTTAATGGCAAATGATGCAGCTGTATTTGTAGGAAATATTGAATATTCAGTTTTTGGTTTAGCATCTCCAGTAATGTTTATTGTTCTATTTGTATTAATTTATATATATATGGGTAAATGGGTTTATGTTCCATTGATTGTATTTGTAGTATTCAATATTATCAACTTTGGATTTGGTTTCCTCAGTGGATTTCTCTATAATAAATTTGTATATATGAAGGATAAAAGAGTATCTTTTATGGGAGAGATTCTTCATAATATTAAGTTTATTAAATATAATAATTGGGAAAAACCAATGAAAAAAAGAATTTGGTGGTTGAGAATTGTAGAAGAAATCTGGCTTGTTCTTGTGGGATTTGTACGATCTTCTTTCTATACTATTACTATTGAAATAGGAGCTATTTTATCTTTATCAATGTTTGTTACTATGGTATTATCTGAAGCTGAACTACAACTAGCTAATGTAATTACAACAATATCTTTATTTAATTCAATCAGAATCCCAATTCGTACAGTTGGTATGGCTGCTACTTGTATATCTTCTATCAATGTTTCTCTAGGAAGAATTAAGAGATTCTTACTAAAACCAGAATTACAACCAATTCAAGTTGTTAATAAAGAATCAGAAAATGCAATAGAAATGACTGATGTCAATTATATTTTCCCTGATGGAGAAACTGCATTTGCTTGTGATGAACTTAAAATTAAAAAAGGAGAACTTGTATGTGTTTTAGGAAGTGTTGGAAGTGGAAAATCATCATTTTTATTATCACTTTTAAATGAATTAGAAAAGAAAAAAGGAGAATCTTATCTTAATGGTAAAATTACTTATTCATCTCAATCTGCTTGGTTAATGAATACAACTGTAAGAGAAAATATATGTTTCTTAGCTCCTTATAATAAAGAAAAATATAAACAAGCAATAAAAGATGCTTGTTTAACTTCTGATATTGATAATTTAGTTGGAGGAGATCAATATGTTGTTGCTGAAAAAGGATCTAATTTATCTGGAGGTCAGAGACAAAGAATTGCATTAGCTCGTTCATTATATAATGCACACGATATAATGCTTCTGGATGATCCTTTATCTGCTGTTGATTTCCATGTTGGAACTTATATATTTGAAAATGCAATTAAGAAGAGTCTTGAAGGAAAAACTAGAGTTATAGTAACTAATCAAACATACTTCATTGAGAAAGCAGATAGAATTCTTGTAATTGATGGTAATAAACTTGCATTTAATGGAAGTTTAGAAGAGTTAAAGAATAGTAATCTTGAAGCATCTCAATTTATTAAAACTCTTTCATCAAAAAAGAGTGAGAATAATGAAGAAAATGGTGAAGTTCTTTCTGGAGATAGTTACAACACTAAGACTAGAGAAGAAGGGAAAGAATTAGGAAGGGTTTCATTTAAAGTATACTGGGAATATATTAAGGCTGGTCTTGTATTCCTTGGTGCAGCATGTATTGTATTTTTGGCAGCTCGTATTGTTGCATTATACTTCTACAATAAGTTCTTAACTACATGGGGAAGATCTATCAGACCAAAACTTGGATTACCACAAGGAAACAGAGAAGAATTTAATAAGTTCTGTTATACATTTATTGCTGATTTCGTAGGAGTCTATCTAACTGAAATATTCATTATATTTTTCTGTATCACATCATCCCATAATATTCATAAAAAGATGGTTAAAAAAGTAATGAACGCTAAGTTAGGATTCTTCGATGTTACTCCAATGGGAAGAGTTCTTAATTACTTCTCAAGAGATTTCCAAAATATAGACTACACTTTAGCAACATATATTGAACCATTAATTGTTAATATTTCTACAATTGTTATTGTAGCTATTACTATTACTAAAGCAAGTATTTATTTGGTTATTTTAGTATTGGTAATAGCTGCAGTCTTTGTGGCATTTTATATATTTACTTCTAAACCAGTCATTGAAATGCAGAGACTTGAAGGAGTTTCAAGATCTCCTATCTTCGTTCATTTTGACCAAACTTTACTGGGATTATCAACAATAAGAATCTCTAATGGTCAAAGTGAATTCAAAAATAAGTTAATTGATAAAATTAAGAATAACACTATGGCATTTTACACTTGTAAGATGGCTAAATTATGGTACCTTCAAAGAATGGATTGGATTGGAGCATTTATTATAGTTGTAACAACCACTGTCATTTGTATTACTAAAATAAATAATGGAATGGACCCTTCTACAGCAGGTACTGCATTAACTAATCTTACTAATATCCCAAGTACAATCACAGTTCTTGGTATGGCTATTTTAGAAATAGAAACTCTCATGCAATCAACAGAAAGAATATTACAATTAAATAAATTAAGAAATGAAGAATCAGAAAGTGTGAAAGAGAATTATGAACAACCTCCAAATGAATGGCCTTCTAAAGGAGAAATCAAATTTGAAGATTATAAATTTAGATATAGAAGAGGATTGCCATTAGTTCTCAATGGAATAAATGCATTAATAGAAGATAAGGAAAAAATTGGTGTTGTTGGTAGAACTGGAAGTGGTAAATCAACATTAATGGCTGGGTTATTTAGAATTGAAGAACCAGCAGGTGGAAGAATTCTTGTTGATGGAATTGATATTACTAGAGTACCATTACATACATTGAGAAATAGAATGTGTATTTTACCTCAAGAAGCTACTATGTTTAGTGGTACAGTAAGAGAAAATCTTGACCCAACAAAACAAGCTTCAGATGAAGAAATGAAACGTGTTCTTAAGTTAGTAAATAGTGTAAATGAACTTGACGATGTTGTTTTGGAAAATGGTGATAACTTTTCTCTTGGACAACGTCAAATTATATGTTTAGCAAGAGCCTTATTGAAAAAGTCAAAGATTTTGATTATGGATGAAGCTACTGCCAATATTGATATTCAAACTGATAAAACAATTCAAGAAATGGTTAGAAAGAACTTCAATGAATGTACAGTAATTACTGTTGCACATCGATTACAAAGTATTATGGATGCTAATAAAGTGTTTGTATTTGATAAAGGGAAATTAGTAGAAAATGATTCTCCTTCTCATTTAATTGATAACGAAAATACTATCTTTAATCATCTTGTCCAACAATCAGGTTGTGCTGATGAACTAAAGAGAGTTGCTAAGAAAAAGACAACTATTTTTGGATCTAATTCTACTAAAAATACATTTAATGATCCAAATAAATCATCAGATAGTAGTGATGAATTAAAACCAGAACTTGAATTAAATTTACTTAACAACTCAAACAATGCAACACCCGTTCATTTTGAAGAAACAAATGATAGAAATGGAAGTGAACGTCATCTTCTTTCACCTGTTGTTGTTGCTTCAAATGAAAATGATTTGTCTTCTCCAAGTGAATCTTCTTCTTCACAATAAACTTAATTAAAATAGTTTTATTGAATATGTTTAATCTTTATTTTGAACAAAACTATAAATTAAAAACTTCTAAAATTATTCAGACATGTCCAAATAAATATCATTTTCACCTTTTTTGATAATTTTGTAGCATGTTCTAAAACAAAGAATATTTAATGAAACAAAGACAAAATGAACAGTCAAGTCTTTCTTTTTTTCGTCCTCAATTTCTTCAACAATACCATCAAGAATGGATTGGAAGTCAATAATATCTCCTTTTCCTGATTCTTTCCATTTCTTTAATACTGAAATAATTGCTTTTTCTGCTCCATCATAATCCAAATTTTTTGGCCTAGTTGCAGCAATAATCTTATCCATGTTAATCATTCTTGGGATTGTCACAGAAGTAAATCCTTGATTCTTTTCAATTACACTCTCTTCTTTTTTCTTTTCCTCTTCTTCATCATCACTTCTCATAAACATCCTTTCATCTTCTTCATCTTCTTCACCTTTTAATATAGATTTACCTTGTCCAATAACTGACTGTCTCATTCCATTTAGTGTTGCTCTATTTCCATTAAGAACACTTGCCCTGGATTGAAGTAAAGATTCTCTCTTTTCTTCTTCAACAGCTTCTATTACCTTTTCATCTCCACTACTAAGTCGTTTTAAGGGAACAAGCATTAATCGAGAAAATTCATTAATATCAATTTCATTAAACGTAGGTTTCATCTTTTCGAATAACCTTACTTCTTTTGTTGTGGCTTTCTTACTGAATAATTTTTTAAATGGCTCAGTCTTCATTCCTCTTAAATCAAACATTGTCTGAACTTCTTTCTTTTCTCGTTGTTTCTTTTCTACTTTTGGTTTGATAAATTTCCCAATCTTAGCATCAACTCGAATTCTTTTTTGAATCTCTTTAATGTTATATAAATTTGGATCAAAGTATGTAAATCCACTTCGAGAAACAATTGGTGCCAATAAATTAGGATTGCCTGAATGATCTGGTTCTTGTGTTGGTAGTATTTCTCCTCCTTGATCATCAACTGGATTAACATCATCTATGTATGGCATTACTTCATCATTAGGAAGATCCTCTAATAATTTATCTGCAATTTCTTGTCTTTCTAAAATAGCTTCTTGAGTGGCATTAGGAGTTCTAAGATCATCAATGATAGTACTTATTAAAGTGTTCTTATCTTGAGTATTTAATTCAACTATATTAAGTTGAGATGCATTATTTCCTTTCCAATCAATCTCAGGATCTTCAAAATCACCATCTTCTTCTTCAATATCAACTATTTCAGCATAATCTCCAGAAATAAAATCACCATAATTATGCACAACATCTTCTAATATTGATTTGCCTTCTAACGCACTAACTCTTTGATGGAACAATCTATCCTTATGAAACTCTGCTTTGTCTGATTTACTAAGAAGAGTATTAGGGTGTTTTTCAATAGTTATTTTTTGTGTGTTAGTACGATTTTTTTTTGTTCTTCCTTTTTTTTGAGTTTGTTGAGGACTTTGTGTTGCATCATCCTCAGGTTTTTCTAATGTCTCATCAAAACTACTTAAATCTTCCTCAACTGCTTCAGCCTGTTTGATTGTATCAACAACAGCAAATGTTTTTTTATGCACAGCATCTACTCTGACTGAATAAATCTGAACACCAGCATCAATGGCAAGACCTGCCTTGGCAAAGTTTGCTGTTCCTTGATTTTCTAAGGCTTCAACTTGAATAACATCTTTCATGTAATCTATTAATGATAAAGCCCAAACATTCTTTTCATTAACTTTTCTTTGATCACATAATAAATAACATTCTGCATACATCTTTTTAATTTCTTCATCACTCAAATGTTGTCTTGGAGGTACTATTGATCTTCTGATCGATTGTCGAGGTGCTGGTAATGCAAATGAACTTCTTCTACTAACAGGTTGAATTAATGATTCTTCATTTATCGTTGATTTTTCAAGTAATGATATTGATTGTCTAACATTTGGTCCAAGTGAAACTCTCTTCTTGTCCATATCAACTGTTCTTTATCTGTTTCATTTTTTTTTCTTATTTTTTCTCTTTTTAAATCATTTTGAAACCTTTTTCTAAAAATATAAACATGATTCAACCAAATAAATTATATGATTCTCTTCTTTAATGTCTCAATTAATTAAATAACATGAGCAAATCTTATTTACCAACACTGTCTCTTTTTTTTCTATTCAAAGACCTTGTTATTATTGTATAACAATTAAATAATATATTAAAATTATTATTCACTAAATTATTCATACAACTTAATTAAACAGAATTAATAAGCGATAGATAATCATTTAATACCATTCATTTCTATTCTAACTTATATCTTATTATCAAATACAAAAAATTTATAAAATTATCTCTTGAAAAATATGGAAACTAATCTTAAAGATTATTTGAATCTTTGTTTGTTTTTTAAGTTATAGATAATAATTATTTTGGTTTTATGAATCTTTTTTTTGATCCATTAAAGGTTCTAGATAGAATAAGAATATATATGGACACTCATTTAATTAAAAATATAATATAGTTAAGATGTATTTTTTATCTAATTTAAAATAAGATACTCCCTTCTTTTTTTTTTTAATTAAATCTTTATTTAAATTTTTCATGAATATAATTTATTTAACTGATACTAACAAGGGTATTAATACAAAACAATGATAACTTCATATTTTATGAACTTGGACTATTAAACATATTCACATTTTTACTTAATTCTGTCAATCTTTCGTTATATACTAATCTTTAAAAAAAAAAATAAATGTTATTTTGGATTAGTTTCAAAAGAATGAATATGATCTCTTATTTTTTAATTAATAGAAGCAACAGATGACAAACACCGAAATTGAAAAAAAATTTCTTGTTACCTCAACTGAGTTTCTAAAACAACCTCATACACAAAAAAGACTTCTTCAAGGCTATCTTTGCTCAGAACCAACTCGAACAGTCAGAATAAGAACTGATGGGATATCTGGATATATTACTATTAAAGGAGAAACTCATGGAATTACGAGAAAAGAGTATGAATATACTATTCCGTTGAAAGACGCTGAAGAATTAATTCAAATGTGTAATGAAAAAATAGTTAAAACAAGACATTATATTCCAATGGGAAAACATACTTATGAAGTTGATGTATTTGATGATAAAAACAAAGGGTTAATAGTTGCAGAAATTGAACTAGAATCAGAAACAGAAAAGTTTATTAAACCACAGTGGCTAGGAAAAGAAGTTTCTCAAGACCCAAGATATTACAATAGCCAATTAACTAAAAAACCATATTGTGAATGGACTGAAAATTAAACTAATTTTTTATTTACAATTTACATAAACAAAAAATAATATAAAAGTTGGTTGTTATTTTTAAATTCAATTTGAGATGAAAACGCAGATATTTAAAACGACATTTAAGCATCACCTTCTTTAAGTCTAGCAAGTTCTGCCTCAACACGAGCTAACTCATCATCTTCATTATCTTCAGCCTCCATTTTTTTTAATTCCTCTTCTTGACGACGTGTTTCTTCTTCTAAACGTCTAAGTTCAGCCTCTTGTTCCTCCTCTTCTTTTTTCATTTCTTCTTCTAATTTTCGTTGTTCTTCTTCAAGTCTCTTAATCTCATCATCTTCATCAACAACTTTAGTTTCTACTTTTGGCTCTTCTTTAATTGCAGTCTTTCTTTTAATGGTTCTCTTCTTTTTCTTTCCAATGGCTGGGTCAAAGATAATTTCTTCAATAATTTCAATTAAAAATCCTCCTTCTTTATGTGAATCAATTGTTTTACGTGAAATTAATTCTGGCTCTTTAGAAGTTGTTGTTGTTTTTGCCTCTTCCTTCTTTACAACTGGTTTTTCAGTTTGTGGTGGTGGTGCTTTCTTTTCTCCTGTATAAGTACCAATACGAGTTTGAACTGGACCACGTACCCCTTCTGGTGGAACCCAACCATCAGCTTTCATCTTTTGGAAAGCATTTCTTCCACAAAGTTCGCAATATGGTTTTTCATTAACAGCTAATGCCTTAAAACGTAATGGTTTATTACATCCATTACATTTAATACAAGTATCATGATATGGATACCCACAAAATTCATAAGCATATACTGAAATTGGTTGTCCACAAGCAGTACATTTTGGTAATGCATCAATAGCATCTTGTTTTCTTTTAGCAGCTTCTTCCTCTTCTTTTTTTTCTTCTTCAAGTCTTTTTCTCTTTGCTTCTTCAAATTTTTTTTCATCATACCCTTCATAGTTTCCCTGAGAATATTTCATTAACTCAGCAGCAAATAATGTCACTGATTTAGTATCTGGTTTTTTCATTAAGAAGTCTTGAGGTTCCATATAAATAATAACTCCATGTTTTTTCAAGCAATCAAAAGCAACTTGCATATCTTTAAGCTATTGCAATAAGTACTAGAAAACTCATCAAAAATATAAAAAACAAACTGGTTCTTTAAAAGTCATTGACTTATAATCAAATTCTTTTGGAAATAATGAATGAATAATAGCTGTAACAACACGTCCATCATTCCAACATGAACCAAAATCAGTTACGTTCAAATTATAACAATTTGCACGCATATTTGACCACATAAGAACAGCTTCTTCACCAGTGACTATATTTGACATTTAAATTTCAAGTTGAATATAAAGTTGTTTTTATATCTTTTGGAAATGGAAAAAGGATTTATCTTTGGCGTTGAACTGTAAAAGGATAAATTAATTTTTAGTGAAATCAAGAATGTTATATGCCTTTGGTATTTCAAATATCTCTTCATTTGGAGAAGTTGCTTGATAATCTTTAATATTTGCAACAACACTTAATGAAAAAGCTAGAGGTATTTCTATAAGATAAATAATTAGTAATTTAAATTTTTTAATAAATAACAAACTAAATTGAAGAGGAAATCCGAAATCATCAGTTAAGTTATTTCTTTCAAAGAAGTCTTCAAAAGTATTGAAGTTATCAAAGTTTTTAGATAAGAATTTCATAAGAATTCTAAATTGTGATAATTCTATTGACCCTTTTCCAATCCACATTTCTGCTTGACAAGTTTTTTTTCTAAGAATTTCCTTCTCATTTTTTCTTAATAAGATATTATCTTTAATATGAAGTTGAATATACTCATCGTCATAAATTTTAGATTTAAAATGTTTTGGTTTTTGAATAATTGAAGGTAATTCTCTTGTTATTAACTCTGCCCAAAATGGAGTAACATTATATACTTTACAATTGACTCCATTTACATTTTCATTTCTTTCATATCCAAGCATTGTTTTAGCTTCTTTACAGTCGAATATTATTTTTGTTTTCATAGTTGTAACATTTGTTTTTAGTACATCTTCAATTTTTAATTTTCTTTGTGTTCCACATCCACATAACTTTGTAACTGTTTTTTCATTATGATTTACAAAAATAACTTCTCCCTTTTTAAATTGATTTTTATCTTCCCCAAAGAATATTAATGATCCATTTCCTTTTTGAACTGTGTAATGGTTAAACCCAATAATATTCATATCTAATCTTAAATTTTTTCCTCTTTTTCTTATTACATTGTTATCAGATGGAAGTAAATATGTTCCAAGAGGAACCCATGTTTGTAATTCCCAATGAAGGGTGAATTGAAAGTCGTGCAATTCATTTAGGGTTTGTGCACCATCTATCACCCGTTCATCATAAATTGTTTCATAGTAATTATATGTTTTTTCATATGTTATTTTAATTATTTGTTCATTTCTTGTGCATACTGCTTCTTGAAATGCATTAAACCCATTTTTATTTCTTAGTAATGGATCAGCACCATGACTAAATAACCATTGAATAACTTCTATATTTTGCATATGAATGGCATAGTGTAATCCTGGAATTCCATAACAATCAAAATCATTAATATTACAATAGTGTAACATTTCTTCTTTTAAAGGGATATTATTAATAATTGCCCAATGAACAGGAGTGTATTTATTTAATTGTTGAGTTGCCATTTTAAACTAAATATAAAAGATTAAAACAAAACTAACAGAACAATAAAAAAAAACAAAATTCAAATTAGAAGATATTATGATCCAATAACACCAATCGCTCTGATGCCATAGGACAATCATACAAACTTGCCATTTGAAATAAATTTCTTGCTTTGCCTACATCTTTTTGAACTCCATCTCCATTTAATGAACATTCACCTAACATATAATAAGCTTCTCCAACTCTTTTTTTAGCCAACGATTCATAAATACGAATTGCTTTTGGTTTGTCTGCTTGAATTTTTTCTGATCCATGCAATAAGATTCCTGCAATTTTTAATTCTGCTTGAATTGATCCATACTTTGCAGCTTCATCAAAAAATTCCATTGCTTTATCTACATCTAGAGGTTTACCAATTCCATTAAAGAAGCACATTCCAATATGAAATAATGCTCTATGATTATGTAACTCAGCTGCTTTAGTTATATATTCCATTGCTAAAGTTTTATCTTCAAATACATATTTTCCTTTATAATACATTACTCCAAGAATATACAATGAGTCAGGATGTTTCTTAAATGCTGCTGCTTTAAATAAATCAAATGCTTTAATTTGGTTTTTCTTTAAATGACCAAATCCTTTATAAAAGCACAATCCATAATTATACATAGCATCTGCATTCCCATTTTTTGATGCTTTATCAAGCATGTTTAATGCTTCATTAAGGGTTTCTTCATTTTTTGTATGACGGTATTCATCAAGAAGTAATTGAGCATATTTTGATTGAGCTTCAGAATTACTATTTAATGAAGCAATTTCATAACACTTTTTTGCATCATCAATACTTTTCTTAACACCACACCCCCATAAGTAACATAAAGCTAAATTTATTTGTGCTTTTTGATTCCCCATTTGTGTAGCAAATAAAAACAAATGAAAAGCAAATTGGTCATTCTTTTCTACTCCATTTCCTTTATAAAAACAACTTCCAAGATTATTTATTGCAGTTGAATTATTTTGTAATGCAGCTTTAGTATACCAATAAACAGCAGATTTTTCATCTTTTAATGTTCCAATTCCATTAAAATAACAATTACCAAGTAATAGTTGTGAAGGAATATATCCTTTTTTTGCTGCTTTTAATAATAATTTAATTGCAGTTTTCTTTTCTTTTTCTGTTCCTTCACAACCTTCTCCATGTAATAAACAATATGATAAATTATAAAGAGCTTCAATATTTCCCAATTTTTTTGCTTCTGAAAACATTTTAAATGATTGTCGTTTATCTAAACTTCTTCCCCATCCTTTAAATAAAAAAACTGCTTGATTATTTAATACATCTGGTTTTAATTCACAGTGTTTTGAATTAAGTAAATAATCAGATAATATTTGAAATGTTGTTTTATGTTGTTCTTGTGTATGGTGAGGTGTTAATTGACATAACGCTTCATAAAATAAAGCTTCTTCACAATTAATTTTTTGTAATTGAACAAAAAGAATATCAGCATTAGTAATATTTTTTGGAGTTCCAATTCCTAATAACTGTGCAATTGCATATTGAAATTTGCATATAGGAAAAATTGATTTTAATGAAGCAAACATTTTAATAACACATTCAGGAGAAACCATATATTTTTCATTATTTTCCATTCTTAATACTTTTCCTTTTGAAACTTGTAATGGAATTTTTGTTGGTACAACTCTACATACTTTTTGCATAAATTCTTCAAAATGATCAGATTCATTTTTTTTATCATCAATAATTAATATTTTTTGATTTGCAATATCTTTAAGTTGGTCTACAAGAAACATAATTGCTTGTGGTTGATTTTTACTTGCTGCTTTAATTAAAAGATCTCTTCCCTTTCTAATAACATTTTTATCATTTGATTTAAAATAATAATCACCTAATAAATATTCTTTATCTCCATGGTTGTCAATTGTTATTTTATCATTTTCTAATATTTTAATTGCTTCTTCAATATCAGTATGATTTTTTAATTTTAAATATGCTAAAATCATTTGATTTTGTGTGTCATACTTATTAATTGATTCAACAACTTTAATAACTGATTCTAATAAATCAAATGGTTTTCCAAGTGAAAAATATACTTCTTTTTGTTCAATTTCAACTACTTTATTAGATGATAATATTTTATATTCTTTTCTAATTTGTTCAATATGTTCTAAACATGTTTCAATATTTGGTCGTTTGTTTTGATCTAATTCACAACATGAAGTAATTAAACTCCAAATATTATCAACTATTAATGGGTGTTTTGGAATAGAATTTCCATGTGACATAACTTTAGAAATACTTTCATCATAAGGATCAATCTTAGTAAATGAAAAATACATTGTCATTCCTAAACTATAAATATCACATGGATATGAATATCTTTCATTTCTAATAACTTCTGGTGCTGTAAAATTTTGAGTTCCTAACATTCCTGTATGTAATCCACCTGAATCAATAATTCTACTAATCCCAAAATCAGTTAGTTTAGCATTAATTTTGACAATATCTGTCCAATTAAATAAAAGTATATTTTGTGGTTTAACATCTCGATGAATAATATGTTTCTCTACATGAAGATAACGTATGGCTTTTGCTACATCTTCAGATATTTTTAATAATACCTCTTCACTTATTTCTCTGTATTTAGAAAGTAAACAACCAAATGGAGCAAGTTCCATAACAATATTAACTGTTGGTGCTTGTAATGACTCATCTCTATATGAACAAATATATTTAATAATATAATCATTTTTAAGAAATGCAAATAATTCATTTTCTTTTCTTCCATCAGCCATTAGTGCTTTTTTAATTGCAACTTCTTCACCATTATATTTTCCTCTAAAAATTTTACCCTCTTTTCCTTCTCCTATTTTTTCAATAAGTTCAATTGACGCTTGTTGTGGATTTATCCAGTTAGATACTTGAGTTTTATACCTGATAGTTATTTCATCTGATATTACATTTTGTAACAGTGATTCGGATTTAACTGTTTTTAAAGGAGAGACAATAATTCTAATTCGAATAATTGTTTCTACAGTAGGATATATTGGTGTAAGTTTTATAATTACTTTATTTTCTGCTGGTAATTTTCTAATTCTAAGTGTTCTTATTGGTTCAATCTTAGTACTTTTTTCTTCACTTTCAATAGCTTCAAATTTAATTTCTATATTGCTTAATTCACATCTTAATGTTATAGGAATACTATACATTTGATCTACTTGTATTGAACCTAAATCAAAACATTTTTGTGGTGACACACAGATTGGAATTTTGAGACGAATGAAATTTTCATTGTTTTCACTCATCTTCTTTGTACAAATGAATTTCTGATTATTTTTGTTTCATTTTTTTCTTTCTTAAAAACAAAATTTAAAAAAAATTAAAAATAGAGAATAATTAATTATGTATTAATAGAATTATTTTCTATTATTCTTTGTTTTATTAAGATTAACCAATTCATTGTTAATATTCATTTATCTTCTATTTATCTTTTTCTCTTGCATAACTATTTGTTATATCATTTTTTATTTTATTTATTAATCTTGTGTATTCTCATTTTATACTTTTTGAGTTAATTAGTTTTTATATCTTTTATTTTTTTATTTTTATGTCTCTTCTTTATTTTTTATTGATAAATTTTTTCTCCAAATATCATTATTGTTAAGCTATATATTATTGCCATTTCATTAACTAACACTTTTATTCTTTTTATATAATATATATAGTATTTTATTGTTTATTATTTTAGTATATTTGTTTGTTCAATATTATCTGATGTCTTTATATGGATAGTTCATATGAATTTTTTTATTTGTTGATTTTAAATATATTTTTAATTAATTCATATAAAATGCTATATATCATATTTCTCTTTTGGTTTATTGATAAATACAAAATACTATAAGGCATTCTATTATCGTTGTTTTATCTTTGTGTCATAGATAATATTTTATCATTTCTTTAATCATATAATATATTACCTTATTATACTTTAATTTTTTGTTAATAAAAATAAAATAACAAGATTTAATTATATCATTTTCTTCATTTTAAATATCTATGTTTCTGAAAAATTTTAAATCTGTAGAATGAAATTTGTATCTATTTGTTTTCTTTTTCTTCGTTTTCTTTACATATGCTTCTTGTTTGAAAATATCAATTATTCTCACTATATTGAATGTTTTTCAGGTCTTTTACTTCAAATAATTGAAACAACTCTTGGAATCCAGTATTATAATTCGTTGAAATTTTATTGTCTAATTGTTTAGTTATTTATAATGATCAATGGATAGATGAATATATAGCTATTTTTAAATGGTATTTTTTTTCAACAATGTACAGTAACAAACTGTTTGTAATGTATAAATAAATACCTTCAATGTAAAATACTTAACTCACTAAGTTTTAGTGAAACTTATTAATATAATTTATATAGAAGGTGTAATGATACACAACTTTTTAATACTACATCTAAATCATGCCTAATTTGTAAAAGTAAATGTTCTGATATACTCCAACAACTGACTATTGTTAGTGCTATGAAAAATTATTAATAAAATGGTAATTGTTGTATTAAACTAGAACAATATGAAGCGTTATCTTCTTTTTTTGGACATTATGAAAGATGGATATAATTGATTATGTTTTGATTAATGTTCACTGCAGTCAATATTCATGTGGTTTAATATAGACTATACTTCATCTAAATCTTCTCTACCTACAAGACATACAATTGTGGGAAGGTTTGTTCTCTATAATAATTATACTATCCTGTAAGTGAACCAAACGTCTAAGTTTAGTCGTTGTAAGAGAAATAAATATAAAAGATGCACACAACATGTGATGGGTTTGTTTAACTCTAGTTTCAGATTGTGAAAAGTGTAATTCAACTTGAAAGTATTGTCAGACTCTCCAACATTTAAAATTAACATCAATCAGAAACATTTTATTGAAAGTTAATCAAACTTTTTAAAATAGCCTTCAAAGTACTAGACACAATAAATATGACTAGGCTGAGTGTTGGAGATTAAACACTTTGATTACTATGAATACTGAAACAAGCCAAGATATTTCCTAAAAGGTGATGAAGACATTTGTATTTATTGTGAATATTAGTGCGGTATTTGTAAATGTATTGATAAATGTTGCTTTTCTTATCGGTAATTTGTTTAGTATAAACTCTAATAAAATGGATATAATTTGTGGTAAACTAAACAAGCAATCATAAAGTGTTAAAGAAGCTAAAGGACATTGTTTGAAGTCCAGAAAAGATATTGGATGAATGACAAATATATGGCTAACTAGTTCTTAGTTTTTTTATGATTAAAGAAATAGAACTTAAATTAGTCATAGTAGAAGATCAATCCAAAGGTTTATTTAAAATCGACACTCAAAGTAATGAACATTCTACATTGTCTCTTCTGTTCTGCTCAACTTGACTTACAAAATGTTCTTATTTGGGAGTTTAAAGAAATCCAAATCATCACCTCGTTAAACAAGAAGTGTTGTATTATCACTGCAGAATTATTAACATTAAAATTATCCACATTATATACTAGACTCTGCCGTCATGTAGACACTTGTCCTGATACTCCCAGAAATAATGCCCACCATTATTTCATTTAATTAGTCCTGATTTAATTATCAACATACATTTACCAACGGAGACTACAAATGAGAAGACGATTTGCTACCATACCTAGTGATGTTTTACCTGGTGTTAGTGATAAACCAGGAATTGAGGCGGTTATGTCAATACTAAAAAACAGATTCCAACAACACCCCATATCACGAATTATTACACTTTTCACTCCTGAGAAGAGATAGAAAAGAGCTGTAACTTCATCTTAACTATGCACACACCATTGATGGGTATGAATTAAGAAGTTATGATGACTATGAACTCATGCTATTGTGCAGGTTTGGAGATTAAACAAAGTACTACTCGAAATGGATAAATTCAACAAAAAAAGACTTGCTATCTTTTATCCAAATACAATTATTAGTTAGTTATCGTTCTGAAAATACTAAACAAAATTAAAAGGTTGTTCTTTATACAAAATATAAATGCTTTCCAATGAGCTCATCACTATATTTTTATTTTACACTCACCCTTCGAGGACAAAGTAGTAGAATCGTTTATTGTTTGTTAAAAGGAAAGTGTTATAAATTTAAACATCAATACATTCCAAAATACAATTATCAAAAAATATTTACAATTTTCAACATAAATAAACATTAAAAAAGTCAATAAAAAAAGTAGGATTTCTCTAAAGAAAAAATAATGAGTGGAGGTAATAGAAATTATTCTTATTTAAGTAAACATAATCTTCCAACAATTAATAAATTTAAACAGATGAGTTAATTTTCACCCAAGAAGAAAAATTAATATTGTTTTAGACGCTAGTAAAAAGAAGGCACACCACAAATTATTTATGATTTAGTTCAAACTTTTAAAAAACATTAATTGTTGAGTAATACAATAAAATTTTATTCAAAGAAATAAAACTTTTATAATAGGTCATTACTCACTATTATTGGATTATATTTGACATTAATCACTATTTTCAGTGTATTAATGCTTCGATAAATCCATTTTCAATTGTTTTATTACTTATTTTTCCTTAAATAGTTTCAGGGTTTCTATATTATTATAATAAAATATTATTCAAGATTAATATAAAAAAGAAAATAACAAATATAGTTTTTTTATGTTTTAGTTAATAATAAATGATACTGTGATTCAAACAAGAAAAGTTGATAGAAAAAAAAACAAAATTTTAATCTTTATTTCTTACTAAAAGTTCTTATGCAGAACGAACCAAAAACATATACGTTTGTTCGAACTATAGAAAGAATCATTTCTCAAATTTCAAATTCATTAAAAAATCAATTAAACGATATGTCAAAACCAAGAACAAATGAACAAAAGGCATTTGTTGATGAAATATTCAATTGTCATCAGTTATTAATGAAAGCATTGATTATTACTCGATACTTAAAATCTGATAGACCATACATTGATGAACTCATTCGTGGAACAGCTATTTTACAATATAACATATCATGTCTTTGTGAAATGACAAATTTTATGTCAAAAGACATTGCCACTTTATTACCATGTATTCGTGTTCTTCCTTACGAAGTAGAAGCTGCATTAGAAGTTTTATTAGAACATCGATTTAATTCTTTACCAAGACAAATCCATAATTTAATAAACCTTAGGGATTCATTCATGGATCCAACTCCAAATTTTACAAAATTAACTATTTACTTAAGAAAACTCTTTTATTTATATGCATTAAAATATCCATTTGATAGTGTTGATATTGTTCATGGAATGTTAGTATGTAAAACATCACAATATTCTGTTTTCCTTACATTGAGAAATCCTAGTATTATTTATGATGAACATTCAGATAATATTTCATTTGCAGTTGTTTCAATTTATCCAACTGAACAAGAAGTTAATTGGCAACGAATGAATACTACTAGAATGAGGGATTGTCCATATCTTCTCGACAACTTAAACAAATGGATTAATGAAAAATTAGAACCTCCTAAACCAATTATTTTAAATGGAATAGAAATCAAACAAAAAGGTTCAGAAGATGAACCAATTCGTGAATTTAATATTTTAAAAAGCTTTTTAGATAAATATGTTGTTTTCCTTCATAAACATATATTAGAGTCTAAGAGCCAATCATCAAAGTTAGGTTATCCTTATTTGTTATCTCAAATATCAAAAAGAGAACATAATTTCATTAGTAGAACTGAAATTTATTATTGGGGAAAAACTGCATCTACATTAGATCATTGTCCTCAAGGGTATAAATCACTTGAACGTCCATGTTTAATTTATGAATATTTTCCTAAAGAATATAGAATTCAAGTTACTCATAATCCTTCATTACCAATTCAATTAGATTCAAAACTATCATTAACAGAACAACTTATAGTTGTTACAGAATATTTAACTCAACAATATAAAGAACAGTTACAATTTGAATCAACACCTTTATACCCAATACCATCATTTGTTCTCTCACCACTAACTGGTAGAGTAAAATTATATAATGTAGGATTACCTCCATCATTAGTAGAATATTTTGAAACATTATTTAGTATTGGAATTAATCATCCTTCAGTTCTCAAAACTTCAATGGCAGAATTTAATTTAAGAATGAGATATGCATCACTTCATACTATTGCACTAATGCATTCTCAAGTATCTAGATTAGAAGAACCACAAATAGCTTATATTCAAAAAAGAAAAAAAGAATCATTAATAAGAGGGTTTCCATTAACATATCGTCTAAGTGACTTTACAAAATTGTATGTAACAATTGAAAATAATATTGTTAAAATGGAATTACAAGTAAATGGGGAATGTATTGATGATGAATATTCAAATACATATATTTGGGATTCATTTGATAATCTTTATGAATATTTCTTCACTTCATTCGAAATATTATTACAAAAAGCTTATAACACTACCTTCCCTCAAATATTTTTACATTATTTCAATACTATTAACAAAGACATTTCTTTTAATATTGTATATAGAAATGAAACATTATACGTTTATCATTTACTTCTTCCTTTTGTTCAAAAATTATCTATTTCAATTGATAATGATCTTCAATTAACAATTAAAAATATTCCAACAAAAATATATAATTTAGTTAATGATGATGGAGATTATGTTATAGTAACTCCAAAAACATTTATTGATGATGATATTAATATTCTTCTTTCAAAATATGCAACACTTTTTCAAGTTACTTTATTTGCTTCATTTATTGGTCCAGATGAAGTAACATTTGAAAATAAAGAAGTTCGATTTACTGAAAATAGTGTTATTATACCTAATACACTTAGTGTAACATTTACATCTTCTAATCCTGAAATTGTTATTATGGATTGTAAAGTAATAACAGATAATGAATCAGAACAAAGTTTATTTGAATCTATGAATTCACATAGAATTCATTTTATTTTTGATTCACCTAAATTAAGTATTCAACAATTTTTAAAATTACGTTATACCATTCAACATTTATTGATGAGTACACTTTCTGTTATTGTTAATCATCCTATGACTCTTAAAACAGAATATCAATTGGATATTTATAACTTTTTTGTATTTACTTATCAATGTGATAATTCTTCTCATCGTTATCCTTCATTCTATAGATTCATACATCATTTTGATAATCAATTACAAGTATGTTGTAAACCTTTTAAGTGTGTTTTTGAACGAACAATTGAACGTTCTCTTCCAAAACAAGATGAATATTTTACGTCTAAAGAATTACCAAACAAATTATCTTTAGTTCATGCCATTAGTCATCTTTCTATATTAGCATCATTATTAACTACTTCATCATCTTCTATTGTTGATCAAAATAATTGTTTTAAATTAGAACATTTTATTGTTTCAAGTCCATTAAGACTTGATGGATTTAGCCCAGTAATTACTTTAAAACAATCAGAATCGGCAAGTGAAAATTCAAGGATATTTGCAGAATATTTTAATGATAGATTTACTGTTCCTTTCAATTCAAATTCAATTTCTGCTGCGGCATTGTACATTAATACTTTTATTACCATATCAAGATTTGATTTTTCAAATGAAATTTCAATATTACCAAGAACCTATTTAGTTTGTTGTAGTTTTTAAATATTTATTTTTTAAATTGTAATAAACTTATTACAATAGGAAAGCAAAAAACAAATGAATGGATTTTATTTTGACTTTTCATTAAAACCAACTGGAGAAAAGTCATTGAGCGTTGAATTAATATTTACTATGATAAATGGTAATCGATTTAAAATAGGAATGACTTACACATCAAATGGTTGGTATATCATGCAATGTGAACCAATGAAGAATGGTATAACAACTGATTTTAGAGGTCATTTAAGATTATTGCTAAATAAACAAGATAATTCTCATGCTTCTGATGGGTTATTCAAAATTATTCAAGACTTTAAAGATAATAGAAACAACCTTTAAATATACTTTTATTTGAAATCATTCTTAAATAACATTACTGAATTAAATTTATTCAATCAATTTATTTCTATCTCTTTTTATGTTTTTTACTTCCTTTTTTATTAAATGAAGAATTCCCAAATGTTTTATTTCCTTTCTTTTTATCTTTACCATACTTTCCCCATTCATCAAAGTTTAATGCATTATCTTTATTAATATCAAATTTTAAAATACCACCATCAAATTCTCCTTGTGTTAATTTTAATGCTCTTTCTTTTTTCTTTTTCTCTTGTTTTTGTGGTAAAAATCCAGGTGCAATAACAAGTTCTTCTTCTCTAACTTTCTTTGCATTTAATTCTCGTTCTTTTTTTTCTTTTGCTTTTGTGCGAAGAAGAATATTGTATGGTTGTTTAATCGTTTTAGGTTTTAATCCAAGTCGTTTTCTAAAATCATTGTCTAATTGAATTTTAGCAATTCCTTTTGAATGTTCTCGAGCAATCTTTTTAACTTCATTATAAATTTTGTTAAATTCAGACTTATCTTGTTTAAATAGAGCAGGTTTAGTTTCTTGTTCTTTCTTTGTTTTCTTCAATGCTTTTGACATCTAAATAGGTTTTAAGTTTTTTTTAATTTTATAAAACTTAAACAATAAGAAAAAATTTCTAAAAACAATTATTATTCATTATTTAACAGATCATCACTCAATTTGGTAAAAACTTGCAAAGTTAGATGCTAATCTTGACAAACTTGAATTCTTATGATGAACTAGTTCAGATAATCTATGAAGAAATTCTGTTGTTGGTGAAAGAGCAAAGAACATTTTTGTTGCAAAATAATAAAAACAATTTAAACCATCTAAGATAATGGGTGTGGACTTAGAGCATATAGCACGTATATAAAATCTACGAATATCATTTATTTGATCATCAGATAAATATTCTTTCTTTAATAAATACAATTTACAGAAATATGAAACATTTTGATAATAAAATTGAGTTGATTCTCTTTTAAAAGAATGTACAATTACTTTCTGAATATTTGATTCAATACACTTCTTTCTAAAAGTATCATTAACTAAACAAAGATTTAATATCATTATCACTCGTTGTTTTATTTCCTTATTTGTTTTTTTCATCAAATAATTCACACAATTAATAAATGAACATTGTGCTAAATACTCTTTAAAAATATCATTAACAATTAATGATGAAGTAATTGATAAAACTAATTCTAATTCATTATCTTTCCATAATTCTATGTGAATGTAAGACCATTCAAGAACATTACATTTAATAACAATTTTATCAATGTCTTTTTCTCCTCTTATAATAAGATTTAGTATTTCCCCTAAGACAGTTTTATCTTTTGTTTTCATTCTTTCAATCCAACATTTTGTTCTTTTTGCTTTTGTTATAGTTATATCCATTTGACAGTTAAATAATTATTTAACTAAAGTTCTTTCTTAAATAAGAACAGTTTGAAGTCTTCTTTTCTTTTCTAAACTCAAATCACTATACTTTATTACCTTTTCACTCTTTTCAAAAATCTGACTTTTTAATTTTGAATATGATATTCTATTTATATCTTTTGTATTTTTTTTTTGACGTTTAATATTGTTGTCTGTTTGATGACTTTTTATACTGATTTTTTCTAAAATTGAATAAAATTTCACATTCCACAAAGAGTGAAGATTCAATAAATTCATGTTCCACTCAAACCTAGATTCATTACATATTGTGGTCTTGTACTAAACAAGTCAAACGACACTTGATTTATAAACAACTCAACTACCAACTGAACATTTAAACATATTCTTCTTTAACCCAAATAAATGTTCATATAAATATTATCTCCAAAATAGTTAGTATACTCTAACTACACAACAACCATTTTTTAGTTTAATAGGATTTATACAATATTCTTCTAAAAAAATAAATTAAATTCATTAGTTATATGGGTGTTTTTTTCTGTATATACAGTTAAAATTCCTAATACAAAAGAGTGTATTGCCTTAAAAATGAGATATGATTAAATAATTGGTGTAAATTTAACAAATTAATAATGTATCTTTCCATTTTCTTAACATATAATATAATGCAATATTGGTGGTTTGTGCAAGAGTTAACAAGAATCTTTTTTTTCTCAATTTATTTTTATATATTTAAATAAATAATTATAAATTAAGTATTCATTTTAATATTCTAAGAAAAAGAGAATTATTTTAGATTTATCACAATAATTTGTAATATTAATAATATCATTCTTTATTTATTATTTTAATAAAATAATGAAGTACTTTTGTGAAAATAATATAACCATTAAATCTATTCATTTTGATATATCTCTAAATCCTGACTCTACAATTTTCCAATTGTACACATGATGGAATGTTATTTTTGTTTTAATATAATGTAACATGTTAATAACATGGAACAATATTTCATTAACAAATAGAACGCCAATGAGAATTGATATAATGGTATTGCTTTATCAAATAAACTCAATATATTTCTATTGATAAATATCAAATAAACAACATAAATCATTATAACTATTTAACTGTTATTAACAATACTTTCTAAATAAAAATATACACTGAAATATATCTATATTAAAAATCCATGATATTGGTTTTCATTCAACGAATTAAATTGATATATAACCAACTATATATTATTAAACCTAATCATTTTCAAATTAAATTTATATCATAAAATAATGTTAATCAATATACTTTATTTCAGTAATTATTATCCATTGCTATATGAATATTCTAATGAATATATTTTTGAAATATTGCATTTTTTTAGATTAATAAATTGTTTAAGTACTTTTAGGAGTAGAAAACTTAAATAAATAATTAGTTGATATAGTAAATTATTTCTGAGTAATAAAAAATATAACAGAGTAAATGTAATATGCTTATAAAGTATTTTTTTCTAACCTTATATATTTTTGTATTAACTTAAGAAAAATATTAGTAATTGAAATAAATGTTGCGTAAATAAAACGATATATTACTCTTATACTAACCAAAAATATGTAAATGGTATTGTTAATTATTTTGTTTTTAATGTTACTGATATGATAAAACAACCTTATAAATTTTAAATTTGTGTATTTATAATTATTTCTTGAGAGAGTATTTTCAAAGGGTGTTCAATGAATATATTTTATATTTTATTATATTTTTATTTTTTTTAAACACTAAAAACTTAACCATCTAACAGAAAATGTTATGGTATATCTATTTTTCTAATTAAAGTTATATAAAATATATCCCAATCAGAATCATTTTAGAATTTGTCTTCGATAGTTTTCGTTTTAATAAAGAGTGTTTAAAATCAGTCTATATTTTTAAATAATTTGTTGATAACAGATTCGAAGATAGCACGTCAGAGACACCACACAGTTCCCTAAAATATTTCCATCATTCAAATCAACCAGTTATGGACTGGTTATGACGTTACGTTTGTTAGAAAAACATCTTACCCAGTACTGCAAGAATAGCAGTGTTTATTATTTACAAGATGGGATATCATTGACAATAAACGAATAGGTATTTATAAAGATGTTATTATTACTTGTTAGAATACAAGTATATTTGATAATATAGGATTATCAAAGGAAAAGGGTCAAGTGGTTGATACTAAAAAGAATATTATCCTAAAACAATACAGTAGTATTATATACTCTCCTTAAAATAAGAAAATAAAGAAGAATAATTTTAATACTCATCAAAATCAAATAGAAATTAAATGATGAACATTTAAGTAAGGAATGTTTAAAATATTCTATTCCACAATAAATAAATGAGAAAAGGAAATTCTCATAGTTCAACAACTAAAATCAAAGAATAAGCTAATGGTTGTTGAACAAATACTTTTAAAGCAAAAGGAGAGAATATTTAATCTCCACTGAACAATGAACAAAAGAAAATATTTCTATTAATACTTAATTAACTACTTTTCATTTTATTGTTTATTGTTTATTTATTCTACTTCTTGTTGTTATTTTATTCTTATTTTTCTCTATTTCATTTATTTCTTCTTTTAATTAATTTAGTATTAATTTATTTAATTATAGTTTGTGTAATAGATGTATAAATTTCTTTTCTTT